TTTATTTGAATTTCCATATTGGTTTGAATTTAAATATGGAATAGGTTATAGTACAAAATCAATTTGGTTTGTATTACTACAAAATCATATCTAATGGCTGTAATTTGTGGAAGAGAAATTTATTGGTTTATATCATGAAAGGGCAGGGAGGGGAATAAATGATTTTGGGGGAGAGTTGGTTTGATCCATTGGTATCTTCTGTAATTCTTATATTTTTCCGGTATGATAGCATATTTTTGTTGATAGACTATTTTAACAAATATGTATTATTTTTATTTCGTATTGGTATTTTACCTATATGAAACGGTTGAACTAAGATCTTACCACAAGATACTCTACCATAGACTAACCTAGCATGACTTTTGGTATGGTTTTCCAACCCTTGGTCCACTCATTTTGTCTCATATTTGTATACTTTTCATGCTAATAAATATATAAATTTTAATTAGCATACTCAAAAGAACTTTTTTCTATAACCTACAATAACCTTAAGTAATAATATAAACGTTTACAGAATCCAGTCGGAGCTGGTCAAACCAGAACACCGAAGATTATCTACCTGTCGCTCCACTCTATGGCATCTAACGTTGAATGCGCCATTATATGTGCAGCCTCATTAGCTTAGAGTCAATAGTGAATCTACTCTCTCTCTCTCTCTCCACAATCTTAAGTTTTATTTCTATTATTGAAACAGAGCACTACCATCTCTGTGAGCTTAGCTACCGGTTTTTGTAAATCTATTAGACAAATAAAGATAATATGTTCTTACAATAGGATTCTGGAAATCGTTATCTAACAAGTTAGGGTCCCAAGTTTCACGAAGGTGCTTCACTGCCGCCACTAGAAATTTGCCTTAATACATAATGTAAGGGTATTCCTAAGCCTGTCCAGCTAGTGATTGTTTTCAGGTAGTTGGCGGAAGGGACACTAGTGGAGCATCTTCTTGCTGCTGGTGAGACTGGAACTCCTAAAGGAGGATAGAAACCAATTTCACAATTATATCTTCGGTTGTCTTCTCGCCACCAATGAGTTGCATGTTTTGTTCCTTCAATAGAAACCACAACAGTACACTCCATTCTTCCACCATATCATCATATAACTCGGAGAACACGTGCGAAGGGAGCTTGTGCATAGGGGGTTCCATGGCACCCCTTGGTTTGGAACTAGAGCATAAAAATTTGTGGGTATAAATTTATGTTTTAGCTAAAATTTGAATTTGAAAGTTGGAACCCTTCTATCATTACTTATGTTATTTTTCATTAAATCATATAATTACTTACGTGATGCATTAAAACGTTCTATTGTATGTATAGTTAATATGCCGATTATAATAAGTAAACTAAAATAAGAAAATACTACATCAAAGAGTATTTTTGACAATGAACTACGTGAAGCACACTCTTCGGAGTCGAATGAGTGATGATATCATGAAGATTTTTTGTTGGATACCTTGAGAATGACATTCTTGATAGTTTGGATGGTTAGTGTATTTTACAAACTTTTCATTGGGACAATTATACCACATTCTTTCAGATAGTTTGAATCCATACTAGTATTTGTTTAGTATGATTGAAGTTTTACTCAAGGATGTGTCTTATCTCATTTTTTCAAATAAAGTCCTTCAAGGAGCCTCCCCTTCAAGTTTACCTACTACGGTTGTCACAACATCCATAAGACATATGTAGTCCTTCTGAACTATTAAGCTAATCAAATATCGAAATATAGTCGCATCCACCACGTGGGAGTACATCTGATCATAATTAATGTCATGCATTTGCAAAAATCCTTGTGAAACAAGACATAATTTATATCTCACCACTTCATCCTTTTTCATTTATTTTTCGTATAAAACTCATTTGCAACCCACGACTTTGTAATTTCTAACGTAAGGACTACCGGACAAAGAACATTTTGCTTTACAAGCGAATTTAATTCCGCTCCAACAACATCTTTCCACTTCAAATTCGAAAATTTAAATTCTTCATTTTTGAACATTCCCATCACTAATTAGGTGATCTATTTCCCCTTCATGGTGGGCAAAGAAGTCGGCCACATCCAAATGAGTAGCATCTTTTAGTTTTTTCCGAATCATATTACTTGAAAATCAAATTGGTTTATATCATTTTTCATTTAGTGATTCTTTATTAGAGATCAACCAAGTTTTTTGGTGTATAATAGATACGACACGAATGACCTTTTTTAATATGTTTATTACCATAACCACTTTTTAATTTGCCTCTTCTACCGTCATTTTGCAATTCAAAGAAAAAAAATGAATATTTGAAACTTCCGCCACTACCACGTCCATATGCTCAACCAAAACTATGACCCTAAGCATGTCCACCTCCATGTCCACTTGCATGTATTTGCCAATAAGAATATTGGGTGAACTTCAACGCATTTGCTTTAGGAAATGTAGCAACACAACTAGAACGAGAATGGCGATTCTTCATTAAAATCTGATAATTTTTAATACAATTTTATTTCTCTAAAGACAAATAAAATAAAAAATTATTCATATTTCTAGAAATTTACTGTCATAAAAACTAAAATGATTCCTAAATTATTCATATTGTTAGGGTTTGATGCAATAAATAATATTATTTTTCTATTCGGGTGTGGTTCGGGTGAAAAGCAGGTTGAATTTTAGTGAAGCCCACTCCAAACCCAAATCATGAATTCCACAAGCGAGTTTTACCCACATTTGGTCCAAAACTCGCCGACGTCGGGCTTTACCCATTTTTACCCGCATTGAACTAAGTTGAATACACCTACGTGCGGGTTGAATCACCAAAATTTGACTATATAAGGATGCTAAAGCACCAAAATTTGTTAGGAGAGGAAGTAAACATATGAACAAAGCAAAAGTAGAGCTATCCACTTTATGTAATATTCATCGTCTTCCAAAGGAAATTGCACATTAGCACTCATGATTCATTCCCACTCGTTTTATTCATATGATATTCATGTTCTTTTTTAATATCCTTCTTCAAGTCCCTTGAAATTTACATAAGGGCTTACACTCGGTTTTACATCGCAGACACACGCATGAAGCCCCATGTTACAATGACATTCAGGGCCCCATGAAGCACAATCATCAGGACCTAGGCACCGTTTGCTTACGTTTCTTCCTTCTACTCCAATTTGCTTATTGTTCACATCTGTAGTACCCAATTTGTTGAATTGGATAATAATGAATCATGTTAGTGAAGAAAGTAATTCAACATTTTAGCAATGAAAACCAATATAACAGTTACGAACTTATGTGCAATCATGCAATAAAGACAAAAGTATACTTACAAGAAACAACAAAAATCAAAAGCATGACATAGAACAAGAACTTGGAATAAGATTTCTCCATTATTCTTGATATGGATTGTCAATTTATCAATAAACGAATTTTTCTCTCTATGAGATTTCAATAATGATTTATGAGATACCAAGAGCATTATTTTGTTGGTTTATATAGGAATCAAAAAAGATAGAAGATCCAAATGTACCATATTTTCTTTCACTCTTTTGGAAACTCGATAAAAGTCTTACCATTAATTTTTCATTATATTTCTAGAAACTAATTGTCCTCATTGCCATAATTGTTTTTCCAAAAAATACAACAATAATATCAGGTAGAAAAGAAATAAAATAGTAATGATGTTTTATATATAATTTATTAACATGAATTGGTCACATCTGAGTATGTTTTCACTTAATTTTTGGGATTTGAATTTCCATATATTTGAATTTAAATATGGAATAGGTTATAGTACAAAATCAATTTGGTTTATAGTACTACAATATCATATCTAATGGTTGTAATTGTGGAAGAGAAATCTAATGGTTTATATCATAAAAGGGTAAGGAGGGGAATAAAGGATTTTGGGAGAGAGTTGGTTTGATCCATTGCTATCTTGTTAATTCTTGTATTTTTCCTGGTATGATAGCATATTTTTGTTGGTTGAGTATTTTAACAAATATATATTATTTTTATTTAATATTGGTAATTTACCTGTATGAAACGGTTGAACCAACATCTTATCACAAGATATCCTACCATAAACTAATCTATTTTGTTTCATATTTTTATACTTTTTATACTAATAAATATATAAATTTTAATTAGCATACTTACAAAGAACTTTTTCTATAACCTACAATAACCTTTATTAATTAATATAAACATTTACAAAATCCAGTCGGAGCTGGTCAAGTAAGAACACCGAAGGTTATCTACCTGTTGCTCCACTCTGTCGCATCTAGCAGTTGAATGCGTCATTATATGTGCAGCCTCATTAGCTTAGCGTCAATAGTGAATCTACTCTCCCTCTCCACAATATTCAGTTTTATTTCTAATATTCAAAAATAGAACTACCATCTCTGTGATTTTAGCTACCGATGTTTGTCAATCTATTTAACAAATTAAGATAATATGTTTTTACAATAGGATTCTAGAAATCGTTATCTACCAAGTTAGGGTCCCAAGTTTCACGAAGGTGCTTCACTTCCGCCATTAGAAATTTGCCTTATACATAATGTAAGGGTACTCCTAAGCCTGTCCAGCTAGTGATTGTTGCCAAGTAGTTGGAGGAAGGGACACTAGTGGAGCAACTTCTTGCTGCTGGTGAGACTGGAACTCCTAAAGGAGACTAGAAACCAATTTCACAATTATATCTTCGGTTGTCTTCTCGCCACTAATGAGTTGCACATTTTGTTCCTTCAATAGAAACCACAACAGTACACTCCATTCTTCCACCATATCATCATCTAACTCGGAGAACACGTGCGAAGGGAGCTTGTGCATAGGGGGTTCCATGGCACCCCTTGGTTTGGAAGTAGAGCATAAAAATTTGTGGGTATAAATTTATGTTTAGCTAAAATTTGAACTTGGAACCCTTCTATCATTACTTTTGTTATTTTTCATTAAATCATATAATTACTTACGTGATGCATTAAAACGTTCTATTGTATGTATAGTTAATCTGCCGATTATAATAAATAAACTAAAATAAGAAAATACTACCTCAAATAGTATTTTTGACAATGAACTACGTGAAGCACACTCTTCGGAGTCGAATGAGTGATGATATCATGAAGATTTTCGGTTGGATACCTTGAGAGGGACATTCTTAATAGCTTGGATGGTGAGTGTATTTTACAAACTTTTCAAAATATGAGAACTCGTTGCGGATCACTATAGAAAATTGATAGTTATTTTAAGTTTTTTTTAAAGTTGGACCCCTCTTGCCTAAAATATTGGCTATTCCATTGGCTCCACTCACTCTATTATACTATTGTTATGTCTTTACGAAAAGAGCTTCTTCAAGGGGTAGTGATGTAATATATGACTGGTCAATTGGCACTCTCCAATGAAACAAACATAAGTCTCTAGTAAGTCACAAAAGGGGCAGTTGGGGTTGCACCTTGGAATAACATGGTTCACCTGCAACGGGAGAGCATATCTTGCGAACCGCCAAAAGAAAATCTTTACCTTAGAAGACAAGTTTAGGATCATAGACTACTCCATAGCTCCTTCGATACAACTGATCAATCAAGTATTAACTCTTCTTGTTTGTTTGATTGGTTAACTGAATAACTAAATAAAATAGATAGACCCTTCCGTTCGTCTCAGGTCAATGGAGCTTCTCAATTCGAAGATCCCTATATCCAACTAAGATACCCATTATTGCACAGTACTCACCTGATTTTCCCTGCGCACAGATTTGGCAATCACGAATCTTGCAAGCATGTATGTATATAGGAGAGGTATTTCCAAACTTCAGTAGCCACATCTGGAGGAAATCATATCTCTAAACCCCCAACCTGATAATATTAATTAGATGTTATTTCTTATACCTATAAGCTAGTGATAATATTGATATGTTATGTTGTCTTGGGTTCCTGGAAATGGCTTCAGAAATAGATGAAACCACTAAGTTATCTAAGGTTCCTGGAAATTCTCATCTGGTGTCTGGTGAAAGCAATAGTGAAGCTCCTACTGTAGTTTCTATTTGTAGTAAACTGTTGAGATCTCATGTATGGAAATACTTTAAGAAAGTATTATTTAGGGGAGCATTAAAGGCTCAATGTCAACATTGCAAGAAAATGGTTTCAGCTATATGCATGAAACTACTCATTGAGACAAGCACTTGTGGAAACTGCCTAAGATTAAACAATTGTATAACTTTTTGAGAACGAAGCAAATTGCTAATGAGATTTCAACTCCATATATCTTTAACCAAGAGAATTTATCCTTAGATGGAAAGAATATGTTAACAATCACAGTAGCAGACAAATACAATTCGGAAAAGCAAACAGATACGAACACCGAAGTTTACGTGGTATCCCTGGATGTGATCCAGGACTAATCCACGGAAGAGCTAGAATGCTCTTCAGGCTACTGATTTTACTATGATGAGAAGATGATACATGTTACAGCCGGCTGAACTTCTCCTAACCCTTATATATCAATGCCCTAGGTTTAGGATCAACAAAGTACATCTGAAACCTTGCATGGGCATGGGCTTAATTTAATGAATGGGCTTAAACACTAATCACTCTAACACCACAATATAGTCCGCAGCCCCTAGGCCCTTAGTTCGCTAACATCCTCCCCCAAATTGATGCCGATCTCTTAACATCAATTTGTTTCACAGATACCAGTGACGACTAGTAGAGAATGCCTTAGTGAATATGTCTGCGACTTGTTCTTCTGTAGGAAGGTGATGTAGACTAATCGTGCCATCTCGAACGAGATCTCGAACATAATGCACATGTATCTCGATGTGCTTGGTTCGGTCGTGAAGAACTGGATTAGCAGCAATGCGAATGGCACTGGTGTTGTCAACACAAAGAGTCATAGGTGCAGGACAGGCAACACCAAAATCGGATAGGAGCCTTCGTATCCATACCATCTCAGAGCCAACTTCGGACATAGCGCGATATTCTGCTTCTGTAGAAGATTTGGAAACTTTATCCTGTTTCTTGCATCTCCAGGAAATGAAAGCACCGCTAAATTTAACACACCACCCAGAAGTGGAGCGACGAGTATCAATACACCCTGCATAGTCAGAATCAGAATAAGCAGTAATTTCAGCCGAACCAGTCGAAGGAAATAAAATCCCGACATCCTGAGTTACTTGCAAATAGCGCAGGATCCTGTGAACTGCAGCAAGGTGATCTACACAAGGAGCAGTCATGAATTGACTGACGATCTGAACTGCATATGAAATGTCAGGGCGAGTAGCTGATAGATAGATTAGACTTCCCACGATACTGCGATACTGAGATCCATCCTTCAGCCGTTCACCAGAATCTTTCTGCAGCTTTAGATTAAGCTCCATAGGAGTCTTGACTGAGTGGCAGTTCTCGAAATTGTGTTCACCCAATAGATCTGAAATATACTTTTTCTGGCTGAGCAAGATCCCTTGATCATTCCGGCTAACTTCCAGACCCAGAAAATAAGAAAGATTCCCGAGATCCTTGATGCTAAATGCTTGTTTCAAACCATCTTTAAGCTGATCAATCCCCGTCGGATCAGACCCTGTGATCACCATGTCATCAACATAGAGTAAAAGAACGACTATGCCAGTAGGGGATACCTTGGTGAATAGAGAAGGATCATTGAGACTCTGCTGAAAACCCAGATCGATAATCCCATGTCGAATTAGATTCAAATTATTGAAATATTAAATACTACCATATATACTCATACATATTTATAATAGGGATAAAATGACTTAAATAGGTTGGACCATGATCTGACCATTAAATTTCAAACCATTTGCATGCTCGGCTCAACGAATTAAACTGGTTTGACAACCTTGATTGGAACCATATGCTCGCGATGCGTTATAGACACATTGAATCAGTTACTTATATTAATAAGGAAATATTAACTTTAAAATATTTATCAAGAATGTGCAAATTTCTAAATCATGTACTAGAAGTAAGGAATCATTAACTAAAATATCATGACAAGGAGCTCCAGCCCAGCAAGTTACCCGCGAGATTAGCTGGATTCCTCCTCGAGCTGGGTGGGTCAAGGTTAATGTCGATGGCACTGCTAATGGAACTCAAGGGTCGGTTGGCGTGGGAGGGGTCTTGCGGAATCACCATGGGCTTTGGATCAAAGGCTTTGTTGTTAAATTGCGAACTTGTTCGGCCTTTCAAGCAGAGCTGTGGGGCATCTTCCATGGACTGGATATGGCTTGGGAAGAGGGCAGCAGAGCTGTCATTCTGGAATCCGACTCACAGATGGCTATACAACTCATTGAGAAGAGATCTGACCCGGTGCATCCCCACGTGTCCCTCTTGACAGCAATTTGACGCAAGATAGCTCGAGATTGGGTGGTAAGGCTAGTCCATACTTACTGTGAAGGGAATAGAGTCGCGGACTGGCTCTCGAAGCACAGTCTCGTCTATCCCTATGGTAGGTATGAACTAGACTCACCACCGCAAGGACTACACCATATCATGAGCGACGACGGCGGAGGACAATCCTTCCCCAGCGATGTTGTGAATTCCGATGGAACCTCCCCTGTTCTGTAACTTCTCCCTTCCCCCTGTTTTACTTCTGCTTCTGTGGCTGTAAAGCCTCCAGAGATGCAAAAAAAAAATCATGACAAGGATAGAACCTTTATGATGTACCAATTGCCTTGAATTTGGATAAAATATTATCTCGAGATCAAACATCTTTACTAAGGAAATTTAATGATATACTAAGGGGTCAATAAGCATGGGTTAAGAGTTATTCCTATTTTCGAGAATAGTAAGCTAACGTATACTATATAAGATAATAAATTTGAATACCATAGTTGAAAAATTGAGACATAATCTTACAAACATCCACAGTAGGAATGAGTCAACGTTGATATACTAAGGGGTCTTAAATCTTCTATATAGGCCTATGGGAGACATAAGAACCATTAATATTTAGTGATTAAACATCTTAATATAGAAATATATGTTGCATATGACAATAATCGAAATCAATGATTGAATGTCGACTACGAATATTAAATAGTAGGATGTTGCGACAAAATAAACTCTTTCAGAGATTGAAGTAGTAAGGTAAGAAGATAATTTGATTTTACATAAAAACATAGTTGGTGTGACTGTGACTTTATGCATTATATTGAAGAAATATTCTCCGCAATGCAAGAGAAGAATGAAAAGACAATTGATAATGCAAATATATGTATCACTAATGGAAATGAAGACACTATTAATTTTAGAAGGGTGATTTGAAATGTCTTTAAGAGTCGGTTCCTTGCATAGGGTTTGTCTTTCATTTTTCGCAAAATGATTTAAAGTTGTTGAGTTATTCAAATGTCGGAGAATAGTGTGATGGTGATCCTTTAAGATTGTTTAAGTATTTAATAATTTTGATTATCTTATTATACCAATCAATTTGAATGTTTCGAGCATTTGAATAATTCAGGTTTTATTATACTGCCAAAAAATGTATAACTCACATACAATTAACTTTTGTTGTTTACATTATTGCCACTGAATCCGACCAACTGATTGGGCATGGGACTAGTCATTGCAATTGAAATACCAACAATTATAATTGTCTCCATAGGACTCATATGTGCCTCCGGTTTCAAGATTTTTTTTTTTTTTTTTTTTTTGGTAATTCTATGCCCGCCAGAACCAGAATCCACGCATAAAATCAGAAAGAAGGTGGGGGAGGTATGCATGGCTCACATAGCTAAGCATTCTAAATGGAATATTTTGCAGGGTTGGGGCAAGTAGTCATTTTTTTACTGATCCAGAATCGTGAATTACCATTTTGGTACGTTTTAAAGTTCAATGATGTTTTTTATATTGATCACATTCTAGATAGAAATTGTATTTTGAATTTTAAGTAAAGAGGTTAATTATCGATTAGCTATCAAACTTAATACGACCGAAGTGCCACAATAGAACCCTAGATCCCCCTTGTTCTAAAATGACATAGAGAGAAACGAGACAAATGTCGAAGACTGCTTTTCTCTAGAGCATATTGAAGATAAATATGAGCATGTCTATGTTGATAAATAAGTGACCTTGACAAGAGGTGAACTTTTAGAGATGGTTATAGATCGAGCCAGGAGAAACTTTAGTAAAGGACCAATTCTAAGCATTTTATGGTTTAGGAAGAGTGGCCAAGGCCTAAGGGTAGAGAATTTTTAGTGTCACAGTGAGGTGTTGAGGTCAAGTTTGCAGTGGAGTTTCTGTAAGAAAATCAATCATACAAGGCTTTTTCTTTTTGTTTCCTCTACGCTCTGCCAAGAATCATTGATCATATCATTCGACCAATGTATAGATACAGGGACTAAGATATCTAAACTACTATGATATTTGTAAGAATAGAATGATAATTGCTTGAGGAAGCAACATCAACAGCATCAACATGTCTCCGGAAGAAGAGCTTGAGCTTCGTTGTTTGGGAACAGAAACATGTGCTGCCTTCAAGCCTGGATGAAGGGAAAAACAAGGAAAGGGTCAGCGATACTAGTTGAAACAAAAAGGAGCCAACTAAGGAAGGAAAGATTATCGTAGGATTTCACTGAACTTACAATCGGAGTTAGTCGCCCATCCAATCTGTTGGCGGAACAGATCGTACACAAAGATCTTGTTTTTCAGAGCAAGATCTGGACATGTAATCAAAATTAGAAAATGGAACAGAACATTCTGATTCAACCAATCAGTTTGGTGCTTTTGCAGCACCAGCAATTGGAATAAGACATTCAAACTTTATCAAAAAAGATACATCGACTAACCTCCTAAGATAGTCAACCCTGGCTTCTTCAGAAAGCCTACGCACCACGTCCCACGTGCATCGCCCTGCAAGGAAGTATGGCCTATTAGACTTTGTGGAGGGAGAAACAAGTGAATTCTATAAATCAAGCCAAAAGAATCAGAATTCCAAAGTCAAGAACTGAAACAACTTACAACAAATTCGTAAAGGTAGTCGGCTGGTTTTAATATCAGAGAAGCGTTGTTGGCGAAATGCAAGCTCACCACAGGAAAGACTTGAGATACACTGCACAAGTGCACATGAAGACATTCACTCTTAGGTCATAGAGCGACGTAGAATTTATAAAGCATCCAAATACCAATCCAAAAATTTTCATAGATGTGAAAACCAATCATTTCATGGTAGAATGTCAAACCTGGAACTCAGCAAGTAACACTGCTGTCCGACAATTATTTTAGTAGTCGCGGACGGTGAGACCACAGCAGTGACCTAAACAACAAGTCATTACTTTTTAGCACATAGAACAGCTTCAAGAGTTCCATAAGTATGATCACAGAGTTAGTTCTACAACTGCGACTAATATTAGGGCATTCTTAATAATGGTACAAGAGTCTCTTACAAGTTGCAAGAGGGTGACAACTGATACAGCCAGCTTACTACGCAAGAACCACAAGTTTAGTGTAGTCTGCTTCCAATCATGTATGGTCCATAGAATTCTAGTAGCCTCGTGCAAAAAGGATATTTGTTGCAGCAGGTGTTTAGATTCCAGGAAAAGCCTCGAATAAGTACTAGTCACAGGAATCAGATATGAAGATGCAGAAGCTAACTCGTCCTAAGTTACTTGAAAATAGTATGTCTTTTTCTCTTCCTTTTGATTCTGCCTTTTGATTTAATAATTGCGGGCAATTATATTAATGAAAACATAACAAAGCAAGGAAAGGGAAGATCTATACAGAAACAAAGAGGAATGATCCCTGACCACCCAACTAAGAGCAAGGAACAAACAGGATATAAAAAAGCAACACAAAAGACAGAAACAGAAGAGCAACTTGGTGGACCAATGGCAGGAAATTTTACTTACAGCGCTTAAGAATGGTTCGTATGCTTCTTCCACCAGGTACGCCAGGGTTGTCCCACTGTCCACAAACGTTCCACGTCCAGTTGAGGTTGCGAAGACTGCTGGATCGACGGGCAACAACTCTCCATTCACTGCAATGCTTTGCAGATATAGATTATAGTGAGGCCTGCAAAATTATGGAAAGGCTGTTGTGTTAGTGTTTGAATTTCCCAGTCAATGGAACAACAATAACTTGCAGTGGAATAATAAATGATACAATATTAAACTGAAATTGGTTCAATCAAATAGAGAAGAAAACAGAAAAGTACTCACTGTGCAGGGACAAGGGGAGTGTACACCATCCCCGGCTCAGATATCTCTCCCAGAACAAAAGTACCACCGCCAAGGCCCTCTCCTTTTAAGCAATGAGAGAATACTGGCGGTATTACTCCTCTGGACGCTAACTGTGAGATGGGTGAAAGAGGTCCTCGGCCAAGTCCAAAGATCCCATCAACAGCGAGGGCCGAGTCAGCTAGCGTGCCAGACTGGTAGGTGCTTACACTGTCCAACACCATTAATCAAATAAGCTTCCGTAGAAATAAAACAAGCAAGAAGTGCAAGAGAAGTCTGACTGAAAATTTCAAGATTGCAAGGAGAAATTTCACATTGTTTACAACTATTAATTCAAATGGAGGTTTGATCAAAATCGAGGTTCAGAACTAAAGGGAGCACGGATTTTTCTGGACTAGATTTGCGACTTTCCTTTAGCAGAGGATTTTGGATTGGACTAGGTAGGGTCATAAAGACATGAACTGTAATCTTGAATAAGAAATTATAAAAACTGAGGGATATTGATTAAAATATCATGACAAAATTTAATGCAATCTTACCAATGTCTTACTATATCGAGAAAACTATATAGATAAGGACTTATTGCTAACGCTAACAGTTCAAAGTCTTATGCTAATTTCCATGGGGCAAGGCTCACACCCACATGATTATGGTACCACCATCTAATTAAGGGACTGGACTCTGGAGCATAAAACTTGTTAGTAGCTTTCATATGCTTACCTTACAAATTGTTTTGCTACAATGCCAATTTTAATATAATGTGTAGGTTTCCATATGTACTGCATAAATATTCTTCAATTTGTAAGTGGCAATAAGTGTCTAATATACCTATCATTAAGTCTCCATGTTTCAAATAATCCGTCATTATTTGTATATGTAGTGTATCAATTTTCTATTTTCTCAGCAGCACAATAACTTACCCAAATCCGATAGCTGCTGAGGAGGTGCCTATGGTTGAGTCCGGCCGAATGAAGTCCAAACCGATCCTATCCACCATATAGACTCCATAGGTCACACTACGATCTTCATACTTTATTGTGTAGCTACATTGCCCATTCTCTGTACACTGATCTGGACAAGTTTTACTGGGACATGGGACAGCCTTGGCGGTGGAAGATGCAGCAGCATCGAAAAACCTGAGGCCAATCTGCACAACATCATAAAAATATGGGTGAGTTGCTAGTCCACATACATTGTAGAACGTGAAGCCACTAATTGTTGCTGGCAAAGTTTTTTGACTTGAGCATGTCAAGCTTTTTACAGCAAGCAAACGTCATCTATTGGTATGTAATGAAGAGGTAGATTTCACAGCAAGCAAAAATCATTCATTGATTTGGAATGAAGAGATTGATCATGTATTGACCTTGAACAAAGAAAATCACATTTGAAGTTTGCCTTGGAAAAAAAGGAGCAACCGCATCATCATTTAAAATCCAATCAATAAACAAACTTCTGAAGACAAAATCAACATCAAAGGAGTCATCCCTTCAAGCTATCCTAATCTACTACACCAATGGAGCCACTTTACTAAAGGTACAGATTTTCGACAGTTTATTCACCCGCTGCATCACTCCATCATTTGGAGCATATAGCTAGAGCGAAAGAAAGAACTTTTTAAGACATCAGCTGCTCATGGGACCAGGTAATGCACAAACTGTTTGACAACTGCATAAACTAGAGTGTGGCTAAGGGTGTTCTGAATCAACAGGAGGCACGGCTATTGAGTAGGATTTTGTTTGGCTATGCAACAACGCCTTCTCCCGATACAACCTTATGATTTTTCTTTCATATATTAAGTTATTGGGGAATCGAAATGTACTACTGGTGGTTGAAGCTCTTAGTTTGCATCATTGGCGTTGTTGATGGGCTGTTTCGTGCAAACAAAGTATGGAATGCTTGGCACTCTGTTTCCCATTCCACCATGTAGAAGTAGGACACCCATCGACACCATTTTTAATTAAGCTAGGAGATATATGAATCCTTTTGAACTGTCATTTCATCTATATTATCAATAAAGTATTTTCATTCCCTACTACATCTCTTTGCATTCATCTCTAGGGTTTCAAAAACTAAATTCAATTCTTCCCAAGCCATAAGCACAATAACAAGTCTAAATTTAAAAACCACTTACCCCGAAACTGCTCGACCGTGGGCAGTTAGCACAAGATTTTGCGTTCACCCAGAGTAGATCACTGCCTGTATCTATCTGCACGCTGAACTCCTGAGGTGGAGACCCCAGCTTGACTTTTGTGTAGTAAATCCTGAGAAAACAAAACCCCAAGATTATGAGCAAACCAGCGAATATGTAATTAACAGTAAGAAAAGTAGCCATGAAAAATTTATTGCAAGCAGGAAACCGAGAACCCAGATTTAACACCTACCGCCATAGATACCCTAAAGAAGAAAGGACCTCAAGCTTCCGGTTCGATTATGGCAGAATTCAGAACGAAAGAAGAAGACTATCTAAGGCTAATTGCAGAATTGGATCAGAAAATCTACACAGGCCCGGTCGAAATTGATATTCCTAATTGAGGAAAGTGGAAGAGTCCAATGAATATCTCAAATGGCGTAAAGTGGAGAAAAATCAAACCCCCATAATCCAAGATTGAAACTTTCAGCGGAAGCAGGAAATTGGGAACTTGGCAAGATTGTGGTGATCCAAACAGGAAACCGAGAACCCAGATTTAGCAACTACTGCCACTGATACCCTAAAAATGGGAACATAAATCGTACACACTCGCCATCTCTGATGGTTTTAACTTCGGGAAGAATCCCATTAGAGGCTATGAAGGAAGAAAATAAGTCAAACACTAACACTATGTTTGGCAACAAGGGGTGCAAGTTCGAGGGTTACAAGTTGAGGGGTAAATTGTTGAGGGGTGCAACTTGGTGGAGGGTGTAAGTGGAAGGGTAAATTGTTGTTTGGATGAAAAAGTAGGGGGTGCAAATAGAGTAAAAAGTAAGTAATTATATTATTATAAAATAGATTTATCAATTTATAAAATATTATCACAAAATAATAACATGAAAATTCAATATATAATAATAAAAATAATAAATAATAATAATTATTATATAATAATGCTCAAATATAATTATTTATAACAACAATAATAATCATTGGTCGAGCAACCTCGAAACTCGAAATCCAACTCGTAACTGGTCATCCTAAGGGGGTTCTCGTGCCTAACTTTAAATTGAATATGGTCAAACTTAGTCAAACACGTTCGAATCTGTAAGTTTTAACTACTTATTAAAGTAAATCGAGTTAACTAAACTGTTCCTCTCTATCTTTTCAACAAATGCTTCTTATCTCTAATTTTCAATGCAAATTCGGGTCAACTAAGAGATATCGATTTGACGAGGCGAACATTGACAAACTTGCTCTCTTAGTCAAACGGTCAACCCCAAACAACTTCTACACTAATATAGATATAAGAAAAAATTAATAATATTAATTATTATGTAATTATAATCTAATAATTCCCCTCCTCCTCCTTCCCCCTCCCTTCCTTCCTTTCCTTGCTCCCCAATTTGGGGGATAAGCCGAAACAGTGAATTTACGCTCACGTTTTGCACCCCCTACTGTTACAAAATAACCAAACGGGGGTAAACACCTTGGAACATAGTGTAAGTAATTTTCTCTCTGACCTTTCAAAACAAAAACGACGTCGTGTTATGTGCCCAAAATTTTGGCGCTAAAACCGTGCCCAAAAACATTTATGGAGAAGAAGCAGCAGGCCAGAAACTATAAGAATCTTACCCGTACAGGTCCATATCGGCAGAGCCGTAGACAGGGAAGTTGGCGACGCCGTCAAACAGACGGGCGTGCCTGGCTCGATCCTGTGCTACATGTCGCTCAACGCTTGCTGATGGTGTCTTCTCCAGGTGGAGGACAGTAGTACTGCAGTTCACAGCGGCGAGCAGCACGGCCACCGCGATCGGAAAACCCAGAAAGGATGAGCTATGAACTCCCATTTTTACGAAGGAATAAGGTGAGTTAATAGCAGATAGATCAGAGGATGATAAACAAAGGAGGAGAGAATAGAAACAGGGGATTGTTTTCAGAAAAGAGGGGACGACAGAGGTTGTTTTGGTTGATGAATAAGCAAATTGGGAGTGAGATGGAGCTGAAGTTTGGGGGGAAACGGGGAAAAGGAGGTGTCTTGGTTGATGAAAGATCAACTTACAATTAGAATGAAACTAAGGTTTGGAAAACAGGGGATTTCTGTGAAGGGGGGAAACAGAGGTGGTTTGATTGATGAAATGTTTGGAAAACAGGGGAAAACAGAGATGGATTGGTTGATTAAGGAGCAAGTTACAAGTAGAATGGAGCTCAGGTTTGGCAAACAATTGATTTCCGGAAAGTAATGAAAGCTGGGTTGGCTTGGTTGATGAAGGAGCAAGTGACAATCAGAATGGAGCTCGAATTTGGAGAGCAGGGGATCTCTGGAAAGCAGGGGAAACAGGGGTTGTTTGGTTGACGAAGGAGCAAGCTACAAGCAGAATGGAGCTCTTGGCTTCCCATTCTCTTCCTTATAGAGAGGTACAGTATTTCTGTTTTGGGGAGAATAGATTCGTTTGGAGGCAATGCGCGCTTACTACTCAAAAGAAGGAGAAGTTATTGCATTCCAGCACTACTGGTTGCTAAAACAAGATAAAGAAGCCTGTTTTTCATTGATGTTTCCCAGTAGTTATACTTGCCATAATTTGCCAACCATCTGTCGTCTAGAGAATATAGGAGATAGAAATTAATACGTTACATTATGATACTTATACATCATTCATCACCGAAAGTAATGAATTACCTCATTGGCAACCCTGATTGGAGAAAGCCAATGCACCACTATCTGTGTTCTTTCATGGCAACCGAGAGTGAGAGGAGCTATCTCTGCTGGAATCTTTTGAAAAGATTTACCGAAATTGCAGTCATTTCCACGGAATTACCAGACTTTACCGCTGAGTGTTCACCACATTGGAGCTATACTCTGCCTCTGAATGTTGTAATTGGTGAACCCATCCGAGGGACTTGCTCTTCAACAGAAACAGTACAAAACTAGCTGAAATCAAGTTCTCAAGTGACCTGACAACTACTGCTATCTCGGCAACCTGATGGGAAAAAGTCATTGCACCACTATCTGTGTTCTCTTATGGAAACTGAGAGTGAGAGGAGATAGAGAGCTACAACGATTCCATTTAAGAAAGAAACTAGCTCTGTAGGAATCTTTTGAAAACGATTACCAAAAATCAATGTCATACACAGCTGGAAGTTGGTCTGATAGTGGAGCATTCCAAACTGTACCATGAAGGAAGATTAATGTGTTTGGTTTTTGTTGCTTAAGTAGAAACAGAGGAATCGCTTGAATTAAATACAAAGTGAACCAAATGGGAACAAGAATAGCAAGTGTGTCAGAGGAGTCTAGGATCCATGGGTTTTGACGGAATGATATGGAAAATCAGTATCCATCAACCTACTGATGACTTCATTGGCGCTGCAGAATTGTATTGCTAGCTACAAATGCTTGTTGGATCTTGCCGCTGACTGCAGATAAAGAGAGGACTTGTTGGATCTCGAAGACAGTAGGCTGGATTTCTTGAATGGTATTTACAGAGGGGTTGGTGTAGATTTAGCTTGGGATTGGTTTTTAATGTATTGATGTCCTTTCTTCCATGTTTGTGGTGATGTATGTTATGCAGCATGTTAGCATATTTGTTTGGAGTTTCCTTGTATTTCTCATTAACCATCATAGTATACATACAAGTGTACATTAGTGATTATGCTTGTACAGTTGGAGCAATAAATGGCAATACAGCCGTTAACCAAAAGGTTAAGTAGTAAATGAACTTTCAACTTGGACAGAAAAAGAAGATACTTGGTGCGAGGAAAAGCCTTCCTTGGAACATCAGCAATCGGGTCATGTGTGGTGATGTAGTGAACTAGTAAACGGTTGGGAGCGAAGCTTTCACGAGAAGATGTGGTTTAGTTGATGAATGAGCAACTTACAAGTAGAATGGAGCTCCAATTTGCAAAACAGGGGATTTCTGGAAAGCAGGGGAAAACAGAGGTAGTTTGGTTGGTGAAGGAGCAGGATACAAGCAGAATGTAGCTCTAGTTTGGCTTCCCATTCTCTTCCTTGCAGAGATATACAATATGTTCTGTTTACGGAGGATTAGATTCGTTTGGAGAAAATGATAGATTACTACTCAAAACAAGGAGAAGCTATTGCATTCCAGCGCTACTGGTTGCTAAAACAAGATAAAGAACCCCTGTTTTTTCATTGATGTTTCCCAGTAGTTATACTTGCCATAATTTTGCAGCCATCTGTCGTTTAGAGAATATAGGAGATAGAAACTAATACGTTACATTATGATACTTATACATCATTCATCACCGAAAGTAATGAATTACCTCATTGGCAACCCTGATTGGAGAAAGCCAATGCACCACTATCTGCGTTCGTTTATGGCAACCGAGAGTGAGAGCCTGAGAGGAGATAGACAGCTACAGCAGTTCAATTTCAAGAGAATGGAGTTGTCTCTCGAGGAATCTTCTGAATAGAATTACCAAAAGTCCAAAACTAATGTCATATCCACAGATTTACCAGCGGAGCTTTCACCACATTGCTGAGTTTAGATTGTCCTCTGCCTAGCACATTCTCTCAATAGCAGGATTATCCTCCCTGTCTCCAAAGATTGTCGACTTGGCATTCTTAGTACTCTGATCTTTTCAATGGCTTTCTGACATAAGGTACAAAAGATTTATTTCCACTGCAGCCACTTGCAGTGCTGATCCTACGGCTATTTTTCATAAGGGTTCTGAACCCCTCATAAGAAGAAAATCAACAGACGTCTCGATCAATGTCCACCATGCCCTCGCCCAGAAGATGTTGGTTCTGGTTGACTCACTCCTACTGTCACTCTAGAAATTGGCCAAGTGAAACCACTTCCTAAAGCGTAGTATAGCGGGTTTAGGTTTATATGTCAACCCGGGTCCTAGATTTGAGGACTACTCAGTGAGTTCTTGTTATCTAGCAATGAAACTTTAATGCAAGTCTAAGCTAACAAACTAACAAAGCAAGTAAACGGTTGTATTCAGGTTAAGAGAGGTCACCCGGATATGGTTCCCCCTAGACTGCAGTTAAGCCGGATTGTAATTACCAAGTTCAGTTTCTATGATAGTTATACTGCGGAAGGTTCTCAAACAGCCTAAAGTCTCGACTAAAGGTCTTCAGACCCTCTCAATCTTAGTCTCTAGCGGGCGACTAACCTCCACCGGAGTAAACAGATTGAGGCCTTAACAAACAAAACCTCCACTACCAGAGTAAATCCGGTACAGAATAGTGAGTTGACTCCTCGACTAAAGTCACCAACTCCCTACCTTAAATCAAGGATGCTCTATCAACCTAGGCAGATATTCTCATTCTAGGTTAAAGCAGAAACAACAGGAATTTGATCAGGATTCAAGTCATTCAATCATTCAAACCTCAATCGAATATAATCAAATCATAGAATCAGTACTTGGGTTCATACAATCAAACCTAACATACAAATCTAGGGTTCTCCATACCCAGATGAATGGGAGAACTACTCCATGGAGAAAGAGGCAAAAGCAGAATCAGACGCGGAATTCATACTGTGAAGGATGGATTCCTGCTTCTGGACGTTGATCGGCACTTCTCCAAGCTCAAACTGGCCTCCAATGGTGTTGAAGATCAAGCTAGGGCGCTTGGAGACTCTTGTTCGTCGCTTTCTCTCTCTAGGAATCACTCTGTCTCTCTAAAACTCGAATCCCCTTGATCTTTGGCCTTCTTTTCCCTTAAATCAGCTGCCTGTCGCGATACCCGGTCAAAATACCCGGTCGGGTATTTTGGGTCACGACCGGGTATAGTTGAAACGCGTGTTTTGGCCAGGGGAAAATACCCGGTCTCCTCCAATAATCCCCGGTTGGGGATTTCTTTTTTTTTCAGACCGGGACCCCTCCTGTTTCTCAGACGCCAAAAGGGCAAATCCCCGGCCTCTTCAGAATAATACCCGGCCGGGTATTTGTGGTCATGGCCGGGTATTTTCTTCCTCCAGCCCACTTCAATCCTCGCTTGCTCCTTTCCACCCGAATCTCGTTCCTTCGCCTCGATTCCGCCGCCGGGTCCTGAAATATGACATAAACACACAACCTCGCGTGAAATCGACTTAAAACCCGAGAGTCAACCTCTCAAACGGCTCAAGAATAGGGGTGAAAATATGTGTAATTATCGGTCTATCAAACTCCCCCACACTTAACCGTTTGCTTGTCCCCAAGCAAACCTAACTCAAACCAATGCAACTCTCCAGACCTCTATAGCAACAAACAACCCAGATCGTAGGTAGAGGACTTCCTAGATCATTTAGCAGCTTACGAGGTCAACCGACGCACAAGTCATCTCCTAACTTTTTCGGCGAGAACGCTAGTCTCGAGTCGGCATCATGGCAAATAGTGAACAGAGGACAAATGAATCGTGGATGAAGAGATTCTCAACAACAAAGGATCATGGACTCACATTTTTCAAGGTGCTCTATTTTTTGCTTAAAGATGGTTGGAACCCCTTATCTTTCTGTTTTGCTTGTTTTCTGATATTTTTTTTTCTTTTCTTTTGTTTTCGAGGGTCCCAACCTGCTTTTCAGAGAATGGGGGCTCCCACCTAGCAGAGGTTTTGCAGGAGCCCGGCTCTTACCAGCCATGCCAGGAGCGGATGTCTCGAGCCTCGTGCGGGGGAAAGACATGTAAGTGGACTGGAGGTAGTAGGTTGAAATTGGGAACGAATTTCCGTCTCCCCTTACACACTTTCGCCCTATTCGCACGGGAGACGTTATTTCAAAGCACATTTCCGAGCACCTGTTATTTTCAAAACATGATACAAGAGTCCATGACAGGTAGAGAATCCACAACACCACACAATTCAAGGGTCCTAAGATCACTAATTCACTCAATCAACCAACACAATATGAAGAAGAAATGAGATTTCTTAAATGCATCAACATCCTCGATAGTGCTACACTACCTCCCTAGGTTGCATATTACTATAAAGACTGTCAATTCAAAGCATACTGAGCAGGCAATTGCACGGAAACACGTACTTGGAGCCCTCAAATTTAAAAATTTGGACAGTGGACTAGGCTCCAAGCACACAAACAGATCTAATGCAGTCAAAAGATAAACATCCCCCCACACTTAAGATCGACATTGCCCTCAATGGAGAAGAGGGAAGGGAAAGGGGAACGATGTTGCCGGTATGCACGGACTGCAGGAGACTGGAAGCGGACCAGTCGAGTGAAGCGGACTGGAGAGGGACCAGTCTGGAACAAAGCACAGCTAAAGGGGAACAGAAGAGCTCAAACACAATATGTTAGGTCCAATGGTCAGCCCAATAATACATCATCCAAAACAAAAACAAAACAAAACAAAACCAAACTGGTTTACAATCCGACTCAAAACACAAGAAAGAAAGTCAAACCGTGGTGGGGTTGCCTCCCCACAAGCGCTTCTTTACCGTCTTTTAGCTGGACGCCCATGGTGGATACTTAGGGAGGTGAAGGAACAGGTGCCCCCAAGAGCGGATCCACGTCGCTCTTGAGGTACAGCTTTAGGTTGTGGCCATGCACCCGACGGATGCGACCACCATCATCAGTCAGCTCGACCTGGCTATCTGGCAAGATGCAGGCGAGTGAGTACCCAGACGGCCAGGGTGGTCGTGGTGCAGGAGGTGGGACCAGCTCATAGTGGTCTCCACTCTTCTTCCGTGCAGGCTTAGCAACCTGCTGCTTCGGCCGCCACTCCTCCTTGATCTTTTTGTTCGGAGGCGAGACTGGATGGAGTGGCGGCGAAGGAATGATAGGAGGGTCCTGCAAAATGAGAGGTGCAGAAGGGTACACGACAGGCTCGTGTACCTGATCAGAAATGGCATGCACAGGTGTGACAGCAATCATAGCGCAGTGATCGAATTCAGTCACAGAGAAAGTAGCCTGTTCATTCCCAGCACGCATGATCAGTTTACCATCATGCACATCAATAAGTGCCTTGGCGGTGGCAAGAAATGGTCTACCCAGAATCAAAGGCACATCCACATCCTCATGTATATCAAGAATAACAAAATCAACAGGATATGTGAATGCACCTACATTAACTAGCAAATCCTCTATGATCCCCCTAGGATGCACAATGGAACGATCAGCTAGCTGAATGCTCATCCTAGTAGGGCTAAGTTCACCTAGGTCTAGCTTTTTATACAACTTATATGGCATGACGTTTATGCTAGCGCCTAGGTCTGCCAAGGACTTGCCTACATGCATGCTGCCAATAGTAAGAGGGATAGTAAAACTCCCTGGATCCTTGCGCTTCTCGGGCAGCTTGTTCTGCAGGATAGCAGAACACTCCTCGCTCAGCAACACTGTCGAGAGATCCCCAAGTTTCTTCTTGTTGGTGAGGAGATCTTTCATGAACTTCGCGTACTTGGGCATCTTCGACAGTGCCTCCACAAACGGTATGCTGATGTTGAGCTGCTTCAACATTGCCATAAAATTGGCAAACTCAGTCTCCAACTTGTCTTTGTGTAGGCGAGTGGGGAAGGGAAGCTGGGGTACATGCTCCTTAACCACTGGTTGTGGCTTGGGAGCATGGGCTTCCTTCTCCACCCGCACTTCTGCATCGTCGGCTGGAAGTGCTGAAGCAGGTAGTGGTTCCTCCTGTCTGGCCGGGACAGGATCAGCAGATATGGTCTTACCGCTCCTGGTAAAAATGGCATCCAGCTGCTGGAGCTGGTGAGGATCCCGAGGATTCGGGATAGTGGTGGCAGACAGAGTCCTCGGTGCCCTGGTAGTGTTTTGGCGGGCCAAGATGCCCACCTGGGTCTGCAGATCTTGCAAAATGACACCCTGGTTCCGCTGACCTGCCTCCAGTGATGTGATAGCAGCCTGAGTGCTAGTCATGAATGAAGCTAGAATATTTTCCAGCTTTGTCATCCGGTCATCTAGGGCCGGAGCTGCTGCTGGCTCGGCAAACTGGCGCTGGGGCTGCTGGAATGGTTGCCCCTGCCTAGGCTGGTAGGGCTGCTGCTGTGGGGCTGGCCCCTGTCGAGCCTGGAAGGGCTGCCTCTGCTGAAAACCACCTGCTGGTGCTGGAAAACTAGGTGGTTTAGTGGTGTTGCTGCTCCAGGCGAAGTTGGGATGCTGGCGCCACCGCTCATTATATGTGTTGCTGTACGGGTCGAGGCGTCGAGCATTGGCGATGAAGTCCAACTGCTCTTGGGGAGTAGTAGACTCCCTCATAGCCTGGCAGTCCTCCACTAGGTGATTAGAGCTCTCGCACCACTGACATTGAGCTACTGGAGGTGTAGCCAAACCTCTGCCCGGAATCAGACTGTTGGGCTGCTTCAATGTCTGCACTAACTCAGCTACCTGCTGCTCAAGCCCAGATCTGGTCTCCATGGCGTGCACACCACGGTCCCGGGAATGTCTGCCTCGGCTGCTCTGCCCCCAAGAATGATCTCTGGCAGCCAAAGTATTGATCATCTGGTTCAGCTCGGGTGGAGTCTTAGTGAGAACATCCCCTCCTGGGCATAGAGACTCAATCACCCTCTGGCTGTCTGGAGAGAGAGCACTGTAGAAGTTCCCCACTGTGAATGCATCACTGAAGCCATGATGGGGACACTGCCAGAAATATCCCATGTACCGCTCCCATGCATCACGAAGCGACTCATCTGGCTCTTGGCGGAAGTGAGTGATCTCCCGCTGGATCTCTGTAGTCTTCGATCCCGGATAGTACCTGTGCACGAATTTGTCAGCCAGATCGTCCCAAGAGGTGATGGACAATGGGGGCTGGGTCTCCAACCACCTCTTAGCATTCCCCGCCAGAGAATGGGGGAAGAGATAAAGGCGGATTGCATCATCAGGGACACCATTCAGCTTGAACCCGTTCGTCAGCTGCAGAAAACGAGAAAGATGCATCCTGGCCTCCTCATCCTTCAAGCCATGGAACTGGATAGAGGATGTAATGAGCTGAATCCAACATGGCTTGATCTCGAAGTTGTTTGCTGGAATGGGCGGATAGAGGATGACCGGGCGGATGTCAGCAATCCGTGGAGTGTAGTAGTACTCCAAGGTGGGACCCGGCAGCGGTGGATGATGATGAACCCCATGATCCTGGGGTATGGGGTTGTTCCCCAGGACCTGATTCACCGGGGGAGCATGTTGAGGATTCCCCTGGTGTTGATTGTAGTCTCCGTCCATCCTGTATTCTTCCTCAGAATGGCTGCTCAGGTGGCCGTCTATGCGCTCTTCCGTAGCCAGTCTAGCTCGCTGTTGTCTCCTGAGTTGGCGACAGGTGCGTTCAATCTCTGGATTCAAAGGCAGTAAACCTCCTGACTGGCTACGGGTCATGCACTACCTGCACACACTCAAGCAAGCAAACCCGTGAAGGCACAAGTGGGACAAAGCAAACAAAGCGAAAAGAAAAGCTAAATTAACAGAAATCACTTTTCTTCAACAACCTAGCCGTCCCCGGCAACAGCGCCAAAAACTTGACTCACTCCTACTGTCACTCTAGAAATTGGCCAAGTGTAACCACTTCCTAAAGCGTAGTATAGCGGGTTTAGGTTTATATGTCAACCCGGGTCCTAGATTTGATGACTACTCAGTGAGTTCTTGTTATCTAGCAATGAAACTTTAATGCAAGTCTAAGCTAACAAACTAACAAAGCAAGTAAACGGTTGTATTCAGGTTAAGAGAGGTTACCCGGATATGGTTCCCCCTAGACTGCAGTTAAGCCAAATTGTAATTACCAAGTTCAGTTTCTATGATAGTTATACTGCGGAAGGTTCTCAAACAGCCTGAAGTCTCGACTAAAGGTCTTCAGACCCTCTCAATCCGAGTCTCTAGCGGGCGACTAACCTCCACCGGAGTAAACAGATTGAGGCCTTAACAAACAAAACCTCCACTACCGGAGTAAATCCGGTACAGAATAGTGAGTTGACTCCTCGACTAAAGTCACCAACTCCCTACCTTCAATCAAGGATGCTCTATCAACCTAGGCAGATATTCTCATTCTAGATTAAAGCAGAAACAACAGGAATTTGATCAGGATTCAAGTCATTCAATCATTCAAACCTCAATCGAATATAATCAAATCATAGAATCAGTACTTGGGTTCATACAATCAAACCTAACATACAAATCTAGAGTTCTCCATACCCAGATGAATGGGAGAACTACTCCATGGAGAAAGAGGCAAAAGCAGAATCAGACGCGGAATTCATACTGTGAAGGATGGATTCTTGCTTCTGGACGTTGATCGGCACTTCTCCAAGCTCAAACTGGCCTCCAATGGTGTTGAAGATCAAGCTAGGGCGCTTGGAGACTCTTGTTCGTCTCTTTCTCTCTCTAGGAATCACTCTGTCTCTCTAAAACTCTAATCCCCTTGATCTTTGGCCTTCTTTTCCCTTAAATCAGCTGCCTGTCGCGATACCCGGTCAAAATACCCGGTCGGGTATTTTGGGTCACGACCGGGTATAGTTGAAACGCGCGTTTTGGCCAGGGGAAAATACCCGGTCTCCTCCAATAATCCCCGGTCGGGGATTTCTTCCTTTCAGACCGGGACCCCTCCTGTTTCTCAGACGCCAAAAGGGCAAATCCCCGGCCTCTTCAGAATAATACCCGGCGGGGTATTTGTGGTCATGGCCGGGTATTTTCTTCCTCCAGCCCACTTCAATTCTCGCTTGCTCCTTTCGACCCGAATCTCGTTCCTTCGCCTCGATTTCGCTGTCAGGTCCTGAAATATGACATAAACACACAACCTCGCGTGAAATCGGCTTAAAACTCGAGAGTCAACCTCTCAAACGGCTCAAAAATAGGGTGTGTAATTATCGGTCTATCACTGGTCATCACCAGAACCAGATATGGTTTCCTTTAAGTTTGATCAGATGATTTTCGTGGGGGAAGAATACCTCACCATTACATATAGAGAAATCACGCCTCTTTTAGTTGCTGTAATATTGATCCATGACGCGATGGTTTTGTGGTGCACTTTGTTTGGTAAACCCGACCGACTTAATTAGGGAATAGTCTGAACAATACCTTCCCCAACTGAAAACCATCTCCACTGCTTTTTTTTTTCTTTCCAAAGTCAGTGTTGAAGAGATAGTCACAAGAAGAAAGAAAGAAAAGCGCGGGAGTCGACCAATAGTCGAACTTCCGATGAGAGGGCCTTTTGTGCCACATGATGGGCAGCCCTATTTAGTCGACGAAAAACAAAGCAGAAAGAAATCCAGCTGAAGTGAGAAGCTAAGCTCCGAGCATCCTCCAGTAGAGCTCCACCCCGATCTTGCGCCAAGTCGCCTCCCACCATCCCGCCGTATCAATTGTTGTGAATCCCCATGAAATTTGACAGAGACAAAGGAATGTGTCAGACACCACTGTATGGCCTCCAATATAACAAATTCCTAACACTTTCCGAAAGCAAAGAGAATATTACCTGACGATTGGAAACCCACAAAGCCAATACCACCTTCGTGACTATGCTTGACTAGTGGACAAGACAACCGCCACCGATCGACTATTGTGCAATTGAATCTTCACCTGCAAAATGAGCAAACAAATGCCCCTACTAGGACAATCCAGGCAAAAGAGCCAACAAGTCAACATAGACACAAGGCAGCATTTCGCCCTTGAAATAGTGAACCAGATCATCGGGGAACCAGATAACCGGCACCACCCGTTACAAATCTAAACCTCTCCTTTTTTTTATTAAAAAGAAACAACCTAAATTTCGGGGACCTAACAATTTGCAAGTATATAATGATAAAAAGAAGGCAATAGATACGAACTAAATATGAGAAATGATGGAAAGAATAATTAAAATCAAATAAAGAAAGAAGGAAATTATTAAGGGAAATAAATAAATAATAATAATAATAAATAAATAAATGATAAGGGAGTACTTATCTGAACCGTCGACCAAGAAGTGTAACCGCCACCTCGTTCGTGATTGTAACCGACAATACCGCATTCTCAAGAGACCGTTCGTCTGCCCTGTCTCTCCTGGCGGTTCGTCGATTGAGTCGGTTACTCATACGAAACAATTACATCCCATCCGTGCGTCTCTTCCTCTGTCTCTCCTGTCTCCTCACCTTCCGTCAACGACCGTTCGGTTTCCAATTCCCGTAAGGATCCCTTCGCCTACCACCATCCTTCAAAGCCGGTAGCGCCGCCGCATCTCCTCTTCCTCGACGGCGGCTCTTAGGATTTCGCGGAACCTCTGGGCGGTGCAGGATTCGATCTCGAACGGCTGGCAGGACTTCCAATCCATCGTGTCGGCGTCGATCCTCTCCGGCAGCAGCTGCCGGAACCCTTCGAATCCCGTGTACTTGTGCGGGATCTTCCGCTTCCGCAATCCCTTGTCGATGTACACCGTCAGACCCCTCATTCTCCTCGCGCCGGCGATCGACATCAGATTCTTCATCATCGCGCCGAGGCCGCGGCCGCCCTCCGATTCGTCTTCGTCTTCCTCCTCGGCAGCGTACCAGCCGTCGACGATCAATCGCGATTTCTCTGCCACGGAATCGACGGATTGATCTTCGAGAAAGCCACCGCTGGGGCGGAGGCTTGCTTGATTCTTCCACAACGGAGCCATTTGCTTGATTGTTTATCTCCACTGCTTACATGTTCATGTCTTTTACTCATTTGATTTGTCTTGCAGAACTAAGTACTCGTTTGTTTCATGGAATTGATCATGGATTTGGTACTTAAAAACCAAGTATCAATGACTTTGTACACAATCCGTCGTTTGCTTGATGGATTTAGGAGGAATAAATCAGTGGGCCCCACGAACTTTGATGACTTTTTACAATTTTAACCCTACTTATTTCACTAATCATCTACTCATCCTCTTTCATTTACTAATTATCAACTTGAAGTGCATATTAATTTTAAATTCAATATTTATTATTATTCATTGCACGAAAGCACTACATGATTAATCGCAAAGCATACTTTGTATATTGAAAACCTTAAGGAATTGTCTAATATAACTGTGTGTATAATATAATGTTGTTATTGATTAATGATGTTCATTTATCCCGATTATGATAGTGGGATGAACCTATTGGATGAAACTTGTTTTAAACAAAAATTAGTGGGATGAACCTATTGGATGAAACTTGTTTTAAACAAAATTTATAATGTAAATATAAATAATACTCAATAAGGGCATTAAGGTAAATTCTTAATATAAACACAAATATAATAATGCCAAATCCATCATGAAATCCAACAAGCAAACGGTGGTTTGTACCAAAAATTAAATGAGCCAATTCCATCATATATCTATGATTTTGTAAAACCCATGTTTTAATCAAATCTGCATTTTTCAAATCTATGAAGCAAATGAGCCTAAGTGCAAACTCAACCTAATGTTTCTTGTGAACACAAGTACACAACTCTAGCGCTTGAGTAATCGTTTGAAGGATGAATACGACGCCACTAAAATTTCATCTTCTAGCTTAAATTTTTTTTATCACTTTTACAACGTGTCATTATTGTTTTCACTACCTTTTGCTTCAAATTCAATTTGATATCATTAATATCTTTTATTTTTCATAACAAAATTATGAGTGCAACATGGACTATTTATTCAATTGAGCTTGATAAAAAATAGTAGGCATTCGATATATCAAAATGCAACAAATAATCTAAAATGAAATTATAAAAAAAAAGAGAAATGAATTGAAATCAAAGATATTAAGCAGCTAGCTAAAATACAAATCTATTTCACCCTTATTATCCATACCATATATGTAAGAGCACTTCTACTATGCTATATAGCATTGGTGCTTTAATGTACAACTTAAAGTTGTACCATAACATTAAATGTATAAGTTTAGGTTGTACCATAAAGCAATTTGTATCATTATGTGATGATACAACTTTACAACTTGAAGTTGTACCATCACATAAAGGTACAAGTTCAAGTTGTACTATAAAAGAATTTGTACAAAAAGTATAACTACAATATGAAGTTGTACCATGACATAAATGTACAATTTTAAGTTGTACCATAAAAGTAAAAACCTATAGCACCAATACTATATAGCATTGTAAAATTTCGATATGAGTATTATTTGATAAAGCCCTCATATTGGTAGAATTCTAAGTTGGTCAATGCATGACTGAACTTCAATCTCGTAAAGATCGTTAGCTTCCAAAGCAACCGAGTATGTCATTCCACGGTAAGCAAGCGGATGATTGTCGTCCACGAATTCCGGCGCCGGAGCTACAAATTCGTAGATAGACGGCCCGTGGAGTATGCCTATAGAGATCCTCTCCACCTTGTAGGTGTCCACCTAGGCACCAACACTCGATGGACGTGACTCTTGTATTTACCATAGGCCAGAAGCTACGTTAACGCCCGATTCCAGATTGAAAGCATTCTCGATGTAGGACTCTTCATGTCCCAAGATTAAGGACATTGTCCTTCCTAACCCCAATGTCACTTCATGGACTCTCCTCTCATACTCTCCCAACGTCTCTCTACAAATTGCCAACAAAATATGTTCATCATCGTCGGTGAACACTCGACTACTTGACCAACAAAACCAGACTTTGATATCATGTCAAGAACTAGCTAGTTAGTTTCAACAACTCAAATTGTTAGGAGAATGGATCTTATACCGCTATCTTACGGTACATACCTAAATGATGGAGGATTAGGAGGGCAATGGAACGTTGGACGAGCGAGGAGCTTGAGATGTTCCCTGTTCTCACCGAAGTGACTCCTGGCATCCCAAAGAATCCTAGCTTTGGGATCATCTTTCTTGTACTTGCTCTTCTCTTCCACCGACGTTTGCTCGAATAAATTTGATTAGTGTGTGGTAGAAGATAAGATTAGTGTATGGTAGACTGAATAAGATTAGTGTATGGACGATAAGATTAATTCATGGTCTAAATAAAGAAACTCACTATATACGTAAGAGACGATAAGATTATTGTATGGTAGACTGAACCATATATATTGAAAATAATAGTGATCATTATGTAATTTTTCAATGACAGGAAGGTAATTTCCAAAATAAATGGTTGAAATGTAAGTTAAATGCCACATGGCACAACCTAACCCACCCAACTCTAATTGCATTCTCTTTATATCGTTGCTCTATCGTAATGATTGTATCTAATTTAACAAACGAGAAGTTTGGATCTTAGCAATTTAGTAATTGAGGGACCAAATTGTACAGAATTTCCCCTCTTTACTATTCTCTCTCTTTCTCTCCATTTCTTTTTCTCTCTCTATTATGCTACTTGTCTACTCAATCTCTGCGCTGCCATTATCAATCTCTATCCTTCTATGTTGAGACTACCACAAGACAACCTGGGGGCGTGACAATTTGGTATCAGACCCGAGACTTATAGCAAAATGACGACCACGAGATTGGAGGATTGACTAAATTCGTTACCACCGAAGTTGAGTCATAAATTGAGGGTTTCCGAACGGAGGTGATTGGTTTTGGAAGAACAGATGGCGACTCATTCGATCAATTGCACGATCAGGTTGATCTATCGGAAGCTCACTCACATCAATTCGTCACTATCAACTCAAGTTTGGATCAGTGAGAACTATGAGGAAGAGTTGATGCAATGCAACTATTTCATGACACTCTAGTTGGTGGATTTTGGTCTCCGGCCACTTATAAGAGAGTTTAGAGGTATTTTTGGTAGCCTGGTAGTAAGAGTGACTTGAAGAATTTTGTTAGTGTGTGGGATGTAGGGGTGGCTATACGGTCCTGTTCGGTTAAATTGGCCCAAATTGATCCGGTCCAGTCCGGTCTTTTTGAAAATATAAGGACCGAAGATTGGATTGGATATAGTCCGGTCTTGATCCGGTCCGGTTTTGATCCGGTCCGGTCCCAATTCGGTCTTGATTTTACATTGAGATTGTGGGATTTGAGTGGCCTAAGGCCTTAAAGGGTGAGGAGTTGGTTAAGTTTTGTACTAAGTGCAAAGGTTTGTGACCGTTTATGCAAATTACCCTTAAGCTTTGGGTGTTGAGCTCTCTTATCCGATTTTTTACCTCAAATCTAAGCCCAAAAATTGGATTGGATTGTTTACTATCCGGTCCCGGTCCGGTCTCGGTCCGGGTTATACGGTCCGATTTCCGGTTTTTAATCCGGTCCCGGTCCAAATAGCCACCCCTAGTGGGATGTATGTCATGTCAGAGATGCAAGGTAGATAATCTGCCATATCCAAGACTTCTACAACCTCTGCCTATACATGATAAGGCTTGTTAGCACATTTCTTTGGACTTTGTGAAGGGATTCCCAAGTCCTAGGTAAATGAAGTGGCGTTTGTGGTAGTGAACAGGTACTCCAAATGTGGTCACTTCTTCAGTCTTTTCATACCATCTCAACTATGTCGGGTAATTAGCATAAATGGTCACAAACTTTTGCACTTAGTACAAAACAGTCACAAACCTTTAATTTGTAACTATTTGATAACAAAACTTTTTACTTAGAACAAAACGGTCACAAATTAAACAGTGTGACCATTTCATACCAGTTCGAACTTTTGTTACCGTGTCGTTGCAAATTAGACTTTTGGTGACCGTTTTGTACAAATTAAGTTCAAAAGTTTGAACGATCAATCACCGTTACAATTCGCTCTAGTTGTATGGTGGTTTTGTTAATGTATGTGAATGATATGATCGTTATAAAAGATGACAATGAAAGAACTCAATGGCTCACAAACGGGTTCCAGACTGCTTTTTAGTTGAAAAAACTCTGTCTACTTTCTTACTTTCTTGGTATCGAAATTGAAAGGTCAACTGAGGGCATTCTTATTCGGCAAAGCAAATATGTCGATGAACACATGACCTGACATCTTATATGTCGTTCAAGTGGTTAGTGTCATATACTTAACGAACAAACTACCCTACCTCAAAACATGACAAACATTTAATTTGTAACGATTCGGTAACAAACCTTTGCACTTAAAACAAAACGGTCACAAATTAAATAGCGGTGACCATTTTATATAATTTCAAAGTTTTGTTACCGTATTGTTACAAATTAAAGGTTTGTGACCGTTTTGTACTAAGTGCAAAGGTTTGTTACCATTTATGCTAATTGCCCCAACTATGTCTGTAGCTCAAGTCTTCTTTGACGGGGTCTTCAAACCCCATCGGATGCCACAAACTATTGTTTGATAGTGATAACCTCTTCACTAGCTCATTATCATCCAAACTATTTGAGTTTCAAGGAGTCCAGCTTTACTATTTCACTGCTTACCATCCACAAACAAATAGCCAGACAAATTGCTTGGAAGAGTGCCTTAGTGGTATGATGCATCACATTCCTTATACATGGGATGTTTGGCTTAACTTGGATGAATGGTGGTATAATACAAATTTTCATAGTATAATTTGCATATCACTACCTCTAAATTCCTATATGACTATTCTCCTTCACGAATTTCTATTGAGAATCCTTTATCTACATCAGTAGCAATTGTGGCAGACACAAGCTATAACAACCACAAAGGCTGATTAGCATTCTGAGAACTAATTTGGCCAAAGCTCAGAATAGACAGAAGCATGTGACTCATGCACATAGGAACTAGTGTTGAAACTAGAAACGTAAGGGTCAATTGACATCGCTTGACCCAGACACTATATTATGTTTGGTAGCCATATATGGTGGCAGCACAACGTCTTAAAAATTTTAAATACCGAACAAAAAAATGGGCATTAGCGATCTGCCTGAGTCATGGGCTAGGTCTCTCTTTTTAAGACTTTCACAACAATACTTCATATGACGCATAACAGACTGTTAGTCGGTCTCCTGCGTGATAAAATAGTCAGCCTCTTTGACTCTCTGATTGTGCAAAAATTTGGAGCTCTCTAAAGAATAGTCTTTTGTGTTAACTCTCTTTTTTCTCTGTATATTAGAGTTAGGCAACTCAACTATTTGTATAGAAGAGGTCTACTAATTTCCCTTAGTGGAAGATTGGTAATGGGTGTTTTAAAAGGAAATTAAATATAATAAATCCAAGCAACAACTGATAAAAATTAAATATATATGAATCCCTACCGTACATATAATGACATAGTGATAATACCATACCATACATAAAGCATTCACTGGGGTAGTAGAGTTCTAGGGGTGGCTATACGGTCCGGTCCGGTTAAATTGGACCAAATTGATCCGGTCCTAGTTCGGTCTTTTCGGGAATATAAGGACCAAAGATTGGATTGGATACAGTCCGGTCTTGATCCGGTCCGGTCCCAATTTTATCTTGATTTTAAGTGTTGGGGGTCTCTTATCCGGTTTTTTTACCTCAAATCTAAGCCCGAATATGAGATTGCATTGTTTGCTATCCGGTCCCAATCCTGTCCCGATCCGGTTTCGGGTAAAACCAAACAGTCCGGGACTAAATAGCCAGCCCTAAAGAGTTCTATGTTGTGCAATGCATGATTGAACTTCAATCTCATAATGACCATTGGCTTTCAACCCATCCGAGTATGTCATTCCACGGTAAGCCAGCGGGTGGGAGTCATCCACAAATTCTGGAGCCGGAGCAACAAATTTGTTTTCAGATGGCCCATGAAGTGTGACCATGGTGATCCTTTTTGCCTTGTAGTTGCCCGACACACGATGAATGTGACTCTTATACTTGCCATTCGTTAGAATCTGTCCATAAGAAATTTTATGGTTATTGTAATTAATAACCTCGCTACAAAGAATATTCTGGCCAAAAAGAAAAATTATTACATTACATGATTGAAAGGGTGCATTGAAGAAAAGTTTGATGAAAGAACAAATTTACCTTCTAAGTTAGCAAACAATTACATGACGTATACAAAATAAAATCATTTGTTTGAATCTGATGAATTTCAATTTTGCACAAAATTTTGCATTAATTATGACCATAAATTCATATTTATTTTGATATCTTTTGGGACAAAAAATTTCGAGCTTCGACACTTGACATCATTTCATTTCTTACCGTGACAAATAAACATAGGGCATGTTGACCGGGAGTATGTAATCGGACCCACTCACACTTGATGTTCTAAAAAAACAGCGACTTTGATATTTTTCTCCAAATTCCACAGAATTTTATTTCTTCAAAACGAAAAAAAAGTCTGAAATTTGATCTGAATGAAGAAAAATAGAAGACTGAAAATAACATTAGTGGAGTAAGGACATGTTTCAACCTGGACTATTGAACCTACCTAACTTTCAGAGGATCTAGATTACATATTTTTTTAAAATAAAGAGGATCTAAGAAGTGAAAAGACTTTCTTTATATCATAAGAAAGAATTCCCTTGCTTATGATCATTATCTAAGCTACAATGGATGCATATGCATTTTCCAATCATTTTAGATGGACTTTATATTAAAACAGCAAGATGTTGTATTCTAAATTATATCTTACTAATCATAAAAAAAAAAAAAAAACTGCGTGAAGCCAAGATTCTGTCATAGTATAATATGGCGTGGAAACTAGTTTGTCATTTGGGAACGATTCTGTACCTAACTTTTAATAGGTGAATTTCTCTCTAATCCGAACCATAAATCTCAATTAATTATAAAAGTTAATAACAAACGGTTCTGATTCATCAAAATATACCATAGTACATATAAAAAGTGTGAACGTAGGTATATACCTCTAAATGCTCCCCAACTTGGATGAGGATGGCGCTGGGAGGAATGAGAACGTTGACCCATTTTCCTTGATGGGTTAGGATTTGAAGGCCACCGTCCATGTTCTGGACGAGGGAGACGATGAAGCCAGGATCGGTGTGTTCAGGAAGCCGAATGCTGCCCTTCGAGTGCAAGTTTGGTGGGTAAACATTCATGGCAGCGACGTCGAAGCCTGACTCCAGATGGAGAGCATTCTCGATGTACGACTCTTCCTGCCCTAAGATTAGGGACATAGCCCTAGCCAAACCCAGTTTCACTTCATGGAATTTGGTTTGGTACTCCCCCAAAGCCTCCCTATACATATTCAACAACAACAAGAAAAAAAAAGTGGATCAGTAAGGAATTTAAAAAAAAAAGTACGTAGAGAAATTTACTTTTAACTACTTACACGCATGCTGCTATAGAAAGTGGATGGATAGGGTGGTAACTGGTGATAAAAGGTGACAAATGACGGTTCGTATATTTTTACTATCTGGGTATGCAGTAATTCTATACTCTCTCTGTTATGTTCATACCTGAAGGATGGAGGATGAGGCGGGCAATGAAACTGTGGGCGAGCAACGAGCTTGAGATATTCCCGATTCTCACCGGCGTGACAATTGGAATCCCAGAGAATCTTAGCCCCTGTATGCACTTCCCTGTACTTGCTCTTCTCCTCCACTGCCGTCTCCCCCAAGAAATCCGATATCCCCCTCACCACGTCATCCATCACTCCATCCTCTATCCCGTGGTTCACCAGCTGCATGCATTTTTACACTTCATTTCTAGCATAAAAAAAAACTTTGCTGGGAAACCCTAAACATGCATGAAATATATATACACGTACGTTGAAGAAGCCGTAGTCTTCACAGGCTACGGAGAGGCGGTCCATGGCCGTGGACCGCCGGTTAGGGTCGGCGGAGAAGAGGGCGAGGTAGTCGATCGTCGGGATCTCGTCGCCGACTGACATTCCTGCTGGTGATGATGAATCGATAGGAATAGTAGCGCCATTAGAGGAGAGTTGGTGGCTGAAATTGCTCGGAACAAGAAGTGATGATGGAATTGTTAGAACCATGTTTTGATTTCTCTGTAAGAAATTAAACCCTTGCTGGATATTTTGTTCTCTTTTTTGTTTCTTTTCTTCTTTTAATGAACACTTGGCTTGCTCTAGGGCTGGGCTATTGTTCTTGTGCATGGCGTGTATAGTTAATGGGTTTATATATATAGCGACGGGGTCTCTTTGGAAGCATGTGCCGACTGCATTTGCTCGAGCATCGTTGGGAAAAATATGCTCATGCAATTGGGTCGTATTTAAGGAGGTTTAATATGGTTGTTAAACTTTTTTTTTTTTATAGCAATTGGAAATATTCATGTACATGTAATAAACTCCAAGTCTCCAACTAATTACGAAAACAAAGTTTATTTCCTTACACCATAAAAAAAACCATTAAAAAAGTTTATTTCCTTACATTATTTTGAGTGATTTATGTATATACCAAATATGTTACTAGATTTTGTTTTTCTTAAATTTGATGTATTAAACTCCGAGTCTCCAACTCTAGTCTTTTTTTATTCCATATATATGTATACAATATGAGGCCACTTGATTTTCCAACGTCATTTTGATAGGTCATTTGCTAATTAATTGTTGTCCAGCCTTCCTTCAAATTTCTTGAATGGCGGAAAAGCCGTTGCTCATGGCATCTAGAGGTAGCGGTGGGCACGTGTGTGGGTAATTCGCGGTTAAGCATCGATCCATCCGTAAATGATCTAAATCGCGACGGATGGGTGATTTATATGGGTGGATTGTGGGTTGGTAAATCAAAACCCGTACTTATCGGGTGAGTGATTCCGCACCCCATTCTTACATGGGAAATAGTTGTTTCTTGTTTATACTACCGAATCCTAATAGTCATCTTATTTCTTAACCGACAATACACACTGACAATCAACTTCTAAAGGCGGAAAATAAAGAATATAATTGGTTACTACTATTGGTCACTATGTTATGTAATGTTCATTATGTAATGAGATTCAAATTATAAACTATTAATTGTATCTAAGTAAGAAAAAAATTAAACTTTCTACATAATTGGTTGATGAAGTTACGAAAGAGTTGATACAAGTACTTGACATTTCCATAGGAGAATAATTGAGAGGTATCTAAATTGATGTAGTCTTACTAATTTGTGAGGAATTTATTACAGATGCTAGTCAACTTGCCCAATTACCAATTATAGAATTGTGTTTGCGTGTTAACCCACAACCCAACCGCGTCCATCCACCATTCACTCAACCTAATCCGAGGAAGTGTGGGTGAGTTGCAGGGATGAGCGTAGCCAGGATTTAGTCGAGGGTAAGTCCATTTTGAAAAAAAATACATACGATAAAATAGTTTTGTTAGATTTTTAAATCATTCATGACATAATTTTGTACTTACAAAACTTGGTAAATTAAATATACGTCAAAACTATCGAACACATGATTTCTCGGTCAATCATTCTCAATTATAAGTGCCCTAAACTTTATTCCCAATGAACTATTATAATAATTTACTTATTTCGTCCTTAGGCGCCACCCGTTACACACACTCCCTACCCCTGATTGAAAAAGAAAATTACAAATTAGCTATGATTTGGTGAAATTTTGTTGTAGATATTGAATAAGTACATCTTCAATACAAACTTATAAATCATACATAATTTTTTTGAAAATCAACCGTTCTCATTTATATATGTGTTTTTCATACTCGATTAACTGTTATACCTAATTTAACATTAATTTTTCCTCCCGCTCCTGATTGCGGATCACTTTTGTACCAACTCGTTGGTAAACAGGTGAATCAGTTTAACAGCGAAACCCACTCAATACCTCCTGGCATCCATGTTAAGTAGCCGCCAATTCCATGCGGACGGCCTTACTATATTATCTTCTAGCTAGTCATTGTTGATGGTTGTGTTGGGTTAGGTGGCCGGCGAGTGGAGCAGTCACTAGTCAGTCGTACGTAGCTTCGTCGCCGGTGGGTACTTAGTTTAATCACCGAAACACCAACTTGTTAATTGTGAATGGTTAACAAAGCTCTAATTGTTCCACATATGGCAGTGATGAAGACAAGATCCGACACAACGGGGTTTGCCATATTATCAACAAGTTGCAGCTCGGAGCAGGTGCAAAGCTAGAGCTTTATTTGGCTACACTTGATTAATGATTATGACCAAAATGACAGATAATTTGTTAATACAAACAATGACTAAATACATCATAACTTCGCCAATCATCCATCAATAATTGGATGTGATAATCATTTTTATTCCTATTGGTCGACTGGATGGGTCGTTTACAAATGGTCAAAAAATAAATTATTTAGAAAATATGATATTTGTGGCAAAAAAAAAAAAAGCACATGATGTGCCTATTTTTAGAAATACATATACCTAATTCGTATTGTATTAGTAATAACGTAATTTATGGATATTTCTAGTGAATCGTATGAAATCAATTTTTACATGTTATTTGAGAAAAATATGTAGAATTTTATTTTGGGTAAATACAATATATTAGCCACAACTATTATGTAGCGGGGAATTATAGCCACAACTATGAAAATTCAAATTATTAGCCATAACTATTGTTGCGGGTCAAGATATGGCTAACTGACTGTTACTATTATTGAATTTTTGACAGAGAAGGCCACCTCATCGGCCACGACAGCGGCCACGTCGGAATGCTTTTAATTTATAACTTTAAAACATAAAAGTTTAGTGAGTATTACTAACGAAATTGTTAACAGATAGTTAACGTTTGGCTAATAATTTGAATTTCCATAGTTGTGGCTATAATTCACCACTTCATAATAGTTGTGGCTAATATATTGTATTTACCCTTTTATTTTTTTACGATAGAATAAAAGGAAAATGTTTCATGAATGAAAAATAGTGATAATAGAATGAGTATTGGGTAATTCAGTTTAACTAGTTGAAATATCAAATCTAAGTAGTTGAAGAAAAATCAAAATATGAGAAATATGAATAAATATTGGGGTTAATACCTTATGTTGGCCCCAACTATACCCAAATTTTCTACTTTGGCCCGTGGTTTTTGAAATTGTTCCCCTGGCCCGAACTATGCATCGTACTTCCTTGCTTAGCCCGACGCGGATTTTGACCGTCAAATTGGACGGTCAATTCCATTGACCGTAAGTCAAGTGCCAGGTCACTTGCCATGTTTGAATGATTTGTTATACTTTTTGATATTTTTTATTGTTGGATTATGTGAGTACTTTAGGGGATTTTGGGTGTTATATGGTATTTTTGTAGCAGGGTTTAATTATGGGTAGTTTAAGAAAATTTGCTACTTATATATATTATGTAATTGTGGTTTGGATTTGTAGGCAGACAGAATAGATGAATCGAAGCTAAGGTTGGCAATTTCGCCATCGTTTCCTCCCTTGTAACCGGTGTCGCTCTAAGTCGGGAGAGTGATCTTGTTGGCAGAGTAACTTCCCTCTAACTTCCTCCTCTCACAAAATACCAAGTTGTAAATCTTAGAAACCTATTTATAGGTCTTGGATTAGGGTTTCTGGGGAGAAGAACTCGGCCTTGATGCATCATCCACCCAATCAAAAGCTTCCCTCCATACAACTACTACTTAATGATAACTTCTGGATGCCTTCTTAACGAAGTAAGTACCCTTCCCAAAATGGCTGCCGTGGGCTGCCGATTCAGACACCATTTATGGGCTTTGATCTTCTCTTCAAATCTTGCTCCAGCAGTTGAGTCTCAATGTACCTCGTTGCTCCCAAGTGGCCATTTTCGTTGATCTGAAAATGCACAAAATACTACCAAAATATATCATAGTAATAAATAGAAATGGCAATTGGGCAGGGTCTGGGGCGGGTATCTCGATACCCATACCCGCCCGTGGCAGGTCGGGTAATTTATCACGGGGCGCGGTCGGGGCAGTCGACCCAATGGGTATGTAATTTATGTGAAAAATATTAGAAATATTCGTTATTTTCCTTAATTGACCAAGAAAGAAACCATAGTATGATAAAATGTAGTTAAGTTATTGGAAAAATAATATTTGTTATTTTCCTAAGTAATTTGACTAAGATTACATGTAATTTGAGCAAGAACAGGGCAGGGCAGGTCGGGTCGGGTCGATGAGAGGTCCTCATTCTCGCCACTCCCCGTCCCAAAACAGAACAAACATGTCAGGTAAAACGGGTCAGATCGAAATTACCATCCCTAGTAATAAAGCAGTCATAAACACACTTTGAGCATTAAGATGGCAAGGTATTATGACAATAGAGATGAGAAATCAATGCACTTGTGATCACAATACGTGGGTCTAAAATAGTATATTTCACTTGTAATCAGTTGATAGAGATAAAGAGGAGACCAAATGGATCTGGTATTTACAAGTTCAGACGATGTGGCTTAAGGATCCTAACATCACAACCATTGGTAGTAAGTTTTGTGAGGGTATATGCCGAATGATAGTTTTTTTTATTTCTTTTGGATCGATGAAAATTTGATTTGCATAGTTGGATCAGGAACTAATTTGGGATATTAAGGATGATAATTGATAAAATTGAGAAGTTGTTAAATGCCTTCAAGTACAAGCCCAAGACTAGTAAAATTATTGAGCAAATGAAGGCCTTGGAAGTAGAGAACTGAACTTACATAACAAAAGAAGTTGTTTTGGAAGCAAATCTCCAAAGCTGATTGCCTGAAAGAAGCAGATAAGAATATGAAGTTCTTTCATTCTAAACCGCCACCTAGATGCAAAAGAAAACAATTAAGATGCTTAGAGATTAAAATGGCAAGTTCTAGTCTTCTACAAGGGGTGGCAAGATACATTAATGAGTACTTCCATACCCTTTTCACAAAAGGGACAATATCCGGCACAGCGGCAGCCTTCCCGGATCCAAAACTCGTTTAGTACTTGTAAATTTTCGATTTTGGGTATATATTTTAGTGTTTATTGGGTTAAGGCACAACCCTCTCCATCGCTTTTTAAATGCGGTCCAGTACTCTAACCTGTTCTGGATCCGCCGTTGATCCGACGCTATTTTGTTATCCAATCTATGGAGAAGAAGGTGACCCCGACTATAATGAAATACTGTTCAAGTCGTTTAAAGTTGAGCAAGTGAAGATAGCTCTAGATCATATGGGTCCAAACAAGGCCCATGGTTAGATGTATGAATCACAATTGACAGGTTCGAGGCGGGTATCTCGATACCCATATCTGCCTCGTAGTAGGTCGGGTCCATATCGATTAATTTATCACAGGGCGCGGATCGGGGCAGGTTGATCCGTAATGGGTGTGTAGTTTGAAAGGATAACGTTAGAAATGCCCATTTTTTCATTAAAAACCAAGAAACAAACTAAAATATGATAAATATAGTTAAAATTATTCATAAAATCGAGGTTCTCACCTATTTACAACTTCATTATAGCTAACACATGATTCAATAAAAGTAAAATCATAAGTAATTTGAGTAAAAATACATGTAAGTCAGGCAAACGAGGGTAAAAAAGGGGGCAAGGCGGAGCGTGTCAAGTTAAGAAGATTACAATACAAGTCAAACAAGTCGGGTAAAACGGTCAGGTCAAAAACTACCATCCCTAGTTAGATGGTTTCTCCGTAAACTTTTTTCAAAATAACCAGAATGTTGTGGGTCCTGAGGTAACTGAAACAACCCTTAAAAATTTAATACAGGTGAAGTCTCGCTGCAGAGCTAAATCACATTTTAATCTCTCTATGGCAAAAAAAAAACTTTAGAACAATCAACCTATTTGAGCTCGTTTACAAAATCATTTCAAAAGTATTGGCGAAGATGTTAACATATATATTCTAAAAAATAATACCATCTTTCCCGCAAGATGTCTCACTAATAACTGTCATTGTTGCTTTCTAATGTTTTCGGTTCATGAAGCTGGGGAGAAAGGAAAGGATGAGTTGTTTGCAATTGCAGCAAAGTAGAATGGTATCTTGGGCTTGGAAATAAATGGATTTGAGTATTGGGCTGACAACCAACCTCTCAATCTGTTGAATCTTATTAAGACCGATTTGGGCCAGGACCAGATGGGTCCATCTTGAGCCTTAATTTGCTGAAAATGTTACACAGATTTTTCTATAAAAATGAAGAAAAAAAAAGACTTTGCAGTCAACGCAACACACCACACACGTCGTCGTGGTTTCTGGTAACGCGCAAACATAAGGCTTGGAAATTGGAATTTGATTAATCTATCGTTCCAATTTTATAGAAGTCAAAGGCAATATACAGAAACTTCTGAAATGGTCGCAACTCCGCCGCCCTGACGTGGAAATAGGAATGGAATCTCCTTTACATCTTCATAGTTCAAACTTCATATTTCCTTTTTTTCTCTTGTGATCCACAAATTTATCGACGACCAATGACTTCAATTTCTTGAATGACATCAATTTCTACGGAAATGACAATGACACAGATTCGATCGAAAAGATCTCTTCTTTCAAATATCCAACTTCTCGAAAGATATTGAGATCGTGAGATTTGAAGTCTCGAGAAATTATTCAAATCATGAAATTTGCAGAACCGATTCTTTTCTCCACCTTAAAAAATTATTCGAAATCTCATTTCTCCTATCTCTTGATGATCAGCCTTCACCGTCGTAGATGAACATCATGAAAGAACTCTATATAATATTTTTCCCAAATTAACGAAATCAGGAATCTTGAATATGTTTTTAATTTGAAAATTTGTAAAAAAGAATAAAAAAAAAAAATCAGTCGAAAGTTCAGTCAAAATAGTTTTGTTAATTCCAAATCTGGCTGGCGGTTGCTAAACGAGTAACGAGTAACGAGTAATTAGAAGTTAGAACGCCGAAGAGGAGATGCTGACTACTGGTGATGGGGGGAATTTTCTTTTACAGCGTTACCGAACAGTCGGGATCAACAAAAATAACACCATTCTCCATTTCCTTTCTCTTTTCTTCTCATCACGCGTCAACCCATCCCTCTTCCCAAAAAATACAACCTTCCCCTCTCTTCCTCTGATTTCTCCGAACAAGTCCCCAATTGTCGATCCTTCCTTCAATTTGTTGGTGATTCCCGCTTTAGAGCTCAAGGCTAGAGATCCTCTCTAGACTCACCCTTTCGGTAAAACCTCACTGCCTTTACTTTCGTTATTTCGGGTAAAGAAGGGTTCTTTGGCTGTTTTCTGGGCAGGGTTTCTCTCGTTTCTCGTCTTTCGTACGAGGATTGTTGGTGGGTTATGCGTTTGGCCGTTTGGATATCCGATTCAGTTGTTCCAGATCGTTCTGGTCAACCGGGTTGTTATAATTTCCCTCTTCGGGGTTCTTGCTTTTGCTTTGTTTAGTTGATCATTTGCTCTGATTGATGGGTAAGGGTTGGAATTGGCTGGTGTTGTTGCTCAAAAGTTTAGATGCTGGTCATTGTTAGCAACTTTATAGGATAAAAGTCCAAACTTTGCAGAGAACTGATTGTTTATTTCACTTTGGTTGTTACAGGTTCAGTGGAGGTTAGTTCTGGCTTTGATTGAACACACCTGGTGCTGCTAATTATGGCTAATGATGCGGCAGCTTGTGCCGAGAGGGCGACTAGTGATATGCTGATTGGTCCTGATTGGGCTATCAACATTGAGCTTTGTGATATCATTAACATGGATCCTAGGTATTTCCTGATCTCTCAGCTTCTTTTCTGCCCATTTCAGTTCTTAGTTGGACCTCTCTTTCTGGTAGTCTGCTCTGGTGTGTGAGACACTAAGCGGGTGTACTTCATGTCCTAGCAAGTAGGGTTTTTGTTGTTGTTACTGAATGTCAAATGGTTCAGCTTGGGGAGTGATGGAGTTGGCTGTTGGCCATTAATCAAGATGTATCAATTATTGGTTTGATGTTATAGTTTGAGTGCGCAATTTTTCTGAACTGCTTTCACATCTTAGCTTGATCAAAGTTCATGTAACCTCTTTTATGAGATTGTTACTGGCAAAAATGGAGTATTTTGTTACTCTTCTAATTGGAATCCTTTGGAATATGTAGTGAGGACTTGGATTGTTGAGATTGTTTATTGTGAGTTTGCGAGTAGCAGATGCATGGAAGTGTATTCGTTGTCGAATGCTTTGAATGTTAACTTAGACATCAGATGATTGCTTGTAAATCAGATTTGACAGGAGGCTGCAACTCTTATCATATCAATCCTTGTTCTGTTGGTATTATCTTTGGTTTGTAGTGATACTTTATGACGTTTCCTATAACCAAGTTGGATTCTAATGTGATAATTCGTATATTAGTGCCCAATTTGAATTGTTATTCCTTGTTGAATGCTTTGACATTGCAGGCAAACAAAAGATGCATTGAAAGTACTTAAAAAGAAGCTAGGCCACAAAAATCCGAAAATTCAAACGCTCTCTCTTTTTGTAAGTATTTGTTCTACCTCTTAAGATCCACTGGCTTGGCTTGTATTTGTTCAGATTAGATATACAAAGAACTAAAAGGAACTTCTCTGATGCCAGTTGTTGAAAATTCAGATTCTGTTTCAGTACTTGTTTAGGCCTGTAATCCTAGGCAGATTTATAAGCTATTCTCCCTTATTTTGGTTCAGGCACTGGAGACCCTTACCAAGAACTGTGGTGAGAATGTGTTTCAACTGATCATTGAGCGTGATATCTTGAATGATATGGTTAAGATTGTGAAGAAGAAGGTGAGGGCTTCTCTGACTGTGATGTCAGCATTTCTCCTGCTTTGTTCTAATAGTCTATTTGTAATAACTGTGTGCCCGTTATTGTGATTCTGCAGCCAGATTTGCATGTTAGAGAAAAGATACTTACTCTGATAGATGCATGGCAAGAAGCACTTGGGGGGCCAACGGCTCGGTACCCTCAGTACTATTCTGCATACAATGGACTAAGGGTAATTATTCTCTTGCATGTTGTTTGTCTTTCATTTAGTGCCTTCCACACATAGTTGTCAGAACAGAATCTTCCATTATTAGCTCTCCCTTCAACCTTGTATCATGGTTCCTGTGTTTTTTTATAGCTTTAAGTAGTCATAGCTTAAATTGAGCAAAAGAAATGCACTAAAATTATTTGTAACTAAAAAAAGATTGATATGTTATTCTTTAATGGACAGGCTGCTGGGATTCAATTCCCACCCAGGGAAGAAAATAGTGTGCCACTGTTCACTCCTCCCCAAACACAGTCAATAGCACCACCACCTGTTGCGTACGAAGATGCTGCAATTCAGGCATCTCTCGAGGCTGATGATTCTGGTCTTAGGTACACTATCTACATGATATAGCAGTTTTATTTTCTTCACATGCCAATATGCCATCCTTGCTTTTCCTCATGCAAGTATGGAGAGCTGCTTCTACCTTCCATGCATATGATTTTCAAACTCCAATTTTGATGGGAAAATATTTACTTTGGCCTTCTCTTTAAAATTTGTCTCCGGCCTTTCTTTAACATTTGATTTTTTTTTTTGTAAGAATTAACATTTGATTTTGGCCTTTCCTTTTTAATTTTTTTCTGACAATTTTATCACATTTTGAATGATTGACTATAGTTAGGTTTACTTTGAAATTTTGATTTCAGCTTACCCGAGATTGAAAATGCTCGTGGCGTAGCGGAAGTATTAATGGAAATGCTTAGTGCCTTGGACTTTAAGAACCCTGAGGTAAGAATTGGATTCGATATTTGCTGATTTGGAAAGTGCAATCGGTCTGCACTTCTCAAGATGGATAAATGTCTCCTTATTTTGTCCTGAATCTTGGATAACTTTAAAGTATTGTCCATGACCATCTTATCAAATCAAGTCTTAACTTTTCATATTGTGTCCTGAATCCTTGAACAGCCAATGCTTTTAGGGGAAACATGCCTTGATCACTATTGTTTTAGAGAAGCTTCCATGTTGTAGTTGCACTCATTTCTTTCGTGCTCTAATGTCTTATCCCGTCTTCATTACATCCTTACAAAGTCATAAAACCTGTTAATTCAATCCAGCCTCGGGGATTCTGGGCTCTTAGTGACCTTTGTTTCTTTCTCCTGGGGAACCTGGGATTTTACTTTTGTAAGTGTTGGCTGGGTTTCTCTTGTACTGTCAAATCCATTTTGGCATCTGTTTGAGCATTTTGTTTCATACTAGCTAAAAAAAATTCTTCCTTTTTTGGATTGTTTCAGAAATGTTGGATTTTTTTCTAAAATGGTGGATTTGATGACAGGGTTTGAAGCAAGAATTGATCGTTGATCTCATTGACCAGTGTCGTTCCTATCATACACGAGTAATGCTTCTTGTGAATAACACAGCGTAAGAACTAACTAAATCCTCATTTCCTTTTCATTGCATTGCTTCTGTTACTACTATGCTGACATTGCTCGTGACACAATGGTCTTCTAGGGACGAGGAACTCCTTGCACAGGGACTGGCATTGAATGATAACTTGCAGCGTGTCATTAGCCGCCATGATGATATTGCCAATGGAACTGCTGCTCAAGTTGGATCTCAAAAGACAGAAGCCCCATTGGTGCCACTTGTTAATGTTAACCATGAAGATGATGACTCAGATGATGATTTCTCCCAGTTGGCTCATAGGTGCGTATGTTTACTTTATCCAAATGGCCCATTGGACACTGGAAAACTTGAGACTGAGATCGAAACAATTTAAAGGTCATTTGAATGTAGTTTTTTATTATTAAAAAAACCCCTTTCTGGGGTAGCAGAAAATGATATCAAGTCCGGGATTTGGAAATCCATGCGCTGTACGGATTATAGAAACCCATCGTTTGAGAAGGGTTTCCTGAATCCATCCGTAATATTGTCTATTTTCTGCTCATGTTCTTTTGCTTATTCCAAATCGTTATTCACCCTACACTGATATATTTCGGCCAGGTTGTTAAGGTTGTTTTGTGTGATCAATCATTTTGATAACCCTATATCCAAAACTATCCTTATCCTAACTAGCCTATGTCTCAACTGCTTTGTTTCCAGATCATCGAGGGAGAACTCGCATGGACAAGGCCGGAAGCCAGCCAGTGTCAGGACACCGCCACGTGGTGCCACTCCATTCCTTGCTCCGCCACCTTCATCGAAGAAGCCAGTGAGCTCAGAGGCTGCCGCGGTTGACTATCTCAGCGGAGACCTGTATAAATCTGAAAGAGGATCATCCCTCGACGACACATCAGAACCACCACCTTTCTCCGTGCCAGCTCATCTCAGACCGCGCTCCTCCTCCCCTCCATATTCCCCTACGTCATCTCCTCCACGGCCTCCACCTCCTCCACCTTTTCTAAATTCCACACCTCCCATGTTTGCCGGAAAGCCCATATTTGACGAGCCAGCTCCGCGGAGCAAATCTCCTGATCAGCTACCTCCAGCTCCATGGGAATCACCATCCACTGTAAGTCTTCCACCCCCACCAGCCAGGCATAATCAGAGACAGCAATTTTTTGATCAAGCTGGTGGAAGTAGCGGTTCTGGTTCCTCTTATGACAGCTTAGTTGGTCAAGCTCAGAACTTGTCTATGAATTCGTCTACTACACCGAAGAAGGATGCAAAGCCAGAGGATGTCCTGTTTAAAGATCTTGTTGATTTTGCGAAAGCCAAGTCGTCGAGGCCCCCCAGCGATAGATCATTTTGAGGTGTGATGGCTTTATTGGTACAGCTTGAGATTACTACTTTCATAGGCACCTGGGTTTCACCCCTTTTGTTCGTTGAGATTGATGTGACTTAATAAAAAAGGCTGCTTCAAGCTTTTCGTATATGTATGGTGAGTGAAGTCTTGTTAGTCATCGGGATCTGAGGTTCATAATAGGTGAAGAGTAAACTGCTGCGTATTGCATTCATTCCTAGTGCATGTTTACTCTTTGACTGGATTCGTTCTATGTATCATATTCTTATGCTTTTTGAATCCTTTTATTGTTTTTTGTTTAAACCCATTAAGCTTTATGTGCTCTATGTTGCTAGATGTTCTAACTTGTTAGCATATAGCCGTGGTTCTTAACATAGTACCTGCAACAACAATGTCTCGTGCATGTGATGTCGACAACTCGAAAAATCACCAAACTGCTGCTCGTGCTGGCGATGCAGATCGATGGACTTCACATTACTTCACATTGGGTGGTAATTGTGAGAGAAGATGATATCGAAAAGATCGGATTTGAAGGAAAAAGTATTTTACTGAACAATTCCAATTAAAATTGGTTGTTTCTGTTACGCCGAACAAATAAATTTCAAAGAAGGTGCTAGACTTAAGGCAGACGTTGAGATTTGGTCTTGTCTTGCACCTAGCTCGTTTAGACATCAGCTATGCCTGTCTGGACGCTAGGAGCAAAAATAAAAATTTGTATTAAATGAAGGATGAAATTAAAATTTCCAACACTTGTCACCTCACTTCAAATGAATAATAAGTTACTTAACACTTAACAACATGAAAATTAGCTTACAAGTTCATACAATCATAGTTCACATACTTCTTTAGCTATTGAAAAGATGGATTTAGATGATCGAGTTTGTAAATGTTGTTAGTTTCCCCCATTTGTTAATTACCTCCTAGCTTCATCTAATTATGCATCGACGATATTTACGTATTGCCTTACTTACATCATTGACAAATAAATGTCACATTTCTCTGTCAACATAGTATTAATACCTATTACGCTACATAACCTCTGGACGAGGTGTTTTGAGATTGCCTAACACTAAACATAAAATTAAGAGCGTCTTTTCAACCATGATATATAAGTACAAATATCATTACAATATCACTAAAACAATATATATCTTGTATCCGGTAGCAAAGGCAACTCTTGTAGTTCTGCGGCGCAAGTTGCGTTTAAACTTTACACAAATGATTGATTAATTTTGTTAACATTAATAAGTAAGCCAAAACAGGGCAAGCAAACAGTAGCTGGGTTTGGAGACTTTCCAGTTTCCATGAAACCTAAGGCGCCTACCGGTAAACATAAATTTAAAAACAACAAAACACAGAGCGGCAGAAACCGCAATCCGCCATGGTTTCCATAACCGGTTTCACCCATTTCTTCTTCTTCTTCTCTCTCAAGGATGGCTGACAAGAGGATACTTCCGCTCCACGGTCAACTGCCTTCCCACTTTCTCCCACCATATAAATACAACCCCTTTCCCTCTCTTCATCTCGCCACCATCAACAAACACAACCAAAAGCGTTTTATCAATCCATTTCACAGTTTCCATATTAAACTACTCAAAAGTTCCACAGAAACAGAGCCATGTCGAGCACCAAGGGTCAAGTCATTCGCTGCAAAGGTAACAAATTTCGTTAAAAAGTTCATTTCTTTCGGTTCCTCTGTTTCCCCTGTTTTTTGGGTTCCTCTGTTTTTTTTCCGCAAACTATCCAATTGAACGAAAATAACCGACCAATTTCTTGGTTCCACAGCTGCGGTCGCTTGGGAGGCAGGGAAGCCATTAGTGATCGAAGAAGTGGAAGTCGCACCTCCACAGGAGAATGAAGTTCGCATTAAGATCCTCTTCACCTCACTCTGCCACACAGATGTCTACTTCTGGGAAGCGAAGGGCCAAACCCCAATGTTCCCTCGAATCTACGGCCATGAAGCTGGAGGGTATTTACCCACAAGAATTAACAACCAGATTTTCGAACTGATTATCACATCTCATATTTTGTCTTACCAAGCTCTGTTCTTTTCCCCCCTCAGGATCGTGGAGAGCGTGGGCCCCGGAGTGACGGACCTGGCGCCGGGGGACAAAGTTCTGCCGGTGTTCACCGGGGAATGCAGAGAGTGCCGTCACTGCAAGTCCGAAGAGAGCAATATGTGCGATCTTCTCAGGATCAACACCGACCGCGGAGTGATGCTCGCCGACGGCAAGTCCAGGTTCACCATCGACGGCAACCCGATTTACCATTTCTTGGGGACCTCTACCTTCAGCGAGTACACCGTTTGCCACGTTGGCAGTGTCGCGAAGATCAATCCCGACGCGCCTCTCGACAAAGTCTGCGTCCTCAGCTGCGGTATCTCTACAGGTAACATTTCTTTTCTTTTCCCCCCCAATTTGACGTTGAGCAGATTGATTAGTAGAAATTGAATTGGAACCATTTTTTTTTTGTTTTGTTTGGGGTGAAGGTCTTGGAGCGACTTTGAACGTTGCAAAGCCAAAGAAGGGACATTCAGTTGCCATCTTTGGGCTAGGAGCAGTTGGCCTTGCTGTAAGTTTTTCTGAGATCGAATAGCTACATTAATTAATACGATATTGTCCGCTTTGAGCCGTGAAAAGTCTTTTTGCAACATCAATGAATCCTTGTTTCTGTTGGTAGGCTGCTGAAGGTGCAAGGCTTTCTGGAGCTTCCAAGATTATTGGGGTAGATTTGAACACCAGCAGATTCGAGCAAGGTACATATGTTTCAAATTAGAAGAAATCATAAGACTGTATTTAGTATTCTTCATACTAATTACCGTTATGTTATATGAACAGCCAAGAAGTTCGGTTGCACGGACTTTGTGAACCCGAAGGACCACGACAAGCCGGTTCAACAAGTGATCGCTGAGATGACCGGCGGAGGAGTCGATCGCAGCGTGGAATGCACAGGAAGCGTCCAGGCCATGATCTCTGCATTCGAATGCGTTCACGATGTACGAGTAGAAACAATCCAGACTTAATTTCACATACCAATTTTCCCCTGTTTTCTTTCTTGTGTATGATCATAATTTTACAATGTGACTAAACAATTTTTTGCAGGGATGGGGAGTTGCTGTGCTAGTCGGCGTCCCGAACAAGGACGACGCCTTCAAAACCCACCCGGTGAACTTCCTGAACGAGAGGACGCTGAAGGGGACCTTCTTCGGCAACTACAAGCCTCGGACCGACCTTCCTTCGGTGGTCGAGAAGTACATGAACAAGGTAAGGCAGAGAGGCACAACTAATTCGTTGCAGTAATTTGTAAGCCGGAAGATCGATCAGGGGAGACTGATGACAATGTTTGTGTTGCGATTATATTGTAGGAGCTGGAAGTGGAGAAGTTCATTACTCACTCGGTGCCCTTCTCCGAGATAAACAAGGCCTTCGAGATCATGCTGAGGGGAGAAGGGCTGAGGTGTATCATTCGCATGGAGGACTAGACAGGGACGAAGAACAGAGAACAGAGAACAGAGAGTCCATTAAACATTAATATGTGTTGTTATTGTTGGAGTTCAACTGGTTGGTTTCTGGATTTCTTTGTATGTATGGAGTGATTCTGTCTTTTTAAGTACTCTTGTTACTGTTATGCTTAGTGGACGTTTCTACACATCTTTAATTATCGAATAAGGATGATCTCTAGTGAGAGCGAGTTGGTGTCACAGGTTCTTGTGCAACCTCTCTTATTCTTGAGTTAACAATTTGTTCGTAATGAAGTGAAATCGTAGAGGGCTTACTGATTCTTATTCACCTCTTAGCTTATATGCTCAGCAATGACCACTACAGGACACAAAGTGGTTCATTGCTAGAGTTAAGTGTCTGTTCTTTAGCTTGAAGTAGAAACAAATACAAAGCTTGGCTGAAAAGTAAAGTGTCCATAGACAAAACGACTTCGTATTAAAAGAGAGAAGTGCGCTGGGATGAAACGGTGTGGTTTGGTCATCTGTGTTGTTCTGCATCTTCTCCCTCTCAACAAATTGTGTTTTCAATTTGATTCATGCCTAAGCTGTTATGAGTATCAATGTAGAAATATACACATCATGTTATTTTGCCCAACCATGAGTTTTTGTGTAAGTAGTAGAAGGGAGGATTTCATGATGTGTCGGTTTTGCGGCGTTTGATCGTTACAACGATAGCTTGTAATCGTTTGGCTAGACATTCACTATTAGTAAATGAATCTTAATTGTAATTTTTGTTTCATTCTAAATAAAAAAAAAAGGCTTGGTTTTTGCCTTGTATGTAGTAGCTGCCAAATTGGATAAGAACTTACTTACATTTATACCAAAAGATTTCAGTATTTCCAATTTGGCATACCACATTTTTGGAATTAAATATAAAAAATGAGAAAACAACTTGTAATCTCCATAAATGCAAATAATATCCAACGAATTAAGATATATTTCCTTAACTTGAAAAATGAGTTGGCAAAGGGATTTTCTTCTTTGAGATGTTTCATGTTTGTTCTATGGTCGATTGTCTATATAAACCAACCACAACAACACAACAATATGGAAAAAATCTCAAAGTACACATGTTCTTAAAAAAAAATTTCAAAATACATAAGTTATAAATTTTTTTTCCAAAGCTACACATGTTTGGTATTCACCGTTTTTGACAAACGCAGTGAAGACTATCACCGCGTTTGACAAGCACGGTGAATAATTCACCGTTTTAAATCAAAACGGTGAACCAATCACCGCTTTAAATTAAAACGGTGAAGATATCACCGTTTTAGGGCAAAACGGTGAATACCTTCACCGTTTTAGGTTAAAACGGTGAGTATTAGGCACGTTTTCAACCCCTGTTAGGTGAAAATTAGGTAAGAGCTACCTAATGTTCACCGTTTGAGACAAACGCGGTGATGGTGTTCACCGTGTTTGACAAAAACGGTGAAGATTAGGCAGGTTTTCCTATAAATACCAGGCCACCGGCAATTATAAAAACAAAACCACTCCCCCCCTCTTCAAATTTCAGCAACCAAAAACCGAGCATAATACACAGGCGGGGAATTTTTGGTATGATTTATTTTTCGTATTATAGGTTAATGATGGGTTTTTAGTAGTTATAGTATGATTTAATTTTCATATTATAGCCTAATGATGTTTTTAGTAGTTATATTGTTATGTTATGAATTACTTATCGTAGCAATTGTAGTTGGGAGAAGGGGGGGGGGGGGGGGGGAAGGGATCTGACGAATTTAATTTATGGGATACTTCACCACGTTTGTGGAACGCGGTGAATACACCACGGAAGTCAAAGGCGGTGATGGGGGCGACGTGGACCAGATGTGAGGCGTCGGATCTGGGAAGAAAACCACGATCCGCGCCTCACCGCATCTGACGGCCACGGTGAAAGGAAAAGCGACGTGGATCGCTGACGCAAACAAACACGGGGTATTCACCGCGTTTGTCTAACGCGGTGAATACACCGCGTTTGTCCATGTCAGCGATCCGCGTCGCTTGATCGTGGCCAACTACTGCGGGTTAAACTTCACCGCCTTTAATTAAAACGGTGAAGTATTCACCGGTTTAGAGAAAGACGGTGAATACTTCACTGTTTTAATCAATAGCGGTGAATACTTCACCGTTTTAATTTAAAACGGTGAAATATTCACCGTTTTTGACAAACACGGTGATAGTCTTCACTGAATTTGTCAAAAACGGTGAATGCCAAACATGTGTAGTTTTGGAATTTTTTTTATAACTTATGTATTTTGGGAATTTTTTTTTCAAGAACTAGTGTACTTTGTGATTTTTCCCAACAATATAGTGTATATGATGGACTTGAGAAAGAACTCATACCAGTTAGTGATCTACCAGAAAGGTACGTAGTATACTAAGCACAGAAGCAAGAACATGTGCTTGGAGAAATACATTTCTGCTAAATCACTAATCTGGTTGGAGCTCAGTTTCATTAGGTTAACGAACAAATATTAAAATATGCTTATCATTTTCAATGATTTGCATCCGTTATATTATTCTATCGACGGCGATACGACCATCCTGCTATTAATCATCTAGCTGTGCTATATATCATCCTGCTTTTAATTTGTTGTCACTTTCTCTTTTTAAGAACTACATCACCCTTCAATCAATTGGTTAGCCAAACCAATATATATATATATATATATATATATATATAATAAGGATATTGATGTGGGATATGATGACAATTTTGATATATGATCCGTTTTATTTGATATGTTAGTTAACGGGTTTCATAGACGGGATAGGGTGGGTATGAGTCAACGTGAACCATTCCATTCTCGATCCCATTATGCTTAAAGTTTATGTAATTTTACTCAAAGTACTTATGATTTTAGTTTTATTGATAAAGCTATAAATAGAGAGAGACTCAATTAACTTCTTGAATAATTCAACCACATATATTGTGTTTATCATGTCATAGTTTATTTACCGACTTATTAAGGGAAAAATCGATATCTCAAGTGCTTTTCTTTAAATTACATGCTTATATGAGTCGATCTAATGCGACTCACATACCAAATCAAAATACCTAACCTAAATTTGACAAGCCATACAACATATATTGGTATCTAGATACCCGCACTAACCTACCTAATCATTCCTAAATGTTGTTGAGCCAAATGAACAAAACTAGAGGTGCTAATCGGTTCGGTCTTGGTTGACCACTAATCGACATGGCGGTTAGCAATTAACCAATAAGCAAAAACTCATATTGATAATAGAACTGATAAGCCTTATCAGTTAACTGTCTCTTATCGGTTCGGGTAGCGGTTAGTTTGGCGGTTAACCTATTATCATTAACATACATTCCAACAAGTACGAGTACACATAATAATCAAACCATATATCAAACAAATACCTTTTGTTTTCTTTCACGAAATATAGTAAAGCGAAGTAATTACCACTTTTCATACACATATCATCATCCAATTAAGTTTAACAAGTGTCATTTGATCCTAACCACTTGTAAAAAACAATTTAAATACACTTCTACATTATTAACATAAAATATTAATATTAAGAAAATAACATCAATACAACATCCACCGTAAATTCACAATCCAAATTCGAATTTCAATATAGAAAATAATAAAAAAAATAATCAAACGCCTTCATCTAGTTAGTGAATAATAACTATGGAGGCACCACACACATGCTACTACGGTAATCAGATAGTTAAAAAGGATGACTTTTAGGTTCCGACTCGTAAACACATTTAACGATTAGTTATCCGTGCGATTATCGACTAAAACCGATAACCAAGTAACCATTTATCACCACCCCCAAACAAAAACTAGCTAGCAAACTGTGGTTTTCTCTTTGAAGAATTTTTACCGTCATAATTAATTAATTGAGACCGACCATTCATGTGTGTACGTACGTTTGAGAAAACCGCATGCACACTTTGGAGGAAAGCTGGACTAAACAAGCAGCCCAAAAGCTCCCACCTCCCAAGAATCACCCAAGCAAAACCCTCGTGTTGTCGTCTACAACTCGTCTTCTGGCCTTTCCTAATCAGCGCCATTAACACACTAATCACCACTTCCGTTCACGTTTTAAAGCCACTCCCCCCCTCGTCACATTAATCACCCCTAACCACAATCAAACGTTACTCCCGACTCTCCCTATATATAACCCACAAAACAAAACCCTTCACTCACTCACTCACTCACTCACCCAAACACCACAAACCCAAATCAACCCAACCAGCCATGGCCGCCGCCGCCGCCTCGAAGATCAACAGTTCCCTGGCCGCGGCCGCCCTGCTTATGATCACAGTACTGGTAGTAACAATTGGGTGCGCGAACGGGCAGGAGGGTGCCGGAGGGTGCGCGGGGGACATGCAAGGCGTGATCGTGGAGTGCGCCCGGTTCGTCCAGAAGACCGGACCGGTCGCCGACCCTTCGCCGCAGTGCTGCAGCGCCCTCAAGACGCTGGACATCCCTTGCCTCTGCTCCCGAATCCCACCCGAGCTCACCGCCATCGTCGACATGAACAAGGTCTTCCACGTGGCATCCGTCTGCGCCATCCACCTTCCCGCCGGCACCAAATGCGGAGGTCAGTAATCAGTGTCTACCAATGCAGTCAAAATCGCGCTTTAAAACTTAAAAGCTTACGCTTTTACCTTTTTGGTCACCAAAACGCTTTTACGTAGAATCGTGATTGTCTCTTACAAATATAGTCAAATTCTACGTTTTAAAACTTAAAATCTTACGATTTTAAACTTCTCGGTCACCCAACCATTTTTAGGTAGAATCGCACTTTTGACTGCATTGGTGTCTACTGCTATCGGTTTTTTATTGGAATGGTAAGAAAGGTATTAGGGAAATAGTGGTGAATTAATTATCGTTGTGTTTAATTTTTGCAGCTTTTGCAGTTCCGCCGGCCGCTGCTTGAGAGACTGCGCCTAATGGTGTGGTAGTTCGATGCCCGATGACGAATAATAATGAATGGGTTGTCAGTTATGTAATATTGGTGGCTTTTTTTTTAATTTGTTTTGTGGTTTGCTTTTGTAATTGGTTGGTTTGTAATATAGGCTATGATGAAGTCTATATTAAAAATGAAGGCCTTGGAAGTTCTACAATAATTTTTAGGATGGGAGGTGAATCGAAGTGAAAAAATTAATCTTTGTTTTTCCAAATGAAGTATTGCTTAGAAATCTTAAAACATTCTTAATTTCTAGATTCTATTCGAATCGATCGATTCCTTCGAGTTTCAAACCAATACTTTCAGATCAAGATCTTGAACCTTATATTTAAGACCATAAATTGCCTTTGCAATGTGGCGACTTGGCCGATTTCGAGATCATCCTACAACTATTAACTATAAGCCACTACAACTAAAAGGGTATTGGATCAATTGTCGTGATACAAAGAAGATGGCTCACAGGGTTTTGCACCATTCTTAGCAAAGGATTAATTAATTGGAAATTGAATAAGAAAGCATACAATCTCAAGATCATCCTCAGAAGATGAATAGAGAATATCGTAGATTTGGCATGCAGCAACTAAGACAATTTGAAATTGACGGAGGCTACAATTGTGTGAGAGGTTTATAACATAGTATTACAGTTGGTTCGATCATGATCAGGTCAAATGTTAAAAATCCTCACGACCATCCATATTGATAGTTAATTACAAGTACGTGGTACGACGGGCGCACATGTGAAAACTTCAAACCCCTTAATTGGCCGGGTTTCATTTGAGGAACGGGTAAAGAAGTGGTAAAAGTCCATACATGAACCGCTATCCATAACTCCGAGTTATAATATTGGATCAGTTGGTGCATTTAAAAGAAAATACTCGACCGGAATACATATAAACTTACCAATTTATTATTTATTCAAAACGATTGGGTACATAACATGTCCAAACATGTATCATTAGCCTTTTATTGTTAGTCCCCAATCGATATTACGCCAACTTATGGGCCGGCGGCTCGTTTTGGTTCGGATGACAGTAAAGAAGACATCGCCGGCAGCTGGTCAGTGCTATTACCACGGAGGATTGCATCGGCGGCGAACCTGTTGGGGGCGTCCGATGGAAGACAACAGCAACATCGAATAGTTTTTGGCGGCCGGCAACAATTTAACCCATCGGGATTGAATTCTCTGATAGCACTAACCACAGCCGCAGTGGCCAAGAAAGCACAAAAGAAAAGAGCCAATGTTCGCAGATTTAAACCCATCTTAGTAGAGTATTGTTTTTTTCTTCAAGAAGTTGTGCACGTTGCTTAGGGTTTTTTCTTTTCCTTTTCTTCTTCTTTGGATTGTGTACTCTTATTTCATGAAAAACAAACATATATATAACTCATCTAAGAGCTCTAATCATGTGACAAGAAAAAGGAAACTCGATCAATCTGTATATATGGGAAAATAATAAATATAAAAGAATGTTCAATGAAGGGTAAATTATATATGGAAGTTTCATGAAACAAAAAAAAGAAAAAAAAAACATATATGTAACGCATCTAAAAGCTAATTTGAATACTCATGTGATAAGGAAACTGAATCTGTCTATATGGAAACATAGTAATGGAAATAATGGTCAAAGAAGAGTAATTATATGTGGGATTAATTAGTAAATAATAAATTGACCTTACTAGCCAATTGGCCAAGTGTTTGGTCACATGCATAAACATCAATTAAGTGGTCATATTTCTGTATGTAATTGATATGCTTATTTTTTTTAACAAAATATGATTGCTTCATTCATACCAGATAGTGATACAAGTAAGATACCGTTAAATAAGATTCTCAGTAAGATAAAAAAATCTAACACGAACTATCCAAATTATCCAAATAGTGTTATTTGTGTCCTCAATTATTCAATATGACAAATCTAACACGAACTATTTTTTCGTTAATGTTGACCAGCGTTGACAGTTAGAATTTAACATAAAATCTAGTCAACATTGACGTGACATCTGACATGGACACTTTTCATATAGTTTAGGATATAAATGACACTTTTTGAATAGTTTAGGACACACATGTCACAAAATACAGAAAATTCGGGCTAGATTTGTCATATTGAACAATTTAGAACACAAATGACACTTTTTGGATAGTTTGAACTTTCTAGTGAAATTAACCAAAAAATTGTAATGCAATCTTGTGAGTGATGAGTGAGCATGTGACCAGTCGTCTATGACATTAAAGAAATTCATGGCAACCCTGATGAGTGAGCATGTGACCAGTCATCTAAGGAGCAAAAGAGAGAAAATATGGATTTTCCATGTTGACAAGGTCCAATGACGAAGAAACCTATTGGGAACCATTAGAGTCCAATAGGAGCCCAATAGAGGAAGACTCGGCCCAAACCAGACCAAGAACCAATGGGGGCCCAGTGTCGGGTCCTCTAGCCGCCAAAGCATACGTAGTCAAATCATAGAGAAATCTTTAGGGAGGTTGCTTAGGTGCCAAGGGGCTCATTCCACAAAAAACCCATGAAACCGCCACTCCAAGGCCCAAGCCCAAATAAACATCGATCTTTAGATCATGCTTCAGCCCAAAGTCATAGAGAGACCTTGTCCTAGTAGGGTTAGGAAGGGTTTGGTTGTGTTCTACCTCCATAAATAGGGAGCTAGACTCGTTAGTTTAGTAGGCTGCACAATTTCATTCAAAATTTCTTTAGACACTATATGAGCTCGTATGTTTGTTGGATTTGAAAATGAGGCGTTTGAGTTTTGAAAACCTTTGTATTTATGATGGATTTGTTGCATTATGAATTTAGAAGAGTACATTTTTTTTGTTTAGTTGATATATCATGGATTTATGATTAGATTTGTCTTACATATTTGCCTTCTATTATCAAATACTTCCACGCATTATATTTTCCCAATCCTTAATCACGGATTCACGGTGCAATGTTAAATTTTTGTTGATTAAATAACACTCAACATCATCAGTACCTAACTCCCCAATAAGTACCATCCATAAAAGAAACAAAAACATGAAATTAAATGGGAAAAAATCCTACCAATAACGCGGTAAAAAAAAGAGTTTGTTCCTTTGTGTACATTATCGTTTCTACTGTATATATCTCACTACGACGAGTACCTGTAGCATATTATGCTTCGAAAGCATACTAGTTTGGTCGAAATAAATATATATATTATTGTAAGAGATGAGCCAACCCTCTCAAAAATGTACAGCTGCTTGGTTTTTTTTACCTTTACTGTCCATTTACTCTCAATCTGCTACTTTGCCCTTGCTAGAGAAAACGAACAGGCAGCAAAGACCACTTCTCCGCCTGCATCATCGTCAACACCAATTCAATCAGAATAGTCACTCAACATATAATACCAAACCCAGTTGAAGAATATTGAAAAAAAAATATCATCAGAATTGCCAAACTCACAACCCAATTTCCGAAAAATATTTTTCAGATTCAAGACTATTATCAGTAGACCAAGTTCTTCTTCATCTAATGGATGGTGAATCTTGCTACAATGCTGAACATAAAGATGCATTAAACACTAGTGGCCACAATGTGATGTTAATCGTCCAACACGTACGAGAGTAATATTATCCGAGACTACAATGTGTTGAATGGTTGAGATCGTTGGAGAAGTGTGATTCATTAACATCAATTTCGTGCATATCTATTTCATTCAACCATTTAATTAATCTATATATTTGGTTACTATATCATCGAAGAAATGGCATTTTTTTTTTGTCAATGACATTATCGTCCAACCACTACCAGGAACATCCTCACATCCTCAACGATGCACTAAACTCGAAAATTATAGCCTAATTGTCGATCGAATCGTGACCTCTAAAGAAATCCTTGTGTTGCAGCACTTTTTCAAACAAAGTGTTGATCTAGTATTAGTGTATTAGTGCTGGTCTTCAACCTAACAGTGCTAGATTCGAATTTCTTAACTAGTGCACGTAACAATAAAAATAAATCTATCTAATAATGTCACTCTTAAGCAAATTTACAAACCGACTCCAAATCCCCTGTTTCACAGAAATTATGCCGCAGTTCAAAAGATTAGTGACGGCAAAAGAAAAGGCGGCGATAAATAAAGTTAATTCTAGAGGTTTTCAGTTTTTCAGGTTCAAACCTGTTGCCATTTCTTCTGCCATTGCCGCCTCTACTGCCGTTGCTACCGCGGCTGCTTTTGGAGCTCCGGCTGTTGTTGCTATTACTGCTGCTGCTGAATTCCGCCGCGCTTTCGCAGCTCTCCCCTGCCTCCGCCTCCACCACAGAACAACCTTTCCACCAGTGCCTCTCCGCGCCGCCGCCTTTACTAGCCGTAGCAGGACCTGTAGATCCATTTACCAGCAGAGGCCTCGGCGAAACCCTTCCATCCTTCGGGCTCCCGCCGGAGACCGAAGCCCCCGATCCGTCCTTCCCCTGCTTCCTCTGCTTCTTCATCTTGCTCCTCGATCTCAGAGAATACACCGGACAACCCATTTTCAGCAGAAACCCACCGTTGTCCAGGCTCCCACTTCTGGTCATCTTCGCCGCTGCCGGATTATAACCCTTCTCGCCGATATCGCTCTTCTTCTTCTTCTTCCCCAATTTCACCTTCCGATCAATCTCTCCCCCGTCGTTGATCGAATTCGAATTTCTCTCTTCCTGCTGATCATGATCAGCTCCAATTTGGAGCTGGTGCTCCACGAGATCCTTCAGGGAAAGCTCGTAGCAGCCTTCGGGCATTCGATTGACCATCTCCATCAGCTCCCTCTGTCCTCTGGCGATTGCTTGAGCTCTTGAAGCAGGGGAGAGGCTCTGGTGATGGTTCTCATTGCCCGACCCCTGCCTCGCCGGCGAGGCAGGGCAGTCTGCGGTCCGCCACAGAGGAGGGGTGGAAGCTCCCGATGAGTAATTGGCTTCATCGTCGTTGACCAGCCTGGATTCCTCTGCACAGCTGGAAGGATAGCTCTCCAGCGCCGCCGCCGCCGCCGTGGTCCGCCGGGTTCCGCCGTACTGGCCGTATAATTCGCCAAACGTCATCGCCGGATGGGTAGAGAGAAACGAAAGTGGAACTGGCGGATTGAGGAATAGTGGAGGAAATAAAAGGAATTGGGGGATGTGGTTCACAATTATTTGGTTGGTGAGAGGGAAAGATCAGTTGGGTAGACAAAATTTGGAGGAAGGAGGAATGATGATGATGACCATGATGAAGAAGGGGAGAGGTTTGAAGTGGAGAAGGGATTATAGTATTTAATGATGATGTCATTTTCTTGGTGAGCAATTGAGGACAAAAGGGTTCAATTGTTCCATTTGGTCACTGAACTTAACTATATTTGTCATATCCCACATTGAAACTAAGGTAAGGGATAATCATAATCATGGAATTAAGAGGAAACAACAAAGAGTGATATATGTAGAGGAGACTTGACACTTTAGCTGACTCATGCCTGAGTTCGAGTTGGCAACTTGTTGAGAAAATAGATCAGATCATTTGAAAAATTATGGATCAAATCGTATACTACAGGTTGGTTCGGACCGTTGACTGTTAAAAATGGTTTAGTCTTATTCATGGTTTGCATTATATGATGTTTTGATCTCTAGGTCTGGTCTAGTATAGACCGCGATTTGCAGTACCAAACGATAGACCCAACTGACTTCTTAATACATGTTAATTATATTAGCAGTCCATTCGGTCACTCTCCCGACAACCCAAACAAGATCCAAGTCTCAATCCTAATTTTGAGAATCCCATCCGATCCCCTCCTTCATTAACAACCCATTTCACTAGAGAATAGAGACTATATCATGTCTTCATATTACATTATGTTAGTGTTTACGATGTTATAGTACTGCAAGTTGAGATGCTCTGACTTTTTTATCTATTGTTATTTACTAAGATTTAGAGTGTCGAAATTATTCATATGCATGTTGCACTCTATATTTTATAGCAACAAATAATTTTTTCCTCGATTATGGTTCGTTGTGATCTACTAAACAAACAACATATTCTTACAATCATCTATTTCTTACAATCACTATATTTAGAATACATACATTGCAAGAATACACATATTCATAGACTCCCAACTTCCAAACGATCCCTAAGTTCAGGTGACCACATTCCGAGAGAAGAAACGATGAATTAAGTTTAGAGAAGATCAGAAAAATATAGCAATAACACGCCTAGAATAAGTTGGGTGATCATATTAGCAATTAAACCGAGGGAAAGGAGCTAAAGGATGGAGGAGCGGATTTTAGGGTTTCGTGAAAGTCAAGGTTGTTCTAGATGGGAGCGGAAAGTAAAGGAAATGAAAATGGTGGGCTTATTTCATTATTACGTTGTGAAACGAGGGTCCCTCTTCCCACGTTTTCCTGTTTTTTTTCCATATAAATATGCGTTCTCGTTGGAAGCTGGGTGACTTGTTTAGTTGTTTATACCAATCAATCAAATCATATCCGCGGCCAGATTGTTAATTAATTTAGAAGGATCTCTTCTCTATTAAGTTAGTTCCATGTGTACTGAGAAGTTTTGTATTGGAGTTTCAAGCATGGAAAATTAGTTGGATGGCATATCCATCATTTGGGTTTTCATTGGCAGGGTCCAGATAGTGATGGCAATAGGGCGGGCGGGGCGGGTACCTCAATTTTCATGTCCCGCCCCATGCTACTACGAGGTGGGGCGGGGCTGGTCGACCCACTCTTACATGTTATTCGAAAAAAATACAAATAAATTTTAGTTTTTACGATAAAACAAAGGGAAAAACACTTTAACAATGAAAAATAGTGATAATAGAATGTGTAATTGAGTCTAACAAGCTGAAAGAGCGACTCTAAGTCTCTAACTTGTTGAAGAAAAGTCCAAATAGGAGAAATATGTATAGAAATTTTAAGAAATTGAGATAAAATGAGTCTAGAATAGGGCGGGGCAAGGCGGGTCGGAAGTAGATACCCATGCCCCACCCCACGCTACTGCGGGTCGGATAATACCCGCCCCATCGCGAGTCAGGTCGGGTAATACCAGCGGAGCGGGTTAAAATTGCCATTACTATATCCAGATAATACAGGAAACGATAATTGTTATTGCCAACACAAGTGATTGGAGAGCTAGTCCTCAAGTAGACTTGGAGATCGTTGCCAAAAAAATTTAGAGATTTTGGAGTTAAAATGTAGACTAAAAGTATTATAGGGACTCTTTGTAATATTTTTTGTTTATAATTCTCATTATGTTTAGTCGACGAATAGCAATCCTCACTATGTATTGTTTTGCTCTTTGTTTTCTTTAGACAACGTGTAAAGTCGAACAATGTACTATTCGGCTATGGATAGTGTCAATAATTCTATGGTGTACAACCTTGCATAACTAAATCTTGGCCCTTAATTTTAAATGGACTCCCGATTTAAGAGTTGGCAATTAAAGTCTTTTTATTTTCTCTAGTTTTTTAATCGGCTCTTATCTTCTTCGTTTTAACTTGGATTTTTTTTTTTTTTTGCGCAGATGGAACAAGTTCGTTTTATTTTTGGAACAAGTTCGTTGTACTCTACAAAATGAGATATGTTTTCAATATATTTCCAATATATTTCGAGAAAAAGATTTTACGCCACTCGTTACCACTTCCATACCATATAGTATTTCATTCGTTTTTATGTTGATTTTGAAAATTTTTGCATAAAAGGAACGAGTTCATCATGATCTATTGGATCTACAAATTTCTAGGGGAAAAGATATGGGGTTAAAAAAATATTACCCCAACCACCCTGGTATTGGGGTGGTATCTTGAGTTTCGTGACCACCTCCATACCATATGGTATCTCATTCGTTTTTAAGTTGATTTTGAAAAAAATTCCACAAAAGGAACGAGTTCATCATGATCTATTGGATCTACAAATTTCTAGGGGAAAAGATACGGGGTCAAAAAATAACACCCCAACCACCCTGGTATAGCGGTGGTATCTTGAGTTGTGGCACACAATGTTGAAAGTTATAAATGACAGTTAATATATTCTTGCCATCATGTTTTCAACCATTATACAGTCTAGTATGTTCATATCACCATGATACACTTATATACCATGTGTATGCTCTTATATAATACCAAACAATACCACCATGGTATAGACTGGTATCAAATACATCAAAAAAAATTATTCCCAAAATATATGAAAGTGTATACCATTTTGAACAACACAATGGAAAAATATTAAAACCTTCCATAATTGATGATGTGGCACTAATGTGGTATGTTTTGCATGGTTGTGCAGCACAAAGTTATGCTCCACAGAAGTAGAGTAATTTAACATAGCTTCTTCTCAAAAAATCATTAAAAAAAAAAAGACTTCAAATACTCTTGTTCAAACATTGTTCGAAAAGGTATAAACCGCATTTAGAATCATTGTTCAAAAAGTCAATGTGTAAATCGTTTATGTCAAACGCTAGCGTTTCCTCACCGAAAAAATATATACGTTAATTGCATCCTCCAATAATATATAGTAGAGTTTTGTGAACTTTTCTCCATTTCAAATTTCCTGCAACGAGAGTGAAAGTAGAAAGGACATTTTTGTCTTTACAATTAATTAATTATTTAATATAAAAAATATCAATATCAAGACTCGAACCTGGGTCTGTTCAAACAAAGATACCAGTCATAACCAATTTTACTAAATATATTTATTGTTCCTTTTTTAATACAAAACATACATGTATTTACACTGTGAAAAGCATAGGACTTTTCCATCATTATTAACAAGCGCACTAAGTCTACCGCATGTATTTTCATGGTGCTTAATACTTCAATTTTCATAGTAGAGTTTCAAGTAATATTATCCATTTTAAAATTCATGCTCTCTCCTTAATTTTCGCTAAAGGTAAATTGGTAATTGGCTAACATGGACGAAACTATTTTCTTTACTACGCGTTGTGTCCTTGCATTTTTCAATATAAATTTAATTTTATGCTTAAACCTATAACTTTCAATTTCTTTTAAGTTTTGATGGTCCCCTCTTAGCTGAGTTGTTAGTATATAGTTGACTTAAACCTATAACTCTCAATTTCTTTTTGATTAGCGGTATATTGCCCGCAAAATGAGAGCATTGAACCATTTATGTAGGATTGTGAGATTTTAGATTCAGTTTCAAACTATCTATGGGTCGTGTGTGAATTCCAATGAGCTTTTATATTCTATCTTTCTTAACAATCAACTAACTAATAACATTTTAACTGTGATTAATTATCATTATGAAAATCAATGATACAGTTTTATATTTTATATTCTCAAATGATGATGATATTTCTCTGAATGTTCGACCTATATATTCTTTTTTATGTATCATCTCGATCGAAAGATTGTCAATAAAATTAAACAGGTTGATAAACTTTAACATAACATAAAAAATATAAAACATCAAATATAAACATTCCGGCCAACGGGCCGGGTTATAAGCTAGTAATCAAGAGTTACACACTTCAGCTAGATCTACTCAAAAATAGGTAAGCCAGAGGAGGGAAACAAGTCCAGAAGCACATAAAGTAGTAAGGAATAGCAATTAAGGAAAGATTGGATTATATTCAGCGGTGGCTTCTTTTTGGGTGTGCTAGGGATTTTAGGGTTGTTTGTTGTGGAAGGGTTTTGTTTAAGTATTGGGCTGTAATAGTTTTTGTTTCTTTTGTGGGCTTGTTTTGGCTTTCCTTACTTCCTTAACTCCTTTGTTTCTTCCTTCATTGGGCTTGTTGTTCCTACTTAGGCCAATGTATTTTATCTAGGGGTGGCATTTCGGTTATTCGGTTATAATCGATAACCGATCAGCCGGTTATCGGTTAACCGATATAATCACTCCCCCTATCGAAAACCGTTCAAAATAGGTTTCAATTTCTCGATTATCTCGGTTATCGGTTAACCGACCCACTTTTAAGACCAAAAACCATTTCGTCTAGCCTCCGATAACCGACCAAAGTTCGATTACTTCGGTTAGTGAATAACCGGCCGGTTATCGGTTTAACCGACCGGTTAACCGATAACCGAACTGTCACCCCTAATTTCATCGAGATCTCAACAGTCGAGGAATTTGGGGCAATACCATTGTAAAATGTAGTAAAGGTCGAGAGAGAAAGGAAGAGATATAGGAAAGGTCGATGATCCATCCATGAGGCCAGACAAGTACTATAGCCAACAATTTGCATATTAATGATGACCAGAGTTTCTTAAACTCTAATTTCTTGTTAATGCCCAATTTAGATTTACTAGCTGTTCTTTTCTTCCTGGAAAGACACATTTAGCCGCACTAATTAGCTCTCTCGCATATCCATCAAATTATATATGCCTATTCCATGACTCCATCTATCTGCAATGCACATATTGTTAAAGTCGTCATTTTAAATTTCGTGGCAAGTGAACAATAATTCTATAAAAATCTTTTTGATAATGAAATCTTTTCTGCTATTATCAAAGCGAATCGTCCGGCTCGACCGGAAAATTCTAGTCCAAGTTACAAATCCAATTTTGACACCATTAAAATGAGCTATGCCGATCAAATATATACTTTGTGGCCAAATTTTTCTTTATATATTCAAACCCACTATTATTAGGATTCAAACTCAGATTTCGCAAGTGAAGCGAGAGAGTATTATGACCAGTTAGATTATATATATATTGTTCCTTGTCGATTCCTCTTTTACCGGCATGAAGTTCCAGTTAACGAAAGACATCTCTAGATGGGAGATAACTGATAAGTAAGACATAGCAACCCGCGATAATTCTTCCAATTCGAGCCGACCGGTTCTATTTGGTAATAATCAAGAAGAAAGATGCAAATATCAAAAGGGATATATCTATAATAAAATCCCATCACAGAAAATTTAAAATGGACAACATTAATAATATGTGTACGTGAAGATCGATATATGGAGATGATATAATTGATGGGAATGCCAGCAAGCTCCGTTGAGGAAGCAAAAAAACATGCAGTAAAAACTCAATTGGGGGCGATTAACAAAGAAATTAGAGTTTCACAAACTCAGCTCGTCGTACTAATTACTATGCAGATTATTAGCTATAAATAGCTAATTAAGGCAGATATATATGATGAGTGGAAGGTAATTAAACAACTAATTATCAATCGATCATCGTTGATATGGGAATAAGCAGCCAACGGTTGGTAATCATGTTCACTGCTGCTGTGCTCTGCTGGAGCTTACTGGTCGTTTCTCCGATGGCCAATGGCCGCCGGCTTCTCCAGGCTCCGACCACATCAATGGATCACAAAGGAACTGTCCCATCTGCCCTTCTTCCTCAAGGTTTGGAATTAAGTAGTCTTTTTTGCATGCTTAATTATATTACTGCACGATCTGGGGATGATTAATTAACTTAAATAACTTAATAATATAGATATCTAATATGTGTGGATTATATATATATGGTGGATGCATGTCAGCCGATGAACCGCCGCAATATTGTTTTTGGAACACCTCTGTTGGTGAGTGGTTTTGCTCACCGGCCGCCGACAAGGATAGCATCCAGCCGCCGACATGATGATCGGTACGTGGCATGGAGCAGTAGCACTACTTGTCTCTGGATTTTGATCTGATGGTCATAGTCAGATTCTACTTGTTTCTCTCCTCAGATTAATTACTTGTGTACGAATAAACAACAAATGTATGACGACTGCTATGTCTTTTTTTTTTTAACGAATAAATAACAAATAATGTATGAAGCTATGTTTTTTTTTCTTATGTCGTTGAATTTGCCTATAAATATGTACTTGTTCCGTTCGTTTAATGTCATGAGAAGATTGGAACCCAATTTATGTTTGTTTGCTTTGATTATTTCTTTCGTTCAGTTTAGTAGTTTCGTAGTTATTTTGGGTTGTTCTCGCTATTAAAGAGATCCTCTACTCGAGAGTGAACGTATCCAAAAGTCTGGAGAAGTAAAGACCCAGTACGTAGAATTCCGTCCCTACGGCGCAACTGCATGTCCAGATATAGATTAAGGTTTATATATGCAAATTAACGATTCAACAACAGTTGGTTCTTTGGTGAATGATGTAACAAGCTAAATAATATGGTCCCCTTGGTGAGTCTATAGATTAAGGTTTAATTAGGCAAATTAAATATGTCATCAGCTGATCTGCCCTTGTATTTTCCATTTTGGTTTGCTATTACAATGATCTAGCTTGAACTGACTTTTCATTTTCTGCATTAAGGGTGAAGGGTTGGATATGTTAGAGAGAGGTTTAGTGCTTTTGGAATGAAGGGTATATCCTTTTTTTTTTTTTTTTTTTTGCCGATATTGAAGGGTATAGTCTTAAAATGGGCTTTTCCACAGAAGTATGGAGGCCCGGGCCTGGCCCAATGTCGCTCCGAAACAAAATTAAATCATGGATTGGGCAAGGACTCCGCCTGAGCCGCACAAAAAAATGAGGCCACTAATTCCCCAAATCTCAGTTCACAAAACTGCTGAAACTCCCCCAAAAAAAAACTTCCCACCCTTTCTTCTCCAAGCTTTCCATGGCATTCAGAGCTGCTGCTTCCCCTTCCCCTCAAGCTTCATATCCACCGCCATTCAAAACCCAAAATGGCAGCCACCATATTCACAAAGCGTTCCATCAACCAACCACAAGAAAAGGGTTGACAGCTGGTAGGAGTGGCAACCGTAGTAGAAGTGTTGTGGCAACTGCAGCTAAAGAACCACAAAGCCGGCCGCCGAGAGCACCACCTGGAGTTGATACCAGAATCCACTGGGACAATCCTGACGAAGGCTGGATCGGTGGCGGCACAAACACCGATACATCCGGCGACCAGGAAAAGGATAATGAAGACTTACTGGGTGACAAGTTTGCTGATTTGCTCGATGATGCTTCTGATTCTCATTATCAGTGAGTGCTCCCTTCTCCAATAATGTTCATATGCTGCTAAATTCCTGTAACTGATCAAAATCTCATTCATCTTTCTTAACACAAACCAAATCAGGTTCCTTGGGGTGCAGCCAGAAGCAGACTTGGAAGAGATTAAATCAGCTTACCGGCGGCTATCCAAGGAGTACCACCCGGACACAACATCGCTCCCTCTGAAAACAGCTTCAGAAAAGTTCATGAGGCTGAGGAGAATTTATGCTGTCCTGTGCGACCCCGAGAAGCGGAGATTCTATGACTGGTCGCTTGCACAGGAGCTTGCTAGCAAGCAAGCTGAGAAGATGAGAATGAAGTTGGAGGATCCCATGGAACTGAATCTCAACACCTACGAATCGGTTCCTGATATGGTTGATCGTCTTGGAGGGAAAAACTTGGAGCTCAGTGATCAGGCGATGACGGCTCTTACATTTGATGCTCTCATCCTTGTTTTTGCTATTGGCTGCATTGTTTATGTGCTGGTTTTCAAGGAGCCATATTACTAGCTGCTGGCATGCATGATGCATGTAATGTACCATACCAAATACATATACAGGTTATTTATCAAACCAGCCAAAGCAAGTTGGAAGAACAGATGGGCAATAGCTAAACTACATGCTTATGTTCTGAAGTGAACAATCAGATGCACCACAGAATTGGAAAAGACTTATCAGAAATCTTAAGACTTCACTGCTCGATTGACGATGCAATATAGCTGTAAACTATAAGCGCTAGTTATGAACTGAATACCGATGATGACAGACAAGCAACGATTAACCAGATCTAGGGAACCACCATTGCTTGTCTTTATAACCATACAATAAAATCCCAATGGAAGCTATCCTGAATTTCGAATAGATTCATCCATATCAGGCTCAGAGATATGACATCAAATAACACCAGGAAAAAGAGATATCAAGAACATTACTAAATCTGGTGTTCACTTAACTAAAAAACAAGGCCAATTGGTAACAATGGTTCCACAGCAGAAATAGGTTTAACAGTGTGCTTGTTCCAGAAGGCAACTAGCATACTCTAGATGACTTAAGACAGGCATTTACTACTGACATCTCACAGGACAAAGGTTAAATGTCAGAACAACTAACATATTGGTACCATTCTTTTCATTACTATGTTGTGTAGCTAACTAAACTATAAGTATAACCAAACTGATATGCCCACAGGAAAACAACTACGCACACCATGAAAGAGCACGGACCTAGGTGTGCGATTTAGGGATTGGATTGATACGCGAATTAGGGATTTGGGGTGAGATAGAAGGGGTATTAGGGTTGAGATGAGAGGAGATCGGGCCACCAAGGTGGTGGCCGACGGTTGGGAGAGGAGGAACGGGGTCGGCGGTTGAGTGTGAGAGAGAGGAGTTTAGGGAATAATTCTGTTGTTATTGCTTAACCCTAGCTTATGCCTAACACATAATAATATATATAATCCGACTAATTCCCAATAACTACCCAAAGACTTAACCTAACCGATTTGACTCCAATAGTTCCCGAAATATCCAATGTATCATAAAACAACCAAATAACAATTAAACCCCAAAAGAACATGTATCTGACACACCAACAAGTTGAATTGAGAACTAGACATTACCCTCGAGAAGTCGGTTGTGAATTTGAACCTGATACAAGTTTCTGCAGAGAGGCTTCCAGATGAATCACATACTAGAGCCCCAAAAACAACGTATCACCAAACATTCTGTTTTTCCATGAAAGTTCAACAAGTTACTCTCACGTCACATGTCAAAGAGCCAAGAAATGTCGAACTTGCAGCCTAAACATACATGGAAGTAACAAGGACAAAAACATGGATACTGTAGCTGTAGGTCCTAGTATACATAATGGCTAACTCTACACAGCTATGCATTTCACTGTCTTCAATTAAAATCAGCAGAAGTTTATGTGATAAGTGAAATTAAAAAAAGTTACAGAACTCATCTCAGAAATTATGACACTATCACAGCAAGAGTGTGAAATATGAGAACAGCCATTCAAGTAGTATGGAGCTTAAATAGGTCAAGTAGCTCCCTTCAAAAAGCAAAAGACATTTTGATTGACTCAATCACGGTGGAACAGAGCACAAAATGCAACTTGGATTCAAGTATTTTGTATTTTGGAGGGTGTTTTAAGGAAACTAGTGAAGTAAGAAGCAGGGCATAGAATCATTATCTTCTTATCAAGACATTGCACAAGAGTATTATGGTTCATTTGGAAGAAGCGAAGCGAGAACACCGCCGACTACATTAGACATATTTTTATTCGTCTGCTCTAGTGTAATGTAATGACACTTTCATCCATTACACGGCCAGAAAGACTCGGCTTATATTCTTCACATTCAAGCACACGCTTGGCCATTACCATACATTGAATCAGAAATTGCTCAAAAGGACAGGAGCTACGGAAAAGGCTGAGTTTTCTTGTTTAAACAGAAATTCAAAACCGGTGGACGGACAGATTTACCTAAACGAATAAGGATGCCGGTTCTGAATCATAAACAAGACCTTCATCAATTTGGTACATGCTCGCTTCACAAAATCCAAAAACTTTCCATGTCCTTCAGGAAAGATGAATCTGAAGAAGAATACAGCAATAACTTTCCATGTCCTAGTGACCAAACTTGCAATCTACCCATCTCATATCATACAGATTATAAACAACCTTATGCATTCTTCCATGCGAGAACAATAGAAAAGTAAAGGGTAACTGAGCAAATAGGTCCGACTCACTTACCAGAACAGCGCATCACTCTTCACTGTGGACATTCTACTAATAGCTACACCATAGACTGCTTCCGTATGCAGCACAATACTTGAAGATTCTCTCTGGTCACCTCATCCTCTAATGGCAACCGATTGATCGCAAAGTCAGAAAACATGTGTAGCAAAATAGAACTTATGTAATCGTCTCATCCATCAGCAGAAACCCATAGTAATAGATGGTGCAACAGATAAAGTTTGGATAGAGAACAGACACATTCTGTAATAACAACATGCTGCTGCTCCAATTTTACCGGATGTCCCCGAAGGGACAATAACGACATGCTGCTGGATATCATAATCAAGGGCAGTTTGCGAGCGTCACTCGGACATATTACACAGAACTTAAAATCCAAGTCCTAGGTCCATCTGAATTTTCACCTACACTTGAAATGAACTTGCATGTTTCAAAAACCAAACCCAGCCATTTAAGTATGATCGATTCCAGCCCTGTCAATTGTTTCAAGCAAGCACATATGTTTTGAAGGGTTGGAAGGAAGGGAGACCAGAAATTACTTGAAAGCAAGATGATTTTTTTATTCCAATTAAGCCCAAACAGCAAGGTAATATATTGGAAACCCCATAGTATTAAGGTTCTCATCATATCAGTCTTCTAAATAATAATCAGATAAACTGTGCAATAGGAACACACAAATCCTCTCAAAAGACCCCATAATGCATGACAAAGTCATGCGTCTAACCGAGCAAAGATCCTACATTGTCATCAAGCCATCTGAACAGCAAAATAAATTAAGGGACTTCAGGATTCGTCACCACAGTAAAAATTATTCCATCCAAAAGGAATCCACGATCTTATGGCAAGTAAAAGGGCCGGAAAACAGAACTTTAATTCTGCTTCCAAAGTTGCATCGTCACAAACTCGCATCATCATAACTCACGAATCTCTGGGAGACTGTGACTACATAATCAGATAATATAATTGTCATATCAACAACATCATTTATGAACCAACAAAGTTCAAATATTTTCTAGCTCAACCTCTAGGATTCCAATTAGGACTTACACTACGGTCTTGATTGAACTTGAGACGAGCAGAGGGTAACTAATTACTATCATTTCAAGGTAACTCACAAAGGAACGGAACAGTTCAATAGACCAGAACCTGACATAATGTATAGTATTTAGTGTTTCTAAACATGAAGGATAGTATTCTCTAGTAGTTTAGTTAGATCATTAAAAAGTTCCTCCCTTAGATTTAGGACTTCCGGTACTGTCATGATTGAACTTGAGACGGAGCATGAGGGCAACTGATCATGATCATCTTAAAGCAACACACAAATGGACGCAACGATAGTCCAGAACTTGACATAATGGACAATACATTTTTTTAGTGTTTTGTTAAATCTTTCAAAAATTGCACTCTAGGACTCCAATTAGGACTTCCAACTACAAACTGTCATTGAACTTGAGTTGGTGCAGAAGGGGCGACACTTAATGTCATATCATAACACACAAAGGGTCCAGAGCAGCAACTTCCTCTCTCAAACATAAACACAGGACTCAAAGGGAGATGAACAAACTCTACAGATAGAGAGAAACAAGATCTTAGAATACTAATCTATAGTTGCAGAATATGATAAAATATCCCAACTTTCTAAAAAATATGCTTGTATACGACACAAAGGGTCCAGAGCAGCAACTTCCACTCTCAAACATAAACACAGGACTCAAAGGGAGAACAAACTCTACAGATAGAGAGAAAAAAGATCTTAGAATACTAACCTATAGTTGCAGAATATGATAAAATATCCCAACTTTCTAAAAAATAGGCTTGTATACGACACAAATACGTTTTAGATACAAAGCAAATCTGCTTCAGATACGAACACCAAGAACAATAATTGTAACATGTATCTATGAGTTGCATTACCCAAAAGAACCAGAAGCATCATAATCACCACTGTTTGCTTTTTGTTTCTTGTTTTTTTTCAAACGAATCATCGTCAATACTACTTGAGGAGCTAGAGATTCTCACACCCGACCGCATTTTGCAGGGGAGAACCTATGGTGGAAGAAAGAGGGTTCTTGACGACTGAAGCTCAAAAGTAAAAACAGTAGTAGTTCGGAAACATGGAACACTGCAGGACTAGCAAATAATATAAGAAATTCTAAGTGCTAAAGTCCAACACTTGGAAAGAACGAGAGCTGGAACGAAAATAATTGGAAGAGCTAAAGCATAAATCCAATATAACACACCGTAGAGCATAGAAGGATAGATAATCTGCAGAACCAGAAGCAGTAGCAGCCGAATCCCAGCTGTGGGAAATTACAGCCATGAGAGAGGACTTACTGCTCCTTTCGTCATAAGGGAAAAGCTGGTCAAACTGACGAAGAGCGTACTAAATGGTAGTCTATCACCAAACTTTAGATATAAAAACCAGTCCCCAAACATCAGCTAGGGGAGCGTATGGGATTAGATACCCCAGTAGTCCTAGCCGTAAACGATGGATACTGGGCGCTGTGCGTATCGACCCGTGCAGTGCTGTAGCTAACGCGTTAAGGATCCACTGCAGGATAGATCCCTTTAGCGGCTAATCCTCTTGATAGTACAGTAGTAGCGTCTAAATGTGCAAATGTCGTGGCAGGAGCAGGGTCAGTCAAATCGTCTGCAGGTACATAAACCGCTTGAATGGAAGTTATCGACCCCTCTTTGGTAGAAGTAATTCTTTCTTGTAAAGTACCCATTTCGGTACTAAGGGTGGGTTATTTCTTATAAGTGCTAAAGTCCAACACTTGGAAAGAACGAGAGCTGGAACGAAAATAATTGGAAGAGCTAAAGCATAAATCCAATATAACACACCGTAGAGCATAGAAGGATAGATAATCTGCAGAACCAGAAGCAGTAGCAGCCGAATCCCAGCAGTGGGAAATTACAGCCATGAGAGAGGACTTACTGCTCCTTTCGTCATAAGGGAAAAGCTGGTCAAACTGACGAAGAGCATACTAAATGGTAGTCTATCACCAAACTTTAGATATAAAAACCAGTCCCCAAACATCTTCAATTTGTACTAAAACCCAGTCTATCACCTAACTTCTTCAAATGTAAGTCGTGTTACTAGAGTAGAGAGACTAATTATAATGAGTAGACTGCAAGCATCTAGTTCAACTAAATTTAAACATTTGGACTGGTTGTCACCTACACTATACCATTTCTTCACCTCATGTTTTGGGAGTTCTAGTTATTGACAATATACCAACAAGAAATCAGAGTCCTTAATTTGCTAACAAGAATCCTAGTCGTGCCCCACTCCGGTATTCAGACTGCGTGAGTCATTTTCAGTTCTGCAAAGGGACATGCAGCACAAAGTATATCTCAATAATGTGGGTCTGCTGAGGAAAGAAGAAAGCCTTGAAGGCTAACATTTCTAGTAAGAATCTACTTGCCTCAAAGATCTCAGTCTGAACATCAAACACAAACAATAAGGTGCAGCGTAACAAATAGTGGTGCGTGATTACCTCCAAGATCCGAAATTTAACGGTCATCAAAAAGTGTAATATAACAGCTTCCCTCTAATGATTGGAGAGGGCAAAGACTGAATCACATACTGCTCTTTCACGAATCTGAGCTCAAGTCTGAGTCGTACAAATCTGTATCAGAATTTGGCTGCCAAACACTAACATTAGATCGTAGGTTGCTTAGAGCCAAGAGATCAGTTAATTTCATGCATCCTTGGATTTCAATACTTCGCAATTGCTCCGACCCAGAAAGACCAGCAGGCAATCTTTCCAAAGATGTGCATCCAATAATCGTTACGTGAAGCAACATCAGTGTAACTAGATCTTCCAGAGCTTCGAGGCAATAACTCCTCTGCATTTTTGCCCCCATCTCCCCAAGTTCCAATACCATAAGCCTCTGAAACTTTGTCGGATAAAGCATCTGGTTGAAGATACTCTGCAGTAGGGATGCACTTGCACGGATGGACAACTATCTCAAGGATTCGAGTACTATTTGGCTGTCAGGCTGCCGTCCATGGGATGTTAGTGCTGTGAGACGAGGGCGATTCCATATCCTCAAAGTTTGCAACTTTCTGAAAACATAGGAGATTCCCAAGGCCATGGACTCGAGTTAAACTCTCAGCGCTATCCACCTCAAACACTTGCAATGATTTAGCCCTCCAAGGCCTCCGAATTCTGTGAGAAGAGGGCAGCGAAAGCTATGGAACTAGATTAACTTGCTCAAGGACGCTAGACTAGGTAGTCTTCCCAATGCATCACAGCCTGAAAAAACTCAAGTTTGTGGAGACTGTCGAGTCCATCAAGATTACCCAGATTTGTCCCATCAACTATCTCGACAGTTTCCAAAGATTTCAGCCCTGCCTTGGATTCCAAATGAACCGAGCAGAATTGGATTATGCTTATTGATTTTATCTCCAGAGAGAGATGCCGGACTTACAGGCTTTTACTTTGACGGCAACACTCTGGCGGTGAGGAGAAAGGTTCATCACCGATCGCTTCAGAACTTCAGTGGCGGAAATGCAGGACCACCACAACCGACAAGGGGAGGAAACAAACAGGTAGACTTTGTGGGCCGTTACTGAGGAGTCTCATTGTCCAACAAGTGTCGGCCTAGCCCATCTCTGCCTGGCTAGTCCATTCATGAGCGGGCTCTCGTAATCCAAGCTGCTGGTAGTAAGACTGGCTTCTCAAAAGCCCATTTGTGAACTGTTATGAACCTGGTTCCCTTCTTCAACTTTCTCACAGACGAACCAATGCAGTGCAGCGGCTCACATTACGTGACATGAGAAAGAAGTTGGTCTGGGGACTAAGCATCAAGCAAGATTCCCTTGTTAACAAATGAATCGAAGCCAAAACATAACAGAACTGGGCAGATCATTCATAGACATTCAATCGTGAAGGTATACTAATTTAGGACATTGCACTGCATCCTTCGTCGAACCACATGAAGGTTCATCCTTTGTTGGGTTTGAGAGCAGAAGAAAACCAACAACAATAACAGGTCGATCGAAAGAGGTATCTATCAGAAATAAATAGTGGTAAGATGTAATAAGAATCTGTATTCCTTGAGTTCTGCCAACAGAAGACCGGATGAAAGGTAATGGCTTTGGTCAGTCAAAGATCCAACATCAGCTTTCATGTTCACAGTCGCAATGGTCCACAATCACATTATAAACATCAAGAGGACATTCCTTAATCGCATAATATAACTGAGGAATGAATCAACTTCATTACAAAATGAAGGCAGTACAACTTCTAGTTTAGCTGATAGAATTCATGAAGATGTATAAGCTCATCACTAATCTCTCAACCCCAAGGTTTACACTTCCAGCACTATGTCAAAGCTAGGATTCCATCAGTACTTTCAATAGTTCTAAGGAAATAATAAATGAACAACAAGAGTAGCATAGAAGTATCGACATCCTGAAGAACGCAAGAATCTCACAAAGAAACAAAACTTGTCAGAGGTAGGGTTGTCCACACCTTCCAAAACATGCTCTCATTGAATCGTGAGTTCAAGAACCAGATGGTGCTGCAGATATATCTTCAAGGACAGAAAACAGTGTTGTTATGTATGAATCTTCCTTCCAACTTGCAAAAACAGGATGCTCAGCATCATATCACTTGGACAAATAGAATTTCTAGCTCCACCTCAAGACTTGTAAATTGTAATGAACTTGCATGTTTCAACCAAGCCAAACCGAACCATTTAAGTAGGATTGCTTCTAGGACCCCTCTTTAAGGGTCGCCAGGTGAGAATCCAGCAGCAAGCAAATATCTTTTGAAGGTTTGAATGCTTGACCAGAAATGACCTGAAAGCAAGACGCGTCGCTGCAATGATGTCAAAACAATATGCAAGTACAAATCCAGCATAATGGTTACAGGAGAAACAAACCGACCCGTCTAGGATAGGAACTTTGCGAACCTGCATTCTGTTTGGAACACACAAGTACAACCAAAAGAACAGTATCTCCCTAGCATATAACTTCTAGCTTGCATTATTAAGTAGGGAATTCTATCCACAACCCTTCCCAAGTACCTTTCTAGTCTCCAGATATCAACGAAATGATATTGGATCGACAGATGAAGTAAAGGACTAATATCTTTCTATCAAGTCATGAGAAGATAGATTTTCACCCAAAAACTGATTTCTGAGAGTATAAGATACAAATGTTCATGACAGGAACCAAATTACAGCAAGCTTACATTCTCTTATGTTTGAAATCGGAAAATAGTTAACCAGTGAACCCTCTTCCTTGCCAGGACCCTTCTTAGAGATTTACTGTTCAAAATCCAGTACTGAACAAGATGATTTCTGTCACCCAATCAACATGCACAATTTGCAACCACAGGAGAACAATGAATCCCAACTAAAGCCTCATGGTGGTAATACAAAGGAACATCCTAGTCCAGTACCTTTTACTTCCACTTAAGCATTCTCATAATGTCCCCTGATTCTGAAGGAGAGCCAAGACTGGCTTAATTTTTGTCTGGGACCCGGTCACAATACAAAGCTTCAAGTGAGGAAATGAGTAAGCTAAGCTTCTCTTCTGAGCCTTCCTATTAATAGTTTACTGCAACACTGAATCCCCAAGAAAAGAACCATTATTAATTTAAACCAACAAAGTTCCAACTAATGTGTGTCAAAAAGGCAAAAAGAACAACCAGATTAAGCAAGCTTTTACTTTTGAGACCAAATGTAAACTTTGCTCGCTTGTCACAGCCATAATCTTTAAGCAGAGATTAGTAAAGTCACCCTGCCAAGACCTTCCAGTAATAACTTGCATTTACAATCACAAGTTAAATTGCAAGTTCAAAAAGTAAGTCATGCAGATACATGCAACCTTTAGTTCTATGCAGTAGCTGCAAATAATGTGTTTGAAAACAAACCATTAACAACTTGTTTTACCCTAGGGAAATCTCATACGTATACCCATGAGGTTCCAGCTATCAACTCTCAAAAGAGGGATATGCGCAACATCAACCAAAAAGTGGATCGTACCAAAATCATCCTTTGAGAACTCCATAGTTGATGGAATCTTGGGAAACCTCATAACTGTAATTTTAAGACTTTGATTCACTCATCAACTACTCTTGGATGTGGACATTTCTATTAGTAGCAACATCAAATTACTCTCCATGGAGTGTCTGCAGCATAATGCTTGAAGATTCTAAAGACTTCTTCACTTCAATAATGCATTTAAAAAGCAAAAGAAAAGGGCAAAAGCACTAGTTCGCCAGATTTGGCAGGGTAGGTAGTCTCCTTATCAAGGCCAACTCGGACAAATGCAGTAGCGCCAACTCTTCCATGACTCGGGCACATTCCAGCTGTAATTCCGTGTCAGACTTGGGAAGATTAACAACTGAATAATCCAGCAGAAGATATGCAGGACAATAACACGCAACCTGACATAACGGACAGTATTTCCACAGTAATCATTGATAAGGCCCCTCCTCTAGGATTCCTACTAGTTCTTTTCAGTCAACAAACAATCGTGATTATCTCATAATAACACGCAAAGGGACAAAAGATTTGGAGCAACAACATGACCACCAGTCCATGTATATCTCAGTTAGTATCAATCACTCCAAAGTACCCTTTCTAAGACCAAATTTGTGACCTTTTTCTTCACAAGATAGAGCAAAGGGACACAATACTTAAGAGCAACCAACCCATGTATATTCAGTTCGAATCACCAACTCCAAAGATACCTTCTATGACTTTTATAAAGACGTGGTCTTCACAGGACAGAGCAGAAGGGCAACTAGAATGATTAAATAACTGCTGCCATTTCGGACATACAGCATTGTTACTCAAACATGGCCACCAATCCATGTAGTTTCTCAGTCAATATTTAATCACTCTAAAGTTCCCATCTAGGACTCTAGTTAAGCCAACCACATATAGCATATAGGCAGCTGGAATGGTTAGGGACAACTTCAATTAAAGAAACAATGGGACACAACTTTCGGACCAAATTTCTTTCTCAAACATGGCCTCCAATCCATGTATGTATATTCAGTTGGAATCACTAAATCCAAAGACACCTTGTATGAATCTATGTAAGACTTGGTCTTCACAGGATAGAGCAGAAGGGCAACTGGAATGATTAAATAATTGATGGCATTTCGGACATCCAACATTGTTACTCAAACATGGCCACCAATCCATGTATTTTCTCAGTCAATATTTAATCATTCCAAAGTTCCCATCTAGGACTCTAGTTAAGGCAATCACTGAATAGGATAGAGCAGATGGGCAGCTGGAATAGTTAGGCACAGCTTCATTTATAGGGAAAAAGGGACACAACTTTCAGAACAGCTTTCTTTCCTCAAACATGGCCTCCAGTCCATGTATGTACTTGGTTTCTATTAACTATTCCAAAGCTCCCATCTAGGACTCCATTCAGAAAAGGATAGAGCAGAAAGGTAACTATAATCGCTAAACCATCGCTTCAACTTAGACCAAGAAGGCAACAGATATTTGTGGGTCACCAGACTACAACAGAACATGAGGAGACCACTGATTTAATGAACATTGCAGAGTTCAGATTCACTTAATCGACTACAATTGGCAGAACTTGAATGAAACAATTTAATTTGTACAGAAATATAGGACAGCCAGGTGGCAACAAAAACAACCAAATAGACATAATCATGGCATCATCAACCAACAACAATATCAGGTATTAGGCTAGTACATCAAAGGATAGTTATCACAACTAGTGCGTTCATAAGCAAATTAAGGCGCAACTCTGAGATTTTCCATCCGAATACAAAAAGTCTAGGCAACAGAGAAGGGACATAAGGAGTTATACCACTGAAAGGATTTCACCACCAAGCAACAAAATACAAAATGGACCACCCCATTCATGTAATATATATGATAGTCATGAAAACACTTGACCTTCTCGACGTAAATGTATACCCAAAAGACCCGCAAGGTTATATCTTTAACGAGCACACGATCATGGCTGCACTCAAACCCTAACTGGCCCGATCAATAGAAAACCCCTAACCACCGACTTCGTTAGTGTCAAAGAAACCATCCAACAGACCGTATATGAAAATCGCACCACCAATTACCCGCGTTCCCATCAACTTTTGCAAATTCCCTGAATGGATCACCCACAATTTCTGTATCATAAGAAAAAATATGGAGCCACAACTCGTGCATCTTAAAACCGTCGGAATTAGGGCTCACGAAGCAACTAAATTGCAGATTTAGCACATCCTTTTACCACGTAACTGGTTTCAAACGATATCAAACCAAACTTTGCATCAAGCGATAGAATTGGGCTTCGCAAAAATCTAGATAAGCATATGCGTAGAAGAGCAAAGACGAGGAGCAATTAGAAGAAGAGTATAACGATTCCCTCACCGATAAACACCACGAAACCCTACCGTCGGACATCCGCTGGAAAACACCAACTCCGATCGAGAGGAGACACGGTCTCAGGGCCAGAGGGGCATCGCCACTCTCTACTCGCCGCTAATAACGATTCCAAAGAAGCAACCCGCCGGCGGTCCATTTGCGGCAAAATCTAACAGGAGAAGCTCAGGAAGGTTCGACAATGAGAGTCTGGTAAGTACAGCAATGGAAACTTATAACGTTTGGAGAGTCGGTTACATTTGCCGACTTACCCGTGTAGCGTAAGTAATACGTGTATACGTGTCAAATTAGACGCGTCTTCAACAAACCGACTTTGACCAAGTCAACCAGCTTGTATCACACGTAATTGGGTAATTGATTACTAGTTGGGCTTTTTTAGGTTCGCAAAATTGGGCTTACGATATCCTTTAATTTAAAAGGACAATAATTAGGCCCAATGTTCTGTTCTGCTACTCACACACCCATTCTAGGGCCAGTGTTCCACATTAACTTTTGTTGTTTGAGCTCAAGATAACATGTTACAAAAATAATATATCTATTCATAAAAAATGTCTTTATATCAATTATAAGAATAAAAAAATATCTAAATTAATTAGAAAATATCAATTTTTCAAATTCTATTTCTCGAACAATACAAAAATAAGCGAAATTTGTCATATGGTACAAAAGAAAACCAAAATACGGGTTGATCCATTGATTGGATGCATTTCATCAACGGCACAACAATCACAACTTTTTTGATGCAATGATGTTTTATTTGGTAACAGAAAAGAGTCCATACTATCAAGCTATTGGAAAATTCATAGTTCATATGAAACGTAATTTCACTTAGTATAATTTATTCATCCCAACCATGAATATTATAGGAGATTCGTTATTACTCTGCATCATTGAAATTAATGCCTCCATCATCAACAATCTCTTTTTTTTTTCTCCTCAAATTGTCATTATTTTCAATCATCAAGTGCACGAAACCCTAAGGAAAAGATTTAAATGGTAAAATATTTTCAATTGTGAAACATTATTTTCAATAAGTTAAATTTACTTCGTCCAAGTCATCAGCATCCTTTAAGATTACTCTTCTCACCGTTCCTTAGGGTTTTAGTGACAACTTGATTCTTAGATTGTTAGACGATATTTTGATATATCAAGAAATTCATTCTTTCGATGAGTTTACACTTTATAGTTCAGCACTTGGTTATGGCATTTTCAGAGCCTGTTTCAATTGAGCAAACGCAGAGGGATGCATTCTACTTACTGATAGCTACATTGAAGGCTTCGCCATGTACTGCGCCACATGTTTGAAGGTTCTCCTCGCACTAGATTCTCTAATGACAAACTGGTTTATGGGGTCTGAAGACTTCATCTGAAACAGAGCACCCACTAATCAAACTTTGGGGCAGTTTAGCAGATTTTAAATATAAAACACTCCTCTTGCTTTCCATATCAACAACGCCCAAATTGATTTCACCAGAAGGCAAAGATGGTTTTTTTTTTTTTTTTTGACAAGAAAGGAACTTCCTTTGAGCTTCTACAGTAACTACAGTAGCCAAACAACAAAAAAAGATTCGAACTTTCCTTCACCATTTACCAAATCGAGACCTATCCCTCAAAGGGTGGAGCAAGAATACACGATTAAGAACCTACCTCCCTAACTTCAACGAACAATTCAATCATCCAACTGTTTGACTTCGGCCTTCAACTGCTCCATCTTGAGCCCCATCGACCTCTGCACAACACCCTTCTCACTCTCCGGCAACTTCCCAAGAAGCGAGTCGTACAAGCCCAGGACCTCGTTCACTGCATCTCTCGCACATTCAGCCTCTTCGTCGAAGTAGACGGTCTCCTTTGAGTCCATAGCCATCTCCAGCTCCTCTCTCGCCTCCGCAAACTTGAGGTTTATCGTGTCTACTTCCCTGTCCACATCCAACTCCGGCTCCGAGCTCCATCTCCTACCCGTGCTCGGACGCGGTAGCTGGGTTCGTGGGTGAGATGGGGGCGTCAGAGTGTGGAGAGTCCCTGTGATGCCGGTCGAGACGAGGTGAAATTCTCGGAGGATTGAATCCGGAGAAAGTGGATGCGGTGGGGGCCGGCGAGAGGGTTGGAGAAGGGATTTGCAGAGAGAAGGCCGTAATCGTCTATGCATTCTTGGTGTTTGATAATATGCCTCAGAGAGTTTTTGGCAAGGGAAGCAAGGAAGAGGAAAATGGGCAGTGTGGAGGAAAGTAGGAAACTGAGACTGGCGCTTTCTTTTGTTGGGAAGTCCGTGGCGCTTCCTGGGCCTGGCCTTCTCCACGGTGGGCACTCGGCCCGTCTATTTTTTATCGAGGTCTCGAGATTGATATTCCAAAGAATAGGGTCTTTTTTAAATAAGTTTTTAATTAAATAATGGAAATATTAGCTTGTCAATTTATTGCAATCTCATTTTTATTAGAACAAAATTGGATATTATTAGAACAAAAAAAATTAACTTCAATTAGGTTTTGGATCGAATGAGACCTTCGTATATTTAGCACTAATTAAGCATCACTTCTAATAATCAAGTAGTCTGTTGATGCAACTAATACATAGAAGATTAATTTGTTAACGATTATGTATTTCTCTTTATCTCAATTACTTCCAACAAATACTTTAGAAAATATTTGTGATTGAGGTATCACAAATTCCTTTTTGAAACAAGTAAATCAAGTATTTAAAGCAAACCAAGATAGAACAGTTCAACAAAATATTAATGTGAAACATTGATGGGATAAAACACAAAGGAGCAACGATAAATTTTCAAATATGAGCACTAAGAAACATATTTATAGGTTCGTTCTTCAAGTTTTCTGGACCACTACAACTTCAGTCTGGAGTTGAATTGGTCTCTAGAGACATGTAAAAATGAAGGGGAAACGAACAATTTGAGCTAAGTTGAAAAGGGATTATCAATGCTTAGATATCCTATGATCGATCGGATCGAAAATATAGGATATACAAAAAAAAAATCACAATTTTAATACAAAATATCATATCACTAACGTTTTTGAAATAACTTCGATTACGGTTTGGAGGTGAGGGATGTATCACCCTTATCTAAATATGAGTTGGAAATAACCAAACTGCAACACTTCTAATGTTTTAGGTAAACTAATTGCTTTGAGCTCTCCACCCAACCCACCTGCATTGTCAAATGTTAACTACTCCCTCCACCCATCTATTTAATCATATTAAGAGTCTCAGTTTCTACTTATATATAACCCTCCTCCAAAATCTACAATCCCAAACCCACTAGGCAAAAGCACAGCATTGATATAACCCACCTCCACTTTCTTTTCCATGGCTCGACATCGAATTATACATCACCATCATCACATCACCATAGCAATCACCAAGCATCTCTCCCTGACCTTGCCCCAGGCAGCCATGGCTGCCATGACCTTGGCCCTGTGTGCATTTGCCCTGTTCCTTTGTGCTTCACACGGTCGAAGAAGAATAACAAGATGGCGCAGACACTGGAGCTATGGTTTCGTCCCCGACCCAGTCATCCAGCTCGAGAACCACCATGGCGCGATGCTCGTGGACTCTGGAGTCGACGATGGAGGCAGCAGCATGTTTAGTATGGAGCAGAGTGGGATCAATCCGGTGTGGAAGAAGAACATCCTGATGGGAGGGAAGTGTCAGCTCCCTGACTTTTCAGGTGTCATCATCTATGACTCTGATGGCAATCACGTCGTTCCTCCTTCCAACAGAAATCGCCCAATGCTCACCTGGAAATGATTGCCATCAAACTATATATGCTCAACTGTATCATAACTTGGAAGTTGAATTAATTTTGGTTCAGATCGAAAGTCCAGTAATTTTGGTTCTTAAGAAGAGCTATCAATAACATATTCGATTATAAGAAAATCGACAAAAAAGAAAATAACTGTATCATCAACATAATCAATTAATTAATAATTACCAGCCAGGCTGCCAGAAATGTAAATATATGCCCATAATCACCAACCAGCAAGATCTGGTATTATTATAAAGTGTTCATTGACTTCCTTTGATTTCATCTACCTTCTGTTAGTTCTACCCAGAACCAGAAGCACAAACACAACCCTTTGGAAGCAAAAATGGCCGAAGTGATCCTCTTTCCCATCGGAAAACAGATACTGGGGAAGTTAAGCGACTTCGCCGTCCAAGAGATCGGGCTGTTGTGGACCCTGAAAAAGGAGCTGAAGAAGCTGGAGGGCACTATGTCAACCATCCAAGCTGTGCTCCTTGACGCCGAGAAAAAGCAGAAGCACAACGAGCAGATCAAGCTCTGGCTCAGCAACCTTTCGGAGGCGATGTACGATGCTGATGACTTGCTTGATGATTTCGCCACCCACGAGGCTTTGACGCAGCAGCAGCAGCAGCAGCAGAATGACATGTCTTGTTCGTGTTCTACTGTGGTAAGCTACCTTGCCTCCCTCTCCAAAAGGTTGCTCTATGGACTTAAGATGGCCCATGATATCAAAGACATTAGGGAGAAGCTTGATGACATCTCTGCAAATAGAACCCAATTCAACCTTGAACAAGTTCCTCCTGCGGGTGATGATGATGGAGATGAAAGGGAGACCATTTCCTCCCCACCTTCCTGTGTTGTTGGCAGGGAAGCTGATAAAGAGAGATTGATCAGTGTTTTACTGAACGACGATGACGATACCCACGTCCTCCCCATCGTTGGTATTGGTGGGATGGGGAAGACAACTCTTGCTCAGCTTCTATTCGAGGATGACCGGATAAAGCAGAACTTCGAGGTGAGACAATGGGTGTATGTCTCCGAGAGATTCATCGTTAAGAATGTCGTCAAGAAGATTTTAGAGTCTGTATCCAGTGAAACCATCCAAGGGGAAGATCTTCAGCTGAACTTTCTGAAAGATCGCCTACGACAGCATATTGAGGGCCGAAGGAGCTTGTTCATCCTAGATGATGTCTGGGAGGAAGATAGTCAGAAATGGGGACTTCTGAAGAAATGTCTGTTGGTGGGTGTTAGCAAGGGAAACAAAGTGGTACTCACAACTCGCTTGGAAACTGTTGCAAGAACTGCTAGCACCACGGAGCCCTACCGTTTAGGAGGCATCTCAGTGGACGAGGCTTGGGATCTGATGGTCCATATGGTGTTCAATGGGCAGCAGCCAACTAGCCAGAGCGTTGTCGAAATTGGCAAGGGGATCGCGAAGAAGTGTCGAGGAGTTCCACTTGCTGTGAACACAATAGGAAACTTGTTGCGACGCAAGCATCCTGAAACCGAATGGTCATTTTTCTTGGACAACGAGCTCTCGAGCATACCCGAAGGAGAGAACTATGTGCTCTCAACGCTTCGATTGAGCTACAACTATCTTCCTCCACATTTGAAGAATTGCTTTGCCTATTGCAGTCTTTATCCCAAAGGTTGCGAGATTGACATCCCTGCACTTGTGATGATGTGGATAGCACAGGGATTTGTTGGGTCGGTCAATAAGGCCGTCTTAAGCGCTGAAGATATGGCATTGCAGTATTTTGAGAAGCTATGGTGGGGATCCTTCTTCCAAGAGGTGGAAAGGGATGAGTTGGGGAAGATCACAACCTGCAAAATGCACGACCTGATGCACGATTTAGCAGGTTTGGTTGCTGAAGACAGGATCATGAAGATAGATGACCTAAATGGTATGGTTCCTGCTATCACAACAAGAACACGCCATGTGTCTGTGACTTCATGCAATGAGAAAGATGGCTTTCAGATGCAAGAAGAGGCAAGGCAGTTGCGAACTCTCCTGCTCACACGCAGCAAATCGAATCTACTGATGAAGGGGCAACATGAAGCAATAGTACACAACTTGAGACGTCTAAGAGTTCTAGGACCATCTCCTAGAGAACCACAAAGTGAACCTGTATCTCGAGGAGGACTTCGCAATGCTATGATGGTTCTTAAGGCTGCCATAACTTTTATGGAGGCAAGTATCAATGTGATTGAGCTATCGGATTCCATCGGTGAGTTGAAGCACCTGAGGTATCTTGATATCAGTAAGAACAGGGTTGTTGAGATTCCAGATTCCTTGACAACCCTTATAAACCTCCAACTGCTCAACCTCACCGGCTGTAATAAACTCAAGAGACTTCCCAGAGATATGGAGAAGCTTGTGAATTTGAGGCATCTTTACTTGGATGGCTGCGTTGAACTAAGTTATATGCCCAAGGGGATAGGGAAGCTGACTTCCCTTCAGACATTGACCCTATTCATGGTTGCTGATCCAAGCAAGGTTGACCATGATGTTGCCGCGTTGCTGGAGGAGTTAACCGTGTTGAATCACTTGGGTGGGAAGCTGACAATCAAAGGCTTGGAGCATCTTGATTACAAATCAGCTGCAGATGGATGGTATTTGAAAGAGAAGAAGCGGCTTCGATCTCTGAAGCTAATATGGCGGGATCCAAATCAAGATGGAGCTGTTGCAGTGGCCTGGATGGAGAGGCTTCGCCCACACAGCAATCTTAGGAAGCTCGAAATAATTGGCTACCGTGGAATGAGCTTCCCCAGCTGGGCTTCTGATATTAGTGATAAACACTACTATTACTTATAGTTATGTCCAGTAAAGTTCACTCTGTTCCTGCTTTGATTCAGCGTCTCTGAAACTGAAGCTCGTCGTTACTTGATAGTTCCAGACAGAGCTGACTCTGCCTCCGGCTCGTGTTGGATGTATTCTGGCTCACTCGATCATGAAGCCAGACTGCTGCTGAGTGCTGGCCTGGATTCTTTTGTCGACCATGTTCCTCATTGAAGTCAGCTCTCTTAAAAAACTTCCTGAAATGTTTGTGGCAAAACATTATGCAGACGTTAGTAGGCTTCAGAGTTCAGCTATGCGTGTGAATGCATTCACTATCCTGATTAAACATTGAGTTGGTTACGTTGGTGGACGCCTTGGTGATGGCAACGAGGAAGGACATTGAATATTGCTGATTGTTGAAGTTTTGATGGGTCTATACAATTGCGTTTTGTTTTGTAACTGACTCTAAGTTCATGACATCGTTATTATCTACTACCGCAATCGACAAATCACAAATCTACTGGTTTAGCTTCCAATTTCAGCTGAAAACTACCATCAAACTTCTCAAAAGACAGATTCAGGAGGCAAAAGAAGCTACAACAAACTTGGAACTAAATCCTAACCATTTGCATGTACACTAAACTCTAAAGAGAGCAGCATGGATCAGTTGAGAGTATCTACAACGATCCTAACAAGAGAACCCAAGTCAACCTTCGGAATCAAAATGCCCTGGCTCATAAGACAACAAAAGTTCAAGTATTGGATGAAAGGGAATCCATAGCTTCTGCAACTTTCCGCTTCAGACCACCTGGCAGCTTTAGAACATCAAATACCTCTTCTTGATCCATCTCCAGCAACATTGCTGCAACTTGCCCCACGTTTTCACGCTCTATACTTTTCACCAATGATGTGTAGTCTTCGGAAAGCATCTGAAGCCAACACTTTTCCATATTAAGAAGGAAAAAGATTTGCATCACCGTGGAAGAACATAGGCACTTCCTGTGATTAATTACTCTGCATTACCTTAGTTATGGGTGACGAAGCCAACACAGTCTGAATCCTCGGGCTATCAGGCTTCTGCAACGGGTGGATAATCTTGCTGATTTGATCGCTATAATAGCTTACTTCAAGCATTGCATCTGCTTCATCCACTACCTATGGCATGCAAAATTTCATCACAAGCTCAAAATCAGACTGCAAAGTTCAAGTTTTTAATACTACCCAATCAATGAAATGGCAAAAGATAAACGTGGTTGAAGTCCAAACATTCCATACCAAGTATCTGATATCATCAACTACAATGGTACCATCCTCTATCTGCTGTAGAACCTCTTCAGGAGTTCCTACCAGCAACCCAATTGAGCCCTTTGCAGCTTCAGGTCTCGTTCTCGCAATACAATCACAGACGAATGCCGCCCCACGGAAAACCTTTGGAAAACACCATCAGTTACACTACTGATTAACGATAGAAAGCAATTACAGTAATCTACCAAGCTGCAATTATACCTCATCTGCTAGCTCATCTGTTGGGCAAAGAACAATGGCTTTTGGGTGCTTTTTGGAACTGGGGATGACCTCCTTCTGCCTTAGCAACTGAGGAGTTCAGAACAGAAAAAAACGAATTTAATGGTTCGTCGTGATTTCAATTTTGAACTAGTTCGAGAAAAAAAGGGGCAAAAATACCTGAATTAGGGGAAGTAAGTAAGCCAGAGTTCTCCCGCCGGCGGATTCATCGTCTCCGTCATCACAACTTAGAACCACGCTCTTCCCTTCCAAGATGGCTGGAATGCCAACGCACTGAATTTCATCCGGAGCTCGAACGCCCATCTCCTCGGCGGCTGCTATGAGCTCCTCTCTTAAACCCAACTCCGCGAAGCTCGAGACCACCTCCGCCGCTTCCGCGTTTGCCACCGCAGCCGCTCCATTTTCCAGGGCATTGTCACTTTTACCGTCTCCGTTCGAACCCGTTCCAGGGTCGTGTTGCTGGGTTTTGAGAGAACCTCGGAGTTTCCTCTGCCGGAACTTCTCAAGCACTGGCGACTCATTCTTGGACTTTGCCCCGGCTGGGGATTTCTCGTCGCCGCTTGAGAAAGGCCTCCATAGAGGAGGGCACTTGATTGGCTGCGTGGATAGGCTCGATTGAGCAACGCCGCCGACGAGTTTCCGGTAGAGAAAGAAGCTTCTGTTCGCTCTTCTCATTGTCGACACAATCACAGAACTAAGCTCTACTGCCCGTCGCCGCTTTGCTTCCGGCTTTCACCAGAATACAAAGAACAGACTTAAATCAAGTATTATAAACTGACAAGTAGAATGTCTAAACAAATGGGGATGTAGCTCAGATGGTAGAGCGCTCGCTTAGCATGCGAGAGGTACGGGGATCGATACCCCGCATCTCCATTTTTTTCAATATTTTTTTTTCCATCTATTCTTGGGCCGGGCTTCTAAACTAGCCCACAATAAATATTTAACCCAGCCCAGCCCCGCAAACCGAATCTCAAACCCAACCCCAAAACGTTTCAATACTGTGGCTGCAAATTCATTTCACAGTTCCCAAATTCTCCCGAGTCGCCGCTCGGTGGCCGGCGCAGTAAATTAAGACGAACGCCGGAACATAGAAGAAGCAGACGAACGGCTCCACGGTGGCTCCGGCTTCCGCCTCCTGCCGTTTTCTTACTGCAGTGTGCTTCTTATCGCAAGGAAAGGCAGCAGCGTGCTCCATCCCTCATTCCTTCTTGCCTTTCTGCATTGCTTTATCCAACCCCAAAAAGTGGCAGACTTAAGAGCGAGGTGTTTTCCAACGTTTATTTCCAACAAATTTCACATCTTTTCAATCTTTCACTTCTCCGGAATATGCATATTACTCACAGTCCCCGGCTGCATTCGCTCTCAAATCACACTCCCTTCCCTCTCTGTTCATTGAAGTCACCTCACGGTACCATTTCCTTCTCCCCCCGAATTGCAAAATTCCTTGTGCCCAGAGTCAACTCCAAATCCGGGTTCTTCAAAAGAATATCCAGATCAGAATCTGTTCCGGGAAGAAGAGAGAGCAGTGGGTTAGTGGAATTACAGTGTTGTGGGGCACCTAACGGCGGGGAAGAAGTCGGAGATGATGCAATTTACATTAGGAGGTGTGTGGAGATAGCTAGGAAGGCAATTGGGTGCACGACCCCTAATCCGATGGTGGGTTGTCTGATCGTCAAGGATGGCCAAATCGTTGGAGAAGGGTTCCACCCTAAAGCTGGTCAGCCACACGCTGAGGTTTCTGAATTTTCTTCCCCCCCACCATTTTCTACTTTCTGGTTGGAGTTTGGAATTTGGTCTGTGACTTTTGGTTACTTGCTTCTGAGTGTGTGTATAGGTATTTGCTCTAAGAGATGCTGGGGGATTGGCTGAGAATGGGACGGCTTATGTGAGTTTGGAGCCCTGTAAAGTGTAATCATTATGGAAGAACTCCACCTTGCACTGAAGAAGGTGGTTGTTGGGATGGTGGATCCCAACCCGATTGTGGCTTCGAAAGGGGTGGATAAATTGAGAGGGGCAGGAATAGATGTGACGGTTGGTGTGGAACAGGAACTGTGCAAGAGGCTCAACGAGGCCTACATCCATAAGATGCTCACAGGGAACCCTTTTCTCACAATTAGGTAAATTTGTATGCTTTAGTTAGAGTTCTTGGGATGTTCATATTATTGCAGATCATAGACTAACCCGACAAAGCGTTCTCTTGAACTACAGATACTCCATATCTCTGAATGGGTAACATTTTGGACCAACTTGGTGAAGGAGCTACAGAACGTGGAGGATCCTACTCCCGGTTGCTACAGGAATACGATGCCATTGTTCTTTCTGCTTCTGCAGCCACCAATGAGCTACCCCTTTCTATTTCTCAAGAACCGGGTGCTAATCAACCCCTTTGGATAATCACTGCAAGCACCTCGGATCCAATTCGTGTTCCTTTAGTGGGTGTCGGGCAATCAGATTCTAAAGTGATAATCTTTGTAGACAAGAAATCCAGCGTTGAAACTAGCCAGAGAGGAAACGAAACTGTGGTATTGGATCGCATAAATCTGAATGCTATATTGGAGTACTGTAAGCAGCAGGGTCTGTGCAGTCTTCTGCTGGATTTGAGGGGAACTCCTGCTGGGCTAGAGAAGCTTGTCAAGGAAGGTATGGAGTACAAGATGTTGCAGAAGATTGTAGTTGAAGTATTGCCTGTGTGGGAAGGTGAAGGTGATGCAGCTGCTCTAGCTGCATTGAAGACCATGGGGAGACACGTAGACCTGAAGAATGTACAGACCAGTAGCTCAGACGGAAGTATTGTACTTGAGGGTTACTTTTAGTGCAAGTTATCAATTTCTATTGAATAGGAGTAGTAGAAGCTGCTCTTTCCGCCGCAAACTGCCCTCGAAGTGCCTTTTACTACCTCCCACCTTCAATCGCCTGCGCCGAAGGAAAGAAGAACGATGGAATGAAGATGGCGATTGAGGACTGGAAGGATTGGGGGCGGATGAGAAATGCTATCAAATCCAGAATTCCCAATCTGTTCCCATGGAATAACTATAAGTAATAATTGTATCGTTTATCACTAATATCAGAAGCCCAGCTGGGGAAGTTCATTCGACGGTAGCCAGTAATTGTGAGCTTCTTAAGATTTCTGTGAGGGCGAAGTCTCTCCATCCAGGCCTCCGCAACAGTTCCATCTCTATTTTGACCACCCCATATTAGCTTCAGATATTGAAGCCGCTTCTTCTCTTTCAAATACGATCCAGCTGATTTGGAATCAAGATGCTCCAAGCCTTTGATTGTCAACTTCCCACCCAAGTGATTCAGCCCGGTTAGCTCCTCCAGCAACGCCGCCACATCATCGTCAACCTTACTCGGATCAGCCACGATGAATAGGGTCAATGTCTGAAGGGAAGTCAGCTTCCCTATCCCCTTGGGCATATGAGTCAGTTCACTGCAGCCATCCAAGTAAAGATGCCTCAAATTCACAAGCTTCTCCATATCTCTGGACAGTCTCTTGAGTTTATTACAGCCGGAGAGGTTCAGCAGTTGGAGGTTTATAAGGGTTGTCAGGGAATCTGGAATCTCAACCACCTTGTTCTTGCTGATATCGAGATACCTCAGATGCTTCAACTCACCGATGGAATCCGATAGCTCAACCACATTGATAAATGCATCTATGAAACTCATAGCAGCCTTCTGAACCAGCAGAAGAGTTCTGAATTTTCTTTTGTCAGATATTGGTTTAGCCAGCGGTCCTATCACTCTTAGATGTCTCATGTTGTGTACTATCACTTCAAGTTGTCCCTTCATCAGTAGATGCGATTTCGTGTCTTTGAGTAGGAGAGTTCGCAGCTTCCTTGCTTCTTCTTGCATCTGAAAGGCATCATTCTCATTGCACAAAGTCACAGAGACATGGCGAGTTCTTGTTGTGATAGCAGGAACAATACCATTGAGGTCATCTATCTTCATGATCCTGTCTTCAGCAACTAAATCTGCTAATTCGTGCATCAGATCATGCATTTTGCAGGTTTTGATGTTCCCCAACTCATCCCTTTCCACCTCTTGGAAGAATGACCCCCACCATAGCTTCTCAAAATACTGCAATGCCATATCTTCAGCACTTAAGATGGCCTTGCTGTCCGACCAAACAAATCCTTGCGCTATCCACATCATCATAAGTGCCGGGACATCGATCTTCCAACCTTTGGGATAAAGACTACAGTAGGCAAAGCAATTCTTCAAATGTGGAGGAAGATAGTTGTAGCTCAATCGAAGGGTCGAGAGCACATAGTTCTCTCCTTCGGGTATGCTCGAGAGCTCTTTGTCCAAGAAAAACGACCATTCGGTTTCAGGATGTTTGCGCCGTAACAAGTTTCCTATTGTGTTCACAGCAAGTGGAAGTCCTCGACACTTATTTGCAATTCCCTTGCCAATTTTGACAACACTCTGGCTAGTTGGTTGCTGCCCATCAAACACCATATGAACCATCAGATCCCAGGCCTCGTCTACTGAGATGCCTCCTAAACGGTAGGGCTCCGTGGTGCTAGCAGTTCTTGCAACGGTTTCCAGGCGGGTTGTTAGTACCACTTTGCTTCCCCTGCTAACACCAACCAACAAACATTTCTTCAGAAGCTCCCATTTCTGACTATCTTCCTCCCAGACATCATCCAGGATGAACAAGCTTCTGCGGGCCTCAATATGCGGCCGTAAGCGATCTGTCAGAAAGTTCAGCTGAAGATCTTGCCCCTGGATGAGCTCACTGGATACAGACTCTAAAATCTTCTTGACAATCTTCTTAACGATGAACCTCTCAGAGACATACACCCACTGCCTCGCGTCGAATGTCTGCTTGATTCGTTCATCCTCGAATAATAGCTGAGCAAGTGTCGTCTTCCCCATCCCACCAATCCCAACGATTGAGATGACATGAGTATTGTCGTCATCGTTCAGTAAAACACTGATCAATCTCTCTTTATCAGCTTCCCTCCCAACAACACAGGAAGGTGGGGAGGAGATGGTCTCCCTCTCATCTCCATCATCACCATTACTACCCACAGGAGGAACATGTTCAAGGTTGAATTGGGTTCTATTTGCAGAGATATCATCAAGCCTCTCCCTAATGGCTTTGATATCGTGGGCCATCTTAAGTCCATAGAGCAACCTTTTGGAGAGGGAGGAAAGGTAGCTTACCACAGTAGAGCACGAACAAGTCGTGTTATTCTGCTGCTGCTGTTGCAAAGCTTCATGGGTGGCGAAATCATCGAGCAAATCATCTGCATCGTACATCGCCTCCGAAAGGTTGCTGAGCCAGAGTTTGATCTGGTCGTTGTGCTTCTGCTTTTCCTCAGCGTCAAGGAGCACAGCTTGGATGGTTGACACAGTATCGTCCAGTTTCTTCAGCTCCTTTTTCAGGGTCCCCAACAGCCCGATCTCTTGAACGGCGAAGTCGCCTAACTTCCCCAGGATCTGTTTTCCGATGGGAAAGAGGATTACTTCAACCATTTTGCTTCCTAAGGACGTGATTTGTGCTTGTGGGTAGAACTAACACAGGGTAGATGAAATGAAAGAAAGTCAATGAGCTTGATAATAACACCAGATCTTGCTACTTTTGTTGTTGGTGATTATGGGCTTACATCTATTTTTCTATTAACGAAAACATAAACATTGCTGGCTGGTGATTATTTTATACATTTGTTATGTTTCTTATCGTTTTGTCATTTTTTGACAAGGTAGATGAAATGACTGATATTTGCTGTTGTACTTGGTTCAACCGATACCGGTCATAAAATTGGCGTGATACCACCGGTATGACCGGCATGGTCGATATACGAATCTTTAAGTAAAATGACCTTATTTTAGTGAATTTAATTGTTAAAAATTATTTTATTATTTATTTTATGAGTATAAAAGTTAAATATTGATGTTATTGTTTGGATTCAAATAAAAATGTTTAGGTATTGATGTTAAATGTCATGTTTAAATATGAGTATTTATAATTTCATTTGTAATATTGACCGGCATGAACTGACACAAACTGATATGTACCACCGGTCGAACCATTCCACTTGCTAAACCGGTACACTGGCATAAACTGGTTTAACAACCTTGTTGATAACTTTGAAAGCAGAAAGAAGAAAACATTAGTTTGACTCTGCAGCTGCTCGGAGTTTTTTTTTTTTTTTTTTTCTACAAACAAGCTTTATTTCATTCATAAAACGATTGTGATACAAGTCAGGAACATTACAATAAAGGCGCAATCAAGTCAAGGATCCAGATCCAATTACGAGGAAGAGTTCCTTTCGCAGCCTCTTTGGCAACCCAGTCTGCACTCTTGTTACAATTTCGAGGTGTAAAAGTAACCCGAATTTGATCGTTTGTCCCAAGAATACTCACTAAATTTGAACTTTGGAGAGGTATGGGGACATGCTTAGTTAATGGTGTTCCCATGATCATAGTCGACCTCTGATGGGTGAGAAGTGATCAGGAAGTTGACATTCAAAGCAAACCCTTTTCTTACTATGATTCGGCTTAGTAGATCAGAATGCATGAAACGATGTCGATAAGACAATGTTTCGTACACATAACGATCATTACGAGTACTACAAGATAGTCCTTTTTTTTTTTAGTTATCCCGTTTTATATGTTGATGGCAGTGTTTAGGACAGTCATGAGATAAGATAATCATTTGGTAATATATATAAAAAGAACCTTTTGTCATGGAAAAGATTGTTGCGGTTATTCACGTGTTCCGCACCTCTCTCACTACGTACCAAGTAAGTGTATCTAGGAGATTTACCAACCCATGATTCGTCTATATCAAATTATCCACCCACAACAATTTAGGTTATTTGTAGGCGAGTCGATGTCAAATCGCAAATCTACCACGTCTAACCCTAGCATTCACCATATGGATAAATTATTTTCTTATTTTAATATAAATTCACAATGGATCTGAGAGGTGGATTTGAGCTCAAATCCATTACCACCACGGATTTAATAGAAACAAATTTTTGATTCGTTTTTTTTAACAAATCTATGGGACACATTGACTTTAAGGGTTCAAATTTGTGGGCCTTATGGACTTATAAATTCTAGGTATTGATGTGGGTTTCAGAACATGCATAAATCCATGATGGGATTTTTCACATATACCCTCATGAACTTTTGATTTTTTGTAAGGAAAAAATTATCCAATTAATGTGCAAACATAAGTATTTTATACGCTCCTCTAGTTTCCTTTGACATTTTATGGAATGTGGAATTCTTTATTCTCCCACTTCTAATAAATGTTACTTTTGAAACGGAGGACAATGAATTAGTAAAGAGACATAGTTTCTCTATTTATTAGTTGTCCTTCATCTCAAGCCACTCATGCCCTCAATCATCTCAGCAACCCAAACGGTAGCAATTCAAGGAAGGCAGATCCTAGATGCAGCGATGGTGGCAAACGAACTTATTGACGCCATACGTAAACATGGTTTTCCGTGGATCATCTTGAAGCTAGACCTCGAGAAAGCTTTCGACAACATCAACTGGGAATTTCTTGAATTTCTTCTACGGCGCATGGGGCTCTGGTGTGACCCAGATCAATTGGATTCGAAAATATATCTCTACTCTTCATTTCTCTGTGCTCGTCAATGGTGAAGCTCAAGGGTACTTCCAAAGTCAAAAGAGGTTACGTCAAGGTGACCCATTATCCCCTTTTTTATTCCTTATGGTCATGAAAGGCTTCTCACTTATTCTAGACAGCCTGCGAAACATAGGGAAGATCAACGGGTTCCATATGAATTACCAAGTTCTGGGCGGAGATGTGACCCATCGGATGACACTCCTCTCTTTTCCAAATTTCAAACTCTTAAAAATTCATAATCAAAACATCTCAACTAACAAAAAAAGTGTTTCGAATTCATAATACCTCAAACCACCAGTCAATCGTTGCTGTGGGCTGTAAACACCCTAATAATACACCTAAATATCATTTTCCTAGGAGCCTCAACAAATTTTGCTTGTTTCGGTATCGAAAGATCCGAGACTAATTTTAAAAAGAAAATGTATGCTTTCGTTGAATGTATATATTAATGATACTAGAGATACTCTTTGTTGAATGATTAGCATAATATCTTTCTGGATTGGAGAAGTTTGTGCACATTTTTTGACCATGCACAGTTGGAAGCTACAGCCTACAGCCTGTAAATGCAACGGCACAGCATTGCATTTATTTTTAGTACACCCGAGTGGGGTTCTCAAATCTCAACTAATTATTATTTATTGAATTGAGACAACACCACTTCGATTTGACCCGGAAACCATGTGATAAACACCCAAATCTATCCCCACAAAATACAGAACCCCCTCACCAAATTTAAACACCTTAATAATTAGAGTCTAAAACTGTTTAAAATGAGCCTAATCCTAACATGCAGCTCACGGCTGGGCTGCCTCTAGTGGGGTAGGAATGATAATTTCGATCTGACCCATTTGATCTTATTTGTCTGATTAGCTTTGGGAGGGTTTGAAGTGGTTATGACTTCTGATTTCTGAGTACTTTTTTCAACCTGACCAGTCATTATCTGCTCCCATTCTAGACTCGTTTTTGCACAAATTATATGTAATTTTGCTGAAATTACATATATTTTTACTTTCATTACCTCATTTATAGTTATAATCTAAAGTCATAAATAGACGAGAGTCTCAATTTCTCAAATAATCCGTCTACATTTATCATATTGCAGTTTGTTTCTTGATTTTTATAATAAGAAAATGCAACTATTTTTTAATATTTCTTCTTTAAATCACGTATTCATATCCGTCGATCTGCCCAACACACACCTTCATAATAAAATTACTCGACCTGTATACAACTTGCCACGAGACAATAATGAGATATCGAGATATCCGCCCGCGACCTGTGGGGGTGTCCACGATTCGTGGGCTCGATGAACCATCTTTCTCGCTCTAGGATCACCATCTTTCTCTCTCTATGTAACCTAGATTATTATGCCACTCTTGTTCTCTCTCTCTCTCTCTCTCGTGCATGGCTGTCACACCGGTCGGCGTGCCACCGGTTGTACCGGGTTCAACCGGTACCGGTCATAAAACCGGTACCGGTATGACTGGCATGATCGATATACGAACCTCTAAGTAAAATGATCTTATTTTAGAGAATTTAATTAATAAAAATTATTTTATTATTTATTTTATGAGTATAAAAGTTAAATATTGATGTTATTTGTTGGATTCAAATATAAATGTTTAGGTATTGACGTTAAATGTCATGTTTAAATATGAGTATTTATAATTTTATTTGTAATATTGACCGGAATGAACCGGCACAAACCGGTATGTGCCATCAGTTGAACCATTCCACTTGCTAAACCGGCACACTGACATAAACCGTGCCACCGGTTGACAACCTTGCTCTCGTGCGTTAGACGTTAGCTAATAGCCACCACATAAATACCTCTCTTCCTATCCCCATTTCCCCACTCCCTTTTTTCATTTCTCAGTCCCCCATCTTAGAGGAAAAGGGAAGAGGAGAAGAAAGCTGACGAAATATATCTCTCTCTCTCCCGCCCACCCACCTGACCGTCGAATCAGCAGCAACAAAGTGTCACCGTCGCCTTCATTTCTCATTCCCCACTCAGCCTGCAAAGTGCAACCCACAGAACAACAACAACAACAACGTACGACCCTGGGGGAAAAAACGTTCACTCAATAATCCCCACTCAAAAGAATTTCATCATCATCATCATTTATCTTTTCCGCCCAACCCGCCAAAATCAAAACCCTCTCCGCTTCAGTTTTTTTTCTTCTTTTCTTTGGGTACCCAATATGGCAATCTGGGTCACCACCGCCAGGAAATCTGGAGCCACGATGGCCGCTCGTTGCCTGACGAGGAGAAACATGGTGAATGGTGGTGGAAGCTGCTCTGCTTTCCCCAAATCTCATCATTCTCTAAATGCTCTTGCTGGGAAGAAGGAGAAGGAGAATTCTTCGTCCTTGTTGGGATTCTGGAGATTCAAATCCACCAAAGCGTCTGCAGCGGCCGCGGTCGATCAATTGTATTCCAGCGACGAAGACGTTACCAATAACCACCAGGTAAATTCATTCTATTCAATGTTTTCTACAGAAAAAACTGTTTCAGATTCTGCCCCGGCGGGTTACGTTACGAACTCATCGGTTTCTTATGACGCTCCTCTGTTTTTTGGGTTGAGAAACAGAGAAGATGCTTCTCCGCTATTTTAGAACCAGCTGTTCTTTCCATGCCCATGAACATGATGGTATTAATTAGTTGAATGATTCCGGGGAACAAATCCAGCCTTTTTCGGCTTTGAATATGCGATACTCGATCCTTCCTTCCTTCGAAAGAGGAAGAACGGTAAAAAAAAAATGTAGTAGTTGCAGGGGAATCTAAAAGACAAATCCCATCATTTGAAAACACACATAATAATTTAATTTACTATCCATGACAATGTTTTTAAATTTGTTGAGTTTAAGTTTTATCAATTGTTTCGGAGTTGTACGCTTCGTGATTAAACTTGAACGCTTTTCATTCTTCCGAAAAAATTCGTAATTACAGTAAGTTATGTTCGAGTAAAATGAAGAATATGTTTAGTTTCGACAGAAATTCTAGAATATAAGGTTCAGTTCATTTAAATTCTAATAAAACCAATCATAAAATTATGTGAGCAATTGTAACAAGTCATATTTCCTTGGGTGATGAACTTCATAATGAATTTTCCTAAGAAGTTAGGTAAAAGTCCCTTCTTTCCTCTAGTTGAGACCTCCTTTTTGGTGTTATATCCTTATGACCTTACCTTATCCTTTCTCAATGTTGTACTGTTGTGTTGTGAGTTTGCCACACTAGCTAGTGCTTTGTGTCATCCCAATCCAAAACACAAGAAGAAAGCATAAGAAGCAAATTTTAAGAAATGGCAGAGGAAAAAAAAGCAAAGTGATAACTATGAAAACCCCCAACCTCCCCTCTCTTGTCCAATCCAATAATTCCAAATTGGATTTGAGACACATCTCCTTTTTCAGTTTTTTTTATTTTTCATTTCCATGTGCTCTGTCTTGATAACTCAAAAAAATTCAATCAATAGGGAACCTTTGACTAATGCAAAATGGGTATCGCTTAACTAGCAATCTATTGTTTTGTGCCATGTCAAGTTGGTTGAATGAGCTGTGGTTGCCTGTAACTTAGGAAATTGTGTTCTTACACTCTTTTTGCAGGTTCCTCGGATTCTAAATTTATAATATGAAACTTCTCGTCGCTAACAATTCGAGTTAAGAGTCATATGGGCGGGGAGATATGTGATGTTAGTATAAGAGAGATTTTGTGTTCAATACCGATTTCACGTACCATGTTGTTCTTCCCCATTTAACCATACTTGACTGAATTTTGGACTCAAATTGGCTCTTATTTATCATGTTTGTATGGTGTTGATGATTATACACTAACCCATAAAACCACCTAAACAAATTATACTTATGCATGTTTGTCATGGAAACAAAAGTTCCAAGCAGTGGTGGAGCAACGTGTAGTCTCGGAGGGACTACAAGTCTACAACCACCCTCTGTCGTTTTCTGTTTGAGGTTATAATATGTGCATTTATATCTTTGACAATACATTAGACCACATGTAGCAGCTCCTTCCTCTGAGATTTAGGCTTAATCATAGCATGTTGTTACAATTTGTTATTTTCGGTCCCTCCTCACTCTAAATCTTGACTTCGCCACCGAGTACATGCCATATCTAGAACAACTCCTTCAAATGATTTGAGTTACCCTGAAAATTTCATGTTTGTTCCAAAACTTCAATGGTCATAATTCAGAGGGTCAAAACTTAACAGTCTTTGGTTTTTTCTCCATTTTCAGGGCCTGGATTTCCCCGGAGGACACGTGTCGTACACCCGTTCGCTAAACTTCATCTCCAACTCATCAACCCAAAACAGAGTCCCCTGCTACAGAGTCCTCGACGACAACGGCGTCCTGATCCCTGCAGCCGGCGGCGGCAGCAACTCCGGCGACTTCCAATTCCACCACCACCAACAACCACTGATCAGCCAGCAAACGGCACTCAAGATGTACAGAGAAATGGTGAGGCTTCAGGTTATGGACACCATCTTCTACGAAGCACAGAGGCAGGGCAGGCTCTCCTTCTACCTAACCTCCACCGGCGAGGAAGCCATCAGCGTCGCGGCGGCCGCCGCTCTAACCCCCGACGACGTCGTCATGCCGCAGTACAGGGAGCCAGGTGTCCTGCTGTGGCGCGGCTTCACGCTGCGTGAATTCGCCGACCAGTGCTTTGGCAACAAGGACGATTACGGGAAAGGGAGGCAGATGCCGATTCATTACGGCTCCAATAAGCTCAATTACTTCACCGTTTCTTCCCCTCTTGCGTAAGTAAATACTTTTCCCCTCTCGCCATTTTTGTTTGGGGCCGGGGAGTTTCTTTCTCTTTAATTGTGTTTCCCACTTTTCAGTACTCAGATTCCTCAGGCTGCTGGCGTGGCGTATGCGCTGAAGATGGAGAAGAAAGATGCATGTGTCGTCACGTTTTTCGGCGATGGTAGCTCTAGCGAGGTACGAAAACTCGTAAATCAGTTTATCCTTATAACTCGATTGATTTGAGTATCGTACAGAGAAAATTCTAAATGTGTATTATCTAGTTACGAAACACGAGTTTGGTCTAGTGATACGGCTTGTCTCAATTTTTTCGTATGTGCAGGGAGATTTTCACGCTGGACTGAACTTTGCGGCGGTGACGGAATCTCCTGTGGTATTCGTCTGCAGGAACAATGGGTGGGCCATTAGCACCAATGTGTCAGAGCAGTTTCGAAGTGAGTAATTACCATACTACCCTCCTATCTTTTCATTTGGTTCCATTCAGGAGGGTCTAAAGTGGATTGGTTGGTTTCTGCAGGCGATGGCATTGTGGTAAAAGGACAAGCATATGGAATCGACAGCATCAGGGTCGACGGGAATGATGCTCTTGCTGTCTACAATTCGATTCGGGCCGCTCGTGAAATCGCGGTCAAGCAAGGAAAACCCGTATTAGTCGAGGTGAATCACACACTCTAAAGTCTAGATCAAATAATATTAGTTATAACTATTTGTTCACTACCGAGTTCGTGATCCTTCTGTGTCTCAGTTTCTGACGTATCGAGTAGGACATCACTCGACGTCCGACGATTCGACCAAGTACCGCCCCGTGGACGAAATCGAGTACTGGAAAGTGACGAGAAACCCGGTGAACAGGTTCCGGAAGTGGGTCGAAGGCAATGGCTGGTGGAATGAAGGTGAAGAATCGGAGCTGAGAAGCGCGACCAGGAAACAACTGTTGCAAGCGATTCAAGCGGCGGAGAGAACCGAGAAGCCCGTCCTGGAAGAGATGTTCAACGACGTTTATGATGAAACGCCGTCGAATCTTCGCGAGCAACATGTGCAGCTTCGAGAGACCATCAAAAGACACCCTGGAGATTACCCTTCTGATGTTCCTGTCTAGAACATGCATTTTCTTTTGTTGTTGTTGTTGTTGTTGAATTCGCTAGGAAGAATCACTAGATCCCATGTTTCCTGCTTGGATATATTGAATTTGTAAATGAAGTCATTATTATTTCTATTTCTGTGTATAACCTCAAGTAAGATCAATAAAAAATTCTCCTTTCTATTTCTGAGAGTTTGTCCAGATTGATAACACCCATTAGCAAGCACTTAAATTACACAGTGAAACTCTAATTAGACAATCACGGACATCAGATACGAGCAAATCCAGGACTCTGAGGTTCTTAAACCGCAACCAATCCAACAGGGGACGACGAACAACAGGTTGGGGCACCTCGAGCGTCAGGCGCTCCAGTCGCGCTGCGAACCTGTCGAATTCAGCAGGAGACCACGGGAGGTAGCAGCAGCCGCGCGGTACGTGGCGGAGAATGCCGAGAAACGACGCCTCGCGAAGTTGAGGCAGGTCTTCCCCAAAGTAGATTACCGTGTCTTCCCTAACCAACCTGGCACAATTTCCAGCGACCTTGAATTTGGCAAGACGCGGAGCGGGGAGGAGCTCGATCCTGAGCACGCCGTACAGGTGGAGTAAAATCCAAGCATTGTAGTTTGCTGTGACGGATTCGGATGACCTCCCCGTCGAAATTGGACTCGCAGATACACAATCGCTGCAGGAAAGGGAAATTGGACGAGTTGTTCAGGATGTGGTCCACCGCTTCCTGAGCGATCCTGTCCGGCGAGGAATTCGGCGGTGAGGCCGGGGGAGGGAGACGAGGTGGTGGTCGGGGGCAGAGTAGGAGAAGCAGGACCACAAAATCAGCTCCTTCACCCGCTTGTGGAACCCGAATTCCACCCAATTCCACGCTTCCTCGTCCATCGTGTACAAGTAGAAACCTAATCTCAGGGCGTCCAGAGTCTCCGCCCGGTGGGACCTCAAGGCTCGGTTCACCCCGTCGGCGAATCGGCGCTGTGCTACTGATCCGGCGACGACTTCTTCCCTCCAGTAATCGCGGCATGAGTCTACAATGTAGCTTCACAACCATATCGTTGCAAGGACTTGACACGATTTAGCGGGTTTGAAGCCTAAGAGCATCACTTTCCATTAATCAGGAGATGTCCATATATAGTCACCATCCTTCACTGAAACTAAAATTTTGCAGAAAAAGGTGTAATATTTTTGCCATAAATCTTCCTATGGGTAAGGTTCGGTGACGACTTCGACAAACCCAAAATTTCGCTTCGCAAAAGGAGCTTGCGATGTATGGAAAATGTGATATAATAAGCATACTGTATATATAATCCATCAGAAACACAGGTACATATATGAAGAGAAAACGCTCACGATGAAAAACAAACCACACAGCAAACAAAAGTCAACGTGAAGTAAACGACACAACAAAGCATGGCGGGAGAAACCCGTTAAAACAGTTGTATAATAACCAAATTATTCATCGTTGAACAATACAGTCAACTCAATAAAAACGACGTAAACTCGTACAACATCGACGACGCTTGTATTTCTGCAACCCAACCCTGCCTCTCTCTCTCGGTCTCGAGATCTTTCATTCGAATCATTGCCATGTCTTGATCGATTCTCTGCATGGCAAAATCGAAATTAAAAAAAAAAAACATTACTTGGAGAATTTCAATGTCAATAACTTTTTTCTTTTATATGGCTGGTAGCCTACTAGAAACTTTCATTAAGACACCTGAATTGCCAATTTCGTTATAGTGCTCACGGTTCATTTGCAAGAACTATCTCACATAAGCTTTCATCAACCATGAATGCCTATAAGTTTGTTCTCGCAGATAGACCGTGAGCACCATACCCCATTGAAATTTTATGCAAGTTTTCTTTGAAATTGGCTGTGGTTTATTTATTTATAAAAGTAGGCTTACATGGGTTAAAAGATTTAACAACACTTGCTGCACGCTCCGTAGTCGAAACAATCACAGCAACCAAATGCACAAGTATCCACCCACGCACAGGTCCTCCTTTTGTTTGGGTAGATTGTTGCCTTCCCACCACCATTTGCTTCTGGCACAAAAACAAGCAAAAAAAAAATGACATTTTTTTAGTTGGCTTACATCTCTTTAATTATTTATATTGTTTTAAGAAGTTGTACGGAAAAACAAAACGAATTAGTTCTACTCTACAAAATTATATACATATTTTTTTCTGTAATTTTTAGAAAAAGAAACTTGTGAACTTTTCTGGATCATCATCTATCACCATATATTAATATTGTATGTCTCTAATTTGATATGTTTATTTCACTAACAATAGTTCACCCGATCCATCGTTTCATCAAACGGTAAACCGCTTGATGAAAGCGCGGTAAATCATTTCTTCCAAATCACGATAACTTGTAAATCATCTTAGCAAAGTGCTAGTAATAATAATAATAATATTTTTACTGACCCTTCAGTACTTCTGGTCGCCCGGCTGCTGAAGCTGAAGGCGCGAGGAGAGACGCGACGAGGAGAAGGCCGAGGAGAAGGAAAGTCTTGACGTTGAACTCCATTTTTATTGGCTTGGTTTGGTTTGGTTTGGTTGGTGATCGACGTGAAAGAAGGAAAGTCTTAAATCTTAATCGTACGTTATGTGTGCCTGATTTCTTTCTATGATTATTGGGATTTTGCAGGTCGATATATATAGCTCAGTAAATACTAAGAAAAGCTGTAGTAGACTTTTTAAGGCATGTACATCTGCGGCCAAGTGAAATAAAAAAGAGCATATGCGGCCAAAGTTGAAGAACCATTTGGATTCCTAATCATTAGTAAATATGGCAGGTTTGATGCTGTTTAATTTTTTTTGTTTTTTTCAAGTAGTTTCTTGTTGGAGTTCTTAGTGAAGTGTAACACTTTCAAGAAACTATGTATTGATAAAGTATCGAAGGAAGAGTTCATCACAATTTATAAGAAACATTGTATATTAACTGGAGGTCTCTGGTTCGAGATGTTACAAGTGTGTTTAAAAAAAGAATTAAGTATTTTAGTGATTAACTATTAAAAGCACTATTTACTCTTATGTAAAATAATTTAAGAAGTTTTCAATGTAAATTTTTTAAAATATATATCCAAACTGAATTTTGTCAGATTTACCTTATTTTAATTAGATTATTTTATCTGAGTTATAAAATAATATCAATGAAAGAAAATTATATTTTTTCGTTAAGAAAAATAGTAGCGTATATTTGTACCTTCGACGACACTAACGGGCCTCGCTTGAATTTGAACCTAGAATCTGCAACTCTCAAGTATTCACTGTCGCGACAGATTTATCGTTAGGCTATCTTACCTTTGGTTCGCATGAAAATTGTAACCTGTCATATCATCTATAAACTATCTCTAATTTTTTTTTCTTATAAATAGTAACGGGTTATTTCTCTTTTGTTATAAGTCGTAATTTAATTTTTTTCACAGATAAATAAGATTAATTGTGTTTTTCAAAATGATATACATTTTGGAACAAAAAAAAGATACTTATTATCAATATCTATACCATGGTGGTAATGTTTGGTATCGCATAAGATCATACCATGTGGTATGAAAGTGTATCATAGTGGTATGAACATACATAGTGTAATTATTGAATACATGATAATAGGAATACAAGAAATGTCATTTACCATCAGTGGCAGATCCAGGGGGTGGCCACCCCGGGCCCCGGCCCAGCCCTCCTCTGGATCCGTAGTTAGTATAGTCCTTATGAATTTTTCGATTTTAGGCATTCGGCTTAGTGTGATTTTATAATAAAATTGGGTATAACTAGAAAAATGATACAGATGACCATATTCAAATCACTACTCTAAATTTAGCCTTTAAATTTTAGCCCCAAAGATTATGCATAAAAAAAAACAATGAAACCTGAAATTCTAAAAGTTTAAAACGTAAAAGACTAAAAGAAATATGAGGTTTGTTCCCTTGAAAACTTACTAGAGCAGTTGGTGGATGCAGGGATTGACACAAAATGCCGATTGATTTGTCTAGTGTTAATGCTGCTCGTTCAACAGCTACTACGAAGAGAACCTTTTCAACAATGAAATATGTGAGAACTGATTTGCTAAACAAAATGAGCGATGAATTTCTTGCCGATTGCTCGAGTATTTTATTTGAAACAGTGTATACTATTGGTATGGATGTAGGCTCCATTATTGATGCATCACTAAATTAAAATATCGTCGTGTAAAATTTACATTGGAAAAAAACTATAATCATTATGTTTTTTTTACTATTCAATTTTCTAATGAAACTCGGCCCAGTACTCTTCTGTGTTCTGGATCCGCCGCTGTTTACCATGTTCGTCATTGTCTACCAAAGTTACCACCCCTACACCAGGGTGGTATGGAGTGTTATATTTTTGTCTTATACTTAAGAAATTTGAGTCCGGAACCTCTAGGTTGAAGATTAGTGGTAATACCACTAGACAAAGTCCTTGTTCGCAAACTAGTCTTCTTTTTATCGGATGAGAGGAATGCTAGCTATCTATTTTTTGGATTGATTGAATTAATATAAATATTGATATTTGTTTTCCTTCAATATATTGTTTATTTTATCTTGTGAGCTTTTAATTGAAGTCGAACTCTTGCTTGCATGTTGGTTTCATATGCATAACGTAGAGAATATCCCAAATCCATATAGAACACTTAAGAACATGAGGGATTGATTGGGTCGTTATAACATAGGACCTCCTTATTCGGGTGAAAATTTAATACGAGAATTTACAAATCAATTCAATGCGTTAATTTATGAACTTTAGGCCAGTGAGAACATTTAATCTAAATTAATTAATAAGTTAATAGTATGGTAATTCATGAGAATATCGTATTAACACTAATTTGAGAATTTCTATGGTCTCTTCTTTTGAAACGATGTGTTTTATCAAAGAAGGAAAGAACACCTTGTCTATATCGTGTTTGGTTAATACTTGATGGGGATTCGAATCCGAACTCCTTCTCTACTTGGCTTTCTCTCGTGAAATTGTGCTTTAGCAATCAATTGAGATAATAGAAGCAGAGTCAATTACTACTATTCATAATCTCCATGGATACCACCTTAAGCTTATGGAATGACTGTTGGATGGAGTTGAGTGGTGAAATTGATAACTCAGATGACCAAATATCAAGTTTTAAAGTCTAGCATGACCATTTTGTCATATCCAGCGTAATTCGGTGACCCACTTGGGATTTTAACCCTCCAGTCCTCTGTTCTTCTTTCTTCGATGAGACCATTTCGATCTGTCGCGTAACTCCGAGACGTGATTGATCTGTTTCTGGTTGTCCCTAACCGTACCGACGGCGGCACGATCAATACTCCGAGAATCCTTCTTAAAGGATCTAACCTGTAAATGGAATATCTCCAACGGATATCTCTTCTTCGTATTCCAGGTATATTATCTCGCCGTTTCTTCCAACGTCCGCCGCCCAATTAAACCCTTTGGGGTAAGCCAGGAGACAAAGAACTCTAAAGTTTCACCAATGTCGACGCATGGACCTTCTGTCCCTTCTCTTCGCGTTCGTTTACAATGTTATCTGCTCCAGCCAGCAATCCCTTCGTGCCCGTTATTTAAAAGGGCTAGAGACGTTGCCAGCTGTGTCTGTGGTGGTCAGCCTTGGGACAGTTATTGGGTTACTGCTGCTGCTGCTCCTGCTCATGGAGGCTTCTCCTTTGCCCTCGGTCGTGGTCATTGCTTTCGATGCTACAAAGGATAGGAGTGTTAAAGAGCTTAAGGCTACCATTGATGGAGTCAGGAAGAAGGGTGGCATTCTTTTTCCTGGTGATAGACTGGTTTTTCTAGGAGTTCTGGACAAGGTGCCGCATCCCAGTAAGTGTTTGATTTAATGCCTCACTGAAGTCACAGCAACCCTTTTCTTTACCCCCTTTTTTATTTAGTAATTGATATCCTAGTGGCAGAAACTTATGGTTCTGCGTTGCCTAGTCCAACCAAAATAGGCCGTCTTTGGACAAAGAAGAAAGGAAAGAAGTGTAAAATTGCAAGTGTTTAAATTGAAAATCATGGCTCTGATTGGTCTAAGTAGATGTGGAGACCAGACCACAGTTTAGACTTCTTAAACATTGTTGTATGTCAAAACTTGAGTATGTTTTTATCTGGTGATGATTGTTGCTGTCTTCATTAGCTGGTGATTTTGATTTGCATTGTAATGTGAAGTATGCTTTATATCTTGTTGGTTGATGCAGTGGGTTACCAAGTGAAAGCTTGCCCTGATACATTTGCTGGAGCAAGCATTCGTGTAATGGAAGAGGAAGTTATCAAGAAAGTTGATACCTACGTAAACATGCTCGTGAGAAGTGCTGGAGTCTGTGAAGCCGAAAGGGTAATCCTCATGTTTGTCATCCGAGACTTGTTATCCTTAGATCATTCTGTTTGATAGTTACTTCAGATTGTTCTTTTCATTTAAGTCGAATTTGGTCATTATGTTGTGTTCTATTTGTTATCATGTTTCCATATTGACACTTTTTCATATGCTTTCTTTTATTCATTCATTTTTGCTTTAATGAAGGAAAAAAACTCTTAGGACCTGGAAACCATCTGGTGAAAATGGTGGCACACGTAGAAGTATGTATACTGCATAAAATAATAATGTTTTGAAGACTTATCTTTTTATTATGTTCTTTTACATATTTTCATACCGAGGTAATACTAGATTTATCTGTCTATTTGTTCATGCCCTATATGTCAGTTATGTTTGAGAATTTATACATTGATCTAGTCTCTTTCTTTCTTCCTGTGTTGTATCTTTTTTGGGTTCTCATAGACATTCTCGTTGTTTGCAATAACAGGTTTGTGTGGAAGTTACAATTACTGCTGGAACTCCAGCAAAACAGGTTGTGCTTCAAGAAGTTGCAGCTTGCAGTGCAGCGTGGCTTGTATTAGACAGGTAGTTTTCTGTTTCATTTGCATGGAACCACATTGCTAAAACAATAATCCTTCTATTTGCAACTGTCAATGTTTTTCTCTGGCTTCACCATAGTTGACCGTCAATGATCTCTGAGGTTTCTACAATCTTTAGTGTGACACATGAATAGTATTCCCTAATATTTTATACCTGATGATTATTCACAGAAAAGAAATGGAAGGGGCTGGTTATTCATTTTTTAGTGTATTTGTTCTTTCCCTACTCATAGCAATGCTAATGAAGAATAATTCCAAGAAAATAACGATTAGAACTGACAAGAAAGAAAAAAATGCTATTACAGTTATTTTTGTCTGCTATTCTCGCACAGTTAGCTTGTTCTGCCCTGACTATGATGACGCCTATAGTAGTTTTATGTGCTTGGTAATTTTGGTTGGATCTGATAAGTTGCTGCCTACTTGAACAGGCATTTAAGAAGGGATTTGAGGTTTTACCTTACTCAAGTTGCTTCCAAAATTGCCTTAATTCACGATAACTTGTCGGTGGAAGTTGAAAGAGATCATACAAAGAATATCTCAGATGTTACAGAGCATAAGTCTTTTTATTCAAGTTCGAGATATGTTCCAGTCTTGAATTATCAAGGTCATGGAAACAGGAGGCAGTTAGTAGTTTCAAGCAGCTCTTCCTCTGGGGATTCATTTAATAAAGAATCCAAGTGGGAAACGGACAGTAACATCTCGTCTGATCTTGGCTCTTCTGGCAGTCATTATGTATCAGGTGAGCAAACTTTATAAATGGGGTTTTCTTTTCCTTGTTTCCTGGCCTTGATGACCGTCTATGAGAGTCCAAATATATCACAGCTATGTTGTCATGAGAGGAAGACACTGAGGTTATTAAATGGTTAGCAAACATTTTTCAACCCTCGGAAATCTGAAGTTTTTGGGAGAATGTACCCGCAAACAGTCACATAAAAGTTAACTTGAAGGGTAGACAAATGAAATGCATTGAATTTGTGCTTCCCTGATAGTATAATCCTGCATGGCACCCGGAATTAGGTTGTTGCTCAACTATGCCATTTTCTTTGGTTGTCTTCATATGACAATCACAATTTTGAATCCAACCAAAACACATTGGAATTATGTTTCAAGTTAGTTTCTTGCATGAAAATATTGCCAAGTCTGTTCTGTAGGATTTATTTCCTTGCCATCCATAATAAGTATCATGTATTCCAAAGCAGAAACTGAGCATCGTGCTGAAAATCAAATCATGCAAAGGCAATTCAGTGATATCTTCAGACAGAAGTCCTTGGAAGAACCTATTCTCTGCTCCATTTGTGGCATCCGGACTGATCTGAATGTCAAGGATTCAATGAGATTCAACTTATCCGAGATTCAGCTTGCAACAGACAATTTTTCAGATGCCAATGTCTTGGGAGAAGGTGGGTATGGTCATGTCTATAAGGGTAAGCTGCATAGTGGACAGTTCATTGCAGCGAAGGTGCACAAAGAAGAAAGTCAGCAGGGGTTTTCAGAATTTCAATCTGAAATTCAAGTCTTGAATTTTGCCCGCCACAAGAATATAGTAATGCTTTTGGGTTTCTGCTGCAAGGAAAACCTTAACATACTTGTTTATGAGTATATTTGCAACAAATCATTACATTGGCATTTATTTGGTAAGTAATCGTCAGATTTCTCTGCTGCACTGCTTGTTGGGAGTGTCAATGTATTCCTCTAAATGCAAACATAATATTGGACTTTCTTGAACCTTTTCTCTCCAGATAAAACAGCAGATACCTTACAATGGAACCAAAGACATGACATTGCCATGGGAATTGGCAGAGGTCTGCGTTTTCTGCATGAAGAATGCAGAGGCAGCCCAATCATACATCGAGACATGCGGCCCAACAATGTTTTGCTCACTCATGATTTTGTTCCTATGGTGAAATTCTAAATCTCTTTTCTTTGTAGTTCCTATTCATATTACTGATTCAAAAAGTAGATCATGGTTGGTGCTATTCTGGTCCAAGCTCTTCGTAGGTCTAGTCTTAACTCTTAATTTGGGTCTGAATTTGATTGTAATTACTAATTAGAGTGCGGGAGATAAGAGCTAGCATCTGTTACTTTCTCAATGAGCACTTCCAAAATGCATAAATGCAAAAGATAAGACATTAAGAAGAATTTCTTATCATTGTGCTTATATGATTATAGAAGAAATTGAAGACTCTAAATTAAATAGAAAGAGTGGTGCTTAGGTCAGGAAAACAATAAGCAAAAGTAAACTTGACAGCTCTTCCTCTGTCATAAAGGAGGTGAATTATTTGTCTACTCTCTTTTTGTTGGCTATTGTTTATTAGGGTTTCATTTGCTTTGAATTAATATAGTAATATATCCTAGAAAAGATTGTCATCTCAAATTTTGTCTGACATAGTCCAAGGGTTGGCCTAGAGGTAATGTGGGGATGATAACATCCATAACATCCTAGGTTCAAACCTTGGGGCGAACAATGCAACCCAAAGAAAGATTTGTAATTTTTTATTATTATTTCTTTGCCTTGTTGAAACAGGTTGGAGATTTTGGTCTTGCAAGATGGAAGACTGTTGATCCTGTGCAGACAAGACTACTCGGCACATTAGGGTATGCTATAGTCTTTTGGTTTGTTAGATCACTTTGCTTTCAGTGGCATTTTCGTGGAATTTTTTAGGCATGCTTCTATTCGGAAATCTCTCAATCCACCTTTTTTTTTTTTTGCAGTTATCTTGCCCCCGAGTACGTGGAAAGTGGTATAATTTCTGTTAGGACAGATGTGTATGCATTTGGTGTTATCTTGTTGCAACTAATATCAGGACGCAGAGTAATTGATGCCAGGCAGCAAGAAGGACAACAATCTATTAGAGAATGGGTAACTTTGATGTTTAGATTCTGATATTATAATTAACATCAGTGCAATTGTACACATCCTATACCAAGGATCCATAATCGGTTGTATTAACTTAATTAACACAATTGTTTTTTTCAGGCAGAACCATTGATTGAGAAGCTCGCTTTGCACAAGCTTATAGATCCTCGTCTAGGAGAGTCATACGATACATATGAGTTATACCAAATGGCTAAAGCAGCTTATCTCTGTGTGCGAAGGAACCCTGAAATGCGACCTTCGGCTGGACAGGTACTTCGATTTCACACTGAGGGTCTCCGTTTTATCTCAGTACATTTCTTTGCTGGAATTTGTGTGGAGCTATTGAATGTTAGACGATTTCTTGGAGACATTAGGTGACTATAGATTGCAAATATCAACCCTACCCTACCCATCCACTCATAACCCCTAAAACCCAAAACTATTCGCCTTGATTACATGGGTTTCTGCTAAATTACCTTCTAGTTTTCACGCCCGATATTCTAAAATTTTCGTATGTTACATAAAATTTTGCATCAAAATTACAATTTCAGTACATAAATATTTTTGTTAAGTTCACAGATATTCATCCGGCTACCAGCTTGAAGGAAACTTGTCTGAATTAGATCTTAGAAAGAATTCTGCATATCTCTCTGTATAGTTGCTAGCTCTCCATATTGGAATCTTGGTAGAATGTGAAGCCTTTCCATTATTCTTATGTTAAATAAGCTGAATATAATAACCATCACATTGTGATCAAGTCAGTTGAATATTGCTATCCATCTAGTCCTGGTTTCTTCTTGTGAACAAACCTTTATACTTCCGGTTTACTTACACACGATGACCTCCTGCCACAGGTTCTGAGCCTGCTTCAAGGAGAACATGACCGCATGCAGCATTTGAGAGACACTATCATCCCTGATTATATTAGTGGATGAGATGGTTCGGAATTATTATTATTATTATTCATTTGTCTCTAGCTACTAACCTCTTTCCTCCTTTAATTTGTCTTTGGACCCTAACTATTGATTTCTCTGATTTATCAGGGGGAGGAATTTGCTGCACTTAAAAGCTTTAAGAAGTATCTGAAGGAGATCGATCCATACACTTGTTGGTACTTATCATAGATGGAACTGTGTCCTTATAATTTGATTCTCTTGCGGCTGCAATTGAACTCAGGTTTTGTGAATTTGTTTTGAAGTTCTAGACTTCGAGATCCTCTTCAAAATTTGAGGGACAGCCACCCTCGAGTACGTCATGCATTTTCTTTGTAGATATTTTCCTTCTTATCATCTGTGAGACCAAATGATAGAATAGAACCACTATAGTATAGTGGAGGCAGGGTGTCGAATGATCTCTGGATTGCACATCACTATCTATTGTTACAGGAGCCAACTTATGATGATGATGATGCCCATAGGTCGGTTTCACTTCGGTTGATAGCAAAATGCAATTGTAGGTCAGCAAAAGCATCTAGCTTGGGATAAGGATCCAGATGAATGATGTGAATTTGTAGTCGGAATCGAGAAGCTAGGGTATGTGGTGTCACTATCAAGTAAATCTTTTGCTATGAAGTAAAAGAGAGTTCCAACTGTGCTTTGACCCTCCACCTTATTTGGACTGAGCAACAGTATTCTGCACCAGAAAAGTGGGGAAGGAGAGGAAGGGATGAGAACCCATATGAACATGGGGAGAGCAATTTGATGGGAACATCCATTTTCTTGGAGCCATTGATAGTGTTTCCTCTACTTTTTCCAGTGTTTTTTGTGTGTGTGTGTGTGTGTGTGTGTGTATTCTTATATGGAGCTGCAATGAAAGAGGAGACATTTCTTCTGTTGCTAGGCTTTGGTGTTAGTGTATGTAAGCATCAGAATGGTATCATAGGTTTGCTTTACTTTTCAAGTTTTGTGGTCTCCATTTTGATGGAGTTGGATGGATATTCCTTCTTTTTCTCCTGTGCCATGTTCTAAAAATGATAATTATTCTCTTGTTTAGGGGGATGCATTCCTTGATTTCGACGAACAAGATACAGTTGACGGGAAAGCATGATGAAGAAGAATGAGGATTGTGCAGTTTTCTTTAAGTGATGTAGAGGGTCCTCAGGTTTGGAATATGAATTCGATGCCTTTATGTTGTTAGGCAATGATGAATCTAAGGAACTTGGCAGGCACATTTTGTGAGGTTGAAACTTGAAAGCCATAAGGGTTCATGTGGCTGGTTCTCTAACAATGGGAATATCGTCATGATGTCATGGTCACTAACCTAGGAAGAAAGAAAAGGTCTCTAGACAATGCATTCTTTGTCACATTGAGGAGATTATTGCATTGGGCATTTTTTGTGTGTCCATTCTAGAGTTTTTATCTGAAGGCTTGTGCATTGTAGTTTGACTGTTGTGAAACTCAATATTTTTTTCTTCTCATTTTCTCATTGACGGCCCATAGCCCCATACTATGTTTGATGATGGACCTAGGGAGGGCTTGAGTTGAGATGGTCACTTCAGGCCAAGGCTCGCTCCGCCCTCCTTCATCTTTTTGATAAAACTTGAACTTGGAAGATTTTCAATGGGTAGGAGTAAAATCCGAATGTGAATGTTGTGGGTAATGGGCAAACATGATTTTTTCACGGTTCAATTCAAACTCTTCTGGTTATATACGTGCATATGTATTTTGTTTAGAGATGGTCATTATTTTTTTCAACCGATTTTATATATATTACACATATATAAATTTGCATGAAATTGGTGTTGTTTTTAACGACTTTTGTTCATTCTAATGACTTGTTGCCGTACTGTTCCACTTATGTAATGCCAGTATGTGTGTGAATGTTAACAAGTTGGTTGGAGTTATAAACAGAAATTAATATCTATTGATAACTGTTGATACCTGAAACCCGTTCAGGTATGAGCATGATTTAATTTTTTCTACGAATTTTTATGCGAGTATGAGTAAAACCTGAACTATCTTAAAAAGGGTAATGAATATAAACTATGTGTCCCTATATAATCTGGTTTGAGCTAAATCACTGAATCTTCAAGGATGGTGAGCAAAATGTTAATAGTCATTGTATAAAATTAGTTTTATTATGGCACTTGGAATGTGTCAGAAATAAATTTGAGTATTGGATTTGATTATAATTTACAAAATTATATTTATTTGTATATATTTCGAGAGAAAAATTCCATACCACTCATTACCACTCCCTACCATCCAAGTATTGTGTACTACCTTTGCATTTAACTCAAATTTTGAAATCAAAAAGAACGAGTTCATCGTGATCTATTGTAATCTACAATTTACTATGATTTTTTTTCATGAAACTAAATATATCACCATTTACCACCCTAAGATAGAGTGATAGACGGCAGTAAAAGGTGGTAAATTATGGTTATTTTATTCATACTATCATCTATACAACCATTCTACACTATGGTATATACCGTGATACACTTCCATACCATCATGATATTATGTAGTATCAAACTTTACCACCATAATATAGACTAATAACATATGCATCAAAAAATTTATTCCAAAATATATCAAGATAAATGTCATTTTGAAGAGTATATTAATATAAATTTTTCTTTGTAATAAAAATTGAAATCCAATTTAAAAACAAACTAGATATTAAAATTAATTGAGAAAAATTTATGCATGATTAGTAACATCCTAGTTACTACCCGGATCCGCTCCCGAAATTTGATTAACCACAATTAACATCGAATAATACACAATTTGGTTAATCACAATTCACAATCATATTTGTGGTTTGTAGTTATCAACATTTTGAGTTTGTCATACCTTTTAAACTATAATAGAAAAAAAGTAGCTACTTGTCCACAAAAAAAAAAAATTATAAACATTTTAGCTGTTAAGGTAATAGTTCTTTTAGAACGGTGATGAAATTGCATTAAGTGGTAAAGGAAACAATAGTTATGTTAATAGTTAATAATTAATACTAGTAGTACATATATGTTTATCAGTATTTATGACCGGTTTAAAATTTAGTAGTTAATACTGAAAACCTTTGCTTCTTATATTATTGTATTAGTTATGAAAGATCGCTACTTTGTATTGAATATTGAATTTTGATGATAGTGTTGATGTCGAGGTTGTAACCGATGTCGACTTCCTCGATTTTGGGCCCTGAAGCGATTTAAAGTGCCCCTTTACGGTAACCTTCTTTCGTGACGTTGCCTCCGATCGCTTCCTGCAAAAAGAGCCCGCCGGCCGATCTCGGCGGGGGCACCCTCCGACGCTCAAGTTAGTCCCTAGTGTGGGGGATTGAGTAGTTTACAAAGTGTTTGTAGGAGGTGAGCTCGGGGGGTGAGAGTCACTGATTGCAGTGGGCGCTCTCCAGGTACTTCCCCCGGTCTCCTGCCTTACCTTTTGCTGGAGAGAACGAGCTAGTTATATAGTAACTACCAGGGGGACAACGGGAGGACAGGTGTCGGCGCCAGGGATGAAGGAAAGACATGTCACTAGACATGTGTCGTGTAGGCCCATCTGCACCCGCCATGTGGTTGTACACATGTCAACCATGTTTCTGCCTAAGGGGAACACTCTTGCCATATGCCAACTAATTGAGTAAAGGGCATGACACATGTGCAGGTAGAAGTACATGCAATGGATCCAGGTGGGGAGAATAGATGTGGATCCGGGTACTGAGAGTAGGGGGCGACAGCGGGCCCGGGCGCCGGGAGGAGGGGGTGATAGCGGGATCAGTATCGAGCGAGGGCTCCGAGCGCCGGACGAGAGGCGAAGGCCCAGCGCCGGAAGCCTGGGTCCGGGAACGATGACGGGCCCGGGCGCCGGGAACCGGATGAGAGGTGAAGGCCCGCCGCCAGGAGCCGGGGCAGTGGTGGGCCCGGCAACCGGGAGCCGGGGTCCGGGAACGATGACGAGCCCGGGCGCTGGGAACCGGACGAGAGGTGCCGGGAGCCGGGGCAGTGGTGGGCGCGGGTGACGGGAGCCGGGGTCCGGGAACGATAACGGGCCTGGGCGCCGGGATCCGGATGAAAGGTGAAGGTTTGCCGCCGGGAGCCGGGGTCCGGGAACGATAACGAGCCCGGGCGCCGAGAACCAGACGAGAGGTGAAGGCCCGCCGCCGGAAGCCGAGGCAATGGTGGGCCCGGGTGGCGGGAGCCGGGGTCCGAGAACGATAACGGGCCCGGGCGCCGGGAACATGATGAGAGGTGAAGGCCCGCCGCCAAGAGCCGAGGCAATGGTGGGCCCGGGTGCCGGGAGCCAGGGTCCGGGAACGATAGCGGGCACGGGCGCCGGGAACCGAATGAGAGGTGAAGGCCCGTCGCCGGGAGCCTGGGCAATGGTGGGCCCGGGTGCTGGGAGCCGGGGTCCGGGAACGATAGCGGGCCCGGGCGCCGGGAACCAAATGAGAGGTGAAGGCCCGCCGCCGGGAGCCATGACAATGGTGGGCGCGGGTGCCGGGAGCCGGTGTCCGGGAATGATAGCGGGCACGGGCGCCGGGAACCGAATGAGAGGTGAAGGCCCGTCGCCGGGAGCCGGGGCAATGGTGGGCCCGGGTGCTGGGAGCCGGGGTCCGGGAACGATAGCGGGCCCGGGCGCCGGGAACCAAATGAGAGGTGAAGGCCCGCCGCCGGGAGCCATGACAATGGTGGGCGCGGGTGCCGGGAGCCGGTGTCCGGGAATGATAGCGGGCCCGGGCACCGGGAACCGGATGAGAGGTGAAGGGGCCTGGCCCAACACTTCACCGGAGAGAGTCGTGGGCTGAGCACGATTGTCGGCCCAGGCGCAATAATGCACTATTTGAGCAGATGGTGAGCTGGTTCTGTAAAAATATTTTTACATTGGGTATATCAGATAGACTACACGCTACTATAGACTTTGTAAGACAAAACTCAAATAAACTCTACTCGATGTCAAATAAACTCTACTAAATGAACAAAACTTATATATATATGGTGCCTTCTACGGTACCTCGAATTAGCAAGATTTTTGGGCATGATACTATACCCTAACCCTTAATTAGTGAATCTTAGGTCATAATTATATAAATCATAAACTATAAACCCTAAGATGGTGCATTGGTTTTTTTGCCTATATTTGGACGAATCATAACCGTCGATTATTTTTTCTAATTAAATTGATCTTGGGGTATAAGATTTAGAGAATTAAGACCTAGATTTTGATCTTTAAGGGTTAGAGTATAGTATCATGTCCGAAAGATTAGTCAATTCAAGGTCTGGATAGCGTTTTCATACTCAAGGTATGCGGTATCCCGAATTTCACCCTCGGTACCGTAGAACTCGCCATATATATTATAGCAAATCTGACTTATATTTCTATTGTGATGGAAGGGCTTTACTTGCTCAACTTATAATATAATTTCCTTGTAAAACAAATCAATTGGTATCTATTGAAAATAAATCAATTGTTCTCTTTCATGTGTGTGATGGAGTTTGATGTGACTTATTATGTTTCGATTAATTCTAGGAAGCATTTATCCGGTGACCGTACAATCTATTTCTATGCTCTGATTTTATATTGAATTATTCCCCCATCCTATTTTCTGACGTTCTATATCTATTATGCTCATTTCACCACTTGTATTGATGATTCTTTATTTGGTTATATTGAACGGACTGATTTACTGTTTGTGTTTAGACACACATTACATGGCTCATTGATCACTATGGTAAGTCATTCTTAAAAATAAAAACTTACACTCGAGCCAATATGGTCGACCATTTAACAGTACAGTTGACTAAATTATGTACTTCATGTCAGATCGAGTTATTGTACATTTTAGCTAGAATCATCACCGGCAAAGTGTCATTTTGTATATTATGATTCTAAAAAGATTTATTTATCGAATCCATATATTCTGCCGAATATATCCGTTTATCATTTTAAAATGAAACCAAAAGCATGTATAATTTAATTGGTAGTGCAACACTTCAAACATCGTTCGTTTCGAATGATTTACAATCTCAACTTCTTATTGATTGTTGGGATTATACTTTCCAGATAGTGGGGGGAAAAATTTCTTTTTGTTTCTGTTCCTACCAATTTTCATGTGTGTTTCACAATATCCCAACATTTGATTTCGTTTCTTAATTAAAAGGGAGAGTATATGTCACTGTAACATCTCAAGCCACAAAGGGTTAAGAAACCACTTTGGCCGGACCAGGGAAGATGAAAGTTTAACTATATTCGAGAAAAGTCAGCGATTTGATACTTTACGATTAAACCATGGTTTAAAGGTAGTTCACTCACGTAAGCAACCCGAGCCGGACAACGAAGGTGGGGCCCGCGCTCGGCCCAAGCCCACCAAGAATATCACTGCAGCCTATGATTCCTCGGTCATGGTATCCGCGCGTGGCTCCCACACTCTTCTACGTGGATAGGCCCCGCCAATCGAAGGGAGAACCACAGTCCACACATTTCGATTGTTCGAGCGTGGATTCCACGGCTGAGTGAAACAAATATATAAATTTTTTTTTGTGCGGGAAAAAGGTGGGGAAGGGAATATTATAACCGGTGAGTTAGTTTAAGGAAGCCAGTGTTTGGTCGCCGCGTCATGTCTGAGTAAGCAATGCATGAACAGCAGAGAAAAGGGAATCAAAAGCTATTTTTTTTTGACAAATTATTTAATGCAAAACAAAACAAAAAAAAAAAAAAATCCTCTGTTTCTTCTTCTGAACAGAAACAGAAAACATTTACCACTACTTACATATATGCATTGTACACAGGCAGAGAGAGCGTCTGGCATCCCAACCATAGTATTTCAAGAAGAACAATCATCTTGTCGAATTGCGTTGACCCTTTATTCACAACATCAGGTGACGTATATACCTGCTCTCTCTCTCTCTCTCTCTCTCTCTCTCTCTCTCTAACCTTTTATTGATCCATGGCGGCATATAACTGAAATCGTTTTACAGAACTTAGAGCAGGAGGACTGGACTGGGGCGCGGCTGGAATTTACAGGTACGCCAGTGCTTCTTTTTCTCCTTTTTCCTTCTCTCTGTCTCGCTCTGCACAAGTATACTTTCGACTCTTTTCTTTTCTGGGTAGTAGGAAAGTTTTGGTTTCTCCAATTGGGAAGAAGAGAGAAAAGGCATTTCTATCAATCCAATTGACCCACAAACACTAATGGACAAACGCATGCGGCAACTCACAATCTAAGCCTAGCCTAGCTATTTTTATAACCGCAGCAGCTTCTCACCCCACAAATTGCCTTCTTTTTTTTTTTTTTTTTTTCTTCTTCTTCTTCTTCTTTCCCCTTGCTTTCACTTTTGTTCCTGACTTTTTGCTTTGGTGGCTGAGTTACGTAAAAATGGTAAGTTTCACCATTTTGCAATAGTGCTCGACCTTCTCTTTTCATCCCCATTCCTTTAATATATTAGTCCCTTTAGCAGCACTTATACCATTTGCCAATCGAACGACCAAATTATATATGTGTTTAACTTGCTGCCACTCTGAAATGGATCATCCTTCCCCGTCATTTCTCACTACACAAAATACACATATACTTGATGGGTAGTGGGAAATTTATAGGGTCATGTAGAAAACAATACAAAGCTTAGTATTGACAGGTTGCTATCATAGAGCTATATATTTCACTTTTGTCGGCACATAAAAATAATCAAGGGTCAAGGAGTGCAAGGTTATATGTGTCATATTAGAGAGTCAATCGAATTGCATGGTAGTGACGTCATTTTTTTTTTACACGTTCCACAATCCAATCAATTCAACGTTTAGATAGGGATAGAAATTGGGGCGGGTTGGGTTACACACTCTGCATTACATGGCTAGCCACATTCACATTCACAAAATCATAATTTTGCTATCCGTGCCGCAGTGGTTAGTGGGTAAACCACTACTCACTGCGGTTTGGTGCCGGTTGGGTGTGTGGTTTATCAGCAAAAAAAAAAAAAATCATCTTTAGGAGCATGGAGTCGCGCCCGCCACCAACGAATCCGCGGTTCACAATACAACTATAGTGATATACTGTTGTGTTATTCGTAGAGATGCAGTTTTGTACTTCTTACTCAACGTGGGGATGTTGTCTCTCCGATTTTGGTATTCTACCTTTGTGTCGGAGAGATAAAGAGACTATAGTTTTTGCATTACAAAAATGTAAATTAATATTACACGACACACCCTATTAGTTCGCATTTTTTACGTTGAGTTATTTCAGCATTTTACGAAATTAGTTATTACTTCTTATATCTTTAACTATTAATAATAAGCATGATGGACTTAAATGTAAAGAAAAGTTTGTTATACTAATGTTAATGTGTGTATAGTGAATTTTGTGGGTCAACCATTGTGGTTAGTGGTTAACCACTAACCACACAAGTTAGGATTTTGCTAACCACACCCAACCCACTACCCACAAAATTGTGGGCGTGGTTAACCACAATGTGTGTGGTTTGATGCGGTTCATGGGTTATCCACAAACCAGAACCAAACTTCCACCCCTAGGCTTAGATATTATTTTATTACTCAATGCATACTATACTTTTAATTTTACTCAAGGTACGACTGAATGCATCATACATGTAACAAACAGATTTACACAAATTGACAAGGAAAGAAGGAAAAAAGCCAAATCAGAATATAGGAAAAACAAACTATACCAGTTAAAAATTAACTTGAATCGATTAGCTTATTAATTATAAGGGTTAACATCATGCTAATTATGAGTTGTAGCAGTACAATAATAGTTGTAAACACTGTTTTGCAGTTGCAGTCATTGTAGGTGTGGATTTAACTTAATTAAGGGGAGATGTGTCGCACCCGGGATTTCGGTGAAAGTTTATGTTTTGTTATAAAAATTTGAAATTATAATCTTTGACACTCCTACAAAAGTTGTAACTGATACATCTGTTGCAATTGCAAGTAGTGAAATGATTTTTTTTTACTATGAAGTTGATAAATGAAGGTATGCCTATAGTGATTTGCAAGTCATCGTGACCGCTTCCGAAAAATGGTTGATTGGACATCACACTTACCTTTAACTTACACATGCTTTTTAGAAGGGGTCGTTCTACCGCTTCTGGCAAATGGTGAATCGCTTACAGTGAACGGTAGGCCAAATGACTAAGTTATCATCTACTTACATTAGGAAAATAATGGACAATAGAATGACTACCATACAAAATTGTTCAGTAGTAAAGCAATATCCTACCACCCATGGGCAACCAAATCTCTTTAAAGATTATATACATAGACAAAAATAAATAACACTCTCTTCTAGCACTTCTGAAATAAGAACCCATAAAAGCAAGATGATAGAAGATTTATGCACGTTAAAGATGACACAATTGTATAACATGTATACCTACTTTTTAAGTATCTTCATAACAACAATAGCAACAAAGATGTTCCATCACAAAGACAACTATATGATAATAAAAAAAAGCAAACTGAGAATTTGAAGGAAAGATATGAGAGTCTATGTAGAATAAGTCAAATCTAAAAAATAAATATGCTTAATATTTTCTATATCCATGGGAGAACAATGACTAGAGAAACTTATCATCTATGCTCCAACTTTTGTTCTAACTTCAACTCTCTTACAAGCAAGCATATCTATCAACAACAATGGTTCATCATGTGCGATTAATGAAAGAGGCGGACCAGTTGGTGGAACTGGTAGACTGTTTTGTCCCAGTCACAGTGATTTGTATGTCACCGTAACAAAGTCATAAATTTATATTTTAATGACCAATTTATCGATGATTGTTGGGTTGTATGCATTTTTTTTTGTCAAAATGTAATATATATTAATCCAATCAAAGAGATAATTACATCCTGGAGAGCAGCCAGGCCCTGAAATCAAACAAACGATTCCCAGATGGGTACAAAGAGAGGGCTTTTCTAGCTACCGAATGAGCTACCCTATTGTTATCCCGACCTACAAACCGCACACTAAACCCCGGATGGGCATCAAAATGTTGACAAATCTCTTCCAGGACAGCCCCCAAGTGATTGTCCCGAGAATCGGCTTGATTAATCTTGTCAATAATGACCTTCGCATCACCCTCGAACCGAACCTCGGACAAACCCCACTCTAAACACCAAGTGATAGCCTCACGCAGCACCAGCAGTTCCACCACCATCGGTTCATCAATTCGTGCAAATTGCACACCTTTAGCCCGAAGGACCGACCTTCCCTGACCACAAAGAACCATCCCTCCAGCCGAATGTGATCCCCTCCTAGTTGCCCCGTCCCACATGCACACCAATTGAGAGTCATCCACTTGGGTCCCGTGCTGGACCCCCTGGCACGACCTCCTTGGTTGCCGGTCAACTGGCAGACCCACCCATTGGGTTGTTTGCATTGAAAAATATTTATTTTGCAAAATAAACGATTAGTGTATTTCACAAGCCTCTCATAATATACAATTTTTTTGCTCACTGTGAAAAACAATGATACTATGTACTCCATAAATAAATAAATTATTATTTAATATTTTTATTATTTTTATTGACTGACTGACGCACCTCTCCGAATATTCTGAGTCCGCCGCTGAATCGTTGTATTTTGCAGTTGTAGGATTGCATTTTCTTCACAATCATAGCTATAATCATGATGACTTTTGTAGTTGTAATTATTGTTTTTGCAATCATAAAACTACAACTCTTACGTGAACTACCACAACCGATAGGTAGCATGTTGTTAGTTCTTATCGGGTTAGCACAAAATTTAGGTATTAAAAATGTCCTTTTTATCACCTCAACACAGCTAGGAATGGAGGTGAGGAGATAAGACGACGTGTATGAATTTGGAAGAATTGATGACAAGAAATCGGTGGGAGATCTTCCTTCCTTCCTTCCTTCCTTCCGGGCTTCCTGATTGAAAAATGCAGCACATATCTACATCTATAGCCGCCGCCGCCGTCGCCGTCGCCGTCCCGTCAATCCTTTTCACTCCATTCGTAACAATTACCTCTTCCTCTTAACAGATTTTATCCATCATTTACCTTTATCTATAAAATAAACCCTAGAAATTTGGGTGCCATAGTGATCAATTGTGCTCAAGGTTGCCAAACTAATTTGAACTGCAGGTTTAGCAAGTGGAATGGTACGATCAGTAGTGCATCAAATTTGTGTCGATTCATGTCTGATTAACAAAATATGACATTCCAAATAAAAATAGATATGGTAGAAATAAGTTAACGGTGTTTACCTCACAAAATTTGTTATCAAGTTACATGTTTTCAACGACCATAATTTATAGGGGTGGGATTCGGTCGGTAAACAATTTACCGTTTACCGAATTTACCGGTTTCGGTATAACGAAGTTGGCCAAACTGGTTACCGATTACCGATACCGGTTTGTAACCGGTTTACCGATTGCCGAATTACCGGTAAATGGTTACAAACCGGTATTACCGAAATACCGTGAGAAGCTATTTCGGGCGGTTTACCGAATATTTACCGAACCGAATTTCCAAAAGTGGGGTGATGTTGTAATATTTTGATTTTTTTTAGTTTTTTTCATCATTTTTGTAATTAATAATTTATTATTAACTCTTATTTACAATATTTTTTAGGCCTATACTTACATTCATGTATGTAAGTTTTTATATGTTTGGGGGTAAAGCAACAAAACGCAGCGTAGCACTAGGGAGTAGGGAGGGGGGATTCGGTATCGGTAATACCAATTTACCGTCGGTATTTACCGATACCGTGTCCGGTAAACCGACTCCCCCAACTTCCCGCTCGGCTGCCGATACCGCCGGTAAACGGTTTACCGTTTACCGGATTACCGTTTACCACCCCTAATAATTCACATAGGGGTGGCGGTTTAGCTTGATTTGGTTAACCGCCCGAGAAACCATTACAAATTGAAACTCTAATAGTCAACTGACCAAACCGAAACCGAAACCATTAAAAATTTATCATTATTTGACAGAGTAAGCTGGAAACCAAAACTGAACCTTTTATTGCATTAATGGCTTATCGATTTTTTGGTTTCATTCGTAACCTAAAACTACGAATGGCAATGAGGCAGGTCAGGGAGGGTATCTCGATACCCATACCCGCCTCGTGGTAGGTCGAGTAATTTATCATAGGGCCCGAGTCGGGACAAATCGATCCATATGAGTGTATAATTTAATTATAGAAAAACATTAGAAACATTGATTTTTCATTAAGAAAATTAAGAAACAATCTATAGTATGATAAGTATATTTAAATTATTCGATGCACTAAGGTTCTCACTTATTTACAACTTTATTATAGCTAAAATATGAGATAATAAACGTAAAATTCTAAGTAATTGGAGTGAAGTCGGGACAAGCTACGGTGCTAATCCTATAGGGGGTTAGCACCGTCCTAATAGTCGTGGTAGTGTTTTTACATGGAAGTTTTTGGTAGTCTTTTTTTTATTGATCGCTTGTGTTGTTAATATGTAGGGTATGTAGTAGTTTGATGTGCAGTCATGGTAGTGTTTCTGGTCATAGTTGTCTTGGGACTATGTAGTTTCGTCAATATTGAGATGGAATATATTGGTAGTAGTGGTTTTTAATAATACGTGTGTAGTGTTTATAAATACATGTGTAGCGTTTTTGGGGTTAGCAGGTGCTAACGGGGTATGGGGTTAGCATCCCATCCCACCCCGAGTGAAGTTATATATAATTTAGACAAAAACAAGTCGAGAATTGGCCTGGTCAAGTCGAGAAGAGTATTCATGTCCGTCCAGGCGAGTCAGACCTGCCTCAAAACATGTCAAACTAGTCGTGTAAATCGGGTCAGGTCAAATTTGTCATCTCTACCTAAAGTGTTAAGAACTTGTTTGTTTTCTCCCGCAAAAAAAACCTTGATAAGACTGTAACCTGTTTCAGTTAAAAGCGAAAAACCCAAAACCGAACCGCTCCCCTGTTTTCACATATAGATGTCCTAGTCCCGAATTGCAGAGCTGACTTGCTTCAGTAGTTTTGGTAAAGTATGTCAATTTGCTTTACAATGTGGCTGAGGCTGAAGTATTAGATGTCTTTGAGATATGTAGTGTAGTAGCCCCCTCCAAAGGCCAAAAAAGGATAATGAGAAGATCTTGGGTGCTGATTCCCACTTCCTCCTTGCCCTCAACTTTTACATCAATTTGGTGCAACTTATTCTTTTCTATGCATCCCATCAAGTTGAATCCTCACAAATTGCAATTAGTTCTCTTGTTTTTTTTTTTATAACTTTTATATAACTGATTCGTACCAATATATTCCAAGTCGTGTACATAGCACCACCTATGTAAATAAAATTATAGAATATTTATTATTGGCATCCTCTCAAAATTTCGAGTTATACGAATGAGGGCTGACCTAGTTTGTGAATCGTTTCAAGAGTGTCGAGAGCTCTTGAGTTTGGATTCCTGGTGACAACTTTGACCCTCGTAGGGTGGATAATAAATGGTTGTTCAACCCAAAGATTGTAAAACCGTATCGAAAGTGTCAGTGGTAGAGTATCTTATGTTGAAATCGGGGTTCAACAATTTCATACAGCTAAATACCGTCTATCGATTTAACTTCTGATATGAATTTTTCCTGATCGAACCGTCGATACGATATGGTTTTTCACGCTTTGGTTGAAACTAGAAAGGATGAAAGAAAGTGAATGAAGGCAAGTGGTTTGCCGTTTTTGACTTTTTGTGATGATAAATCGAACATGAATCCAAATCAAAATTTGATTCTAGAAAAGGACACAACATGAACATAGTTGGCCTTCTTTGTATTCTTCTTCGCTTTCCCTCATGCAGCTTCACAAATTTCTGCCACGAAAAAGCAAAGGTTCATCAGTAATTCAAGTACTTATATGTGGCCCAGATGACTTCTCTGCTCCCCCCAACTTGGTCTCATTAATTCACTCTTTTTCTTTCTTCTCATTTTCAATTTTTGTTTCTTCTTCCTTTTCCCCATCTTCTCTGCCTTCTTCCTTTGCCATATTCGAACACAACAAAAGCCACCAACTGGCTTCTCACCAGCAAACCTCACCTCCAAAAAGTGTAAGCAGGCAAGCTCCTCCTCTCACTGCAGCTCCACCCACCACCGCACGGTTTCTTCCTTATAAAAATGCACCTTAAAGTTTCGACCTTTTTGCCTGTATTCACTTCTTGATTCTGTTTCTCAATCTCCGTCTCTCCTTCCCCTGTTCCTGACGACAACCCAATTTAGCTCCTGACTGGAAAATATTCTGAAACTTTGGCTTCTGGGTTTCAACGGATTTCTGCAGGTGATTTTTGGGTGACATCATGTAAGCCCTGTTTCAATTTCTCCGCCGCCGCCGCCGCCATCGACGACGACCAAGGAGCTGACTTCTGAATTGCGGACTGAAACAAGAACGTACGGCTCATTTGTTGTCTGGCTCGAATTGGGTATGGATTTCCGCGGCTTGTTCTAGATTGCAGCTCGTGAAAGATTCAATCTTTGGCCATTGTCTGGCACTTTCGGGGCTTGAAAAGCTTTCTGCGTAACAAGTGTTTGTGTTTTTGTTGTAGTAAGGGAAAATTTTGGCTTATATTGTGTGAGGGGAATAGAAAAATGGCAAGGGTTTGCTGGCCGTACTTTGACCCTGAATATGAGAACATGAGCAATAGAATCAACCCTCCAAGGTGTTTGTCAAAATTCCTCAAAGAGATTCCTTTCATGTCAATATCCATTTGTTCACCTGTCTTATTAAATGGTTCCATTCTCTACTGGCAGGGTCTCTGTGGATAACGTTACTTGTCAGAATAGTACTCTCATAAAGGTCATGCTCTAATCTCTTATATAATTCTCTATCCTTCTTGATAGATGAAATTCTGGGGGGTTAAATCACAAGTTGAGTTCACTTAGCAGATTTGTACTTTGCTTGGCAGGTGGACAGCATGAACAAGCCAGGAATTCTACTGGAAGTAGTCCAAATACTGACAGATCTTGACTTCATTATCACCAAAGCTTACATCTCTTCAGATGGAGGATGGTTCATGGATGGTATATACCTATGGTTTGGTTTAAACCCACCATTCTCTTCCTTTCTTATGCTTGATTTGCCTGTTTGACCTTTTTATAATCGGACTTTTTTGTCAACCTATTTTTGACTGTTTCCTGTCTGTTATGGTCCATATCAAACTATTCCATCATAAACAAAGACAGCTTGATTGCTTCCTTCTTATAACTTTTTTCATTTCTTATGAAGAAGCTCTGTCATATCATATAACCAGCTGTCTCTGTCTATCTGTTTTCCATACAACATCATAACAATGGACGCCATGCTTCCTTCTCATAACTTTCACTTTCACCACAACCACTATTCTGATCCTTTTTTCTCATTTCTTACTATCTTTCATGAACAGTATTTCATGTCACTGATCAACAAGGAAACAAGATTACCGATACCAGGACCATCGATTACATAGAAAAGGTATCCTGATGCCCTTCTATCATCTTTTTCTTCTTTCTTTCACTATTCAATAGAGATGCTTTTTAAGAATATGTGGAACTTTATCAATACACGCAGAAGGTATTCAATCTGATGCTGAAAGCTATGTGTGAAATTCCTTGTCTAACTCTTGTATCTTAATATCAAATGGCTACTTATTTAATCATTTCCTTGTTCAACAACTAATCCTAAATTACAATTCTAACAGAAAGTGCCTGTGATTTGCTCTAGGTTCTAGGACCAAAGGGAGGTGCCAAAGAACAAGTGACACCATGGCCAGGGAAACGAGTTGGTGTCCACTCAATTGGCGACCACACTGCCATTGAACTCATTGGCAGAGATCGCCCAGGCCTTTTATCTGAAATCTCGGCCATCCTTGCCAACCTTCACTTCAATGTTGCAGCTGCAGAAGTCTGGACACACAACAGGAGGATAGCATGTGTGCTCTATGTCAATGATGACACCACGTCCCGTGCTGTGGATGACCCCACCAGATTATCCGTCATGGAAGAGCAGCTCAAAAACATCTTACGTGGATGTGAGGAGGATGACGATGGAGGAGTTGGACGCACCAGCTTCTCCATGGGATTCACACACACAGATCGTAGGCTGCACCAGATGTTGTTTGCTGATAGGGATTATGAAGGTAGCGAGAAGGCAGATTGTGCTCCTGCTCCCACTCTCAAGCCGCAGATCACCATCGAGAGTTGTCAGGAGAAGGGTTACTCGGTTGTCAGCGTTTGCTGCAAGGATCGTGCCAAGTTGTTGTTTGATATTGTGTGCACTCTTACTGATATGCAGTATGTTGTTTTCCATGCAACAATCTCGTCTGACGGCCCCAATGCTTCACAGGTAAAAACATTTGTGCTCCATAGGACAGTCGTGACCATTTCATTGATAAACAAACGCTTGTTCGCTCATGTTGTTTGCACTGCAAGCAGTTCAGACTATGCTAAAGGGACTGGAATTGTGAATTACATCTTTCTAGCGAAGCATTTGAGAATTATATAAGTTTCTCTGAATTTTAGTTTCAGGGGAGAGAATGCAGGCTTAGTTTCTTTTTCTTTCTGCAAGTGAACTCCTAAAACTACTATGGTAAAGCTCAGTGTCGTTGCACTAGAAAGACATTGTTCTTATTGATTTGAACGCATGACACATGAACCACTCTTGTTTTGTAAAGCCACATAATTTTATAATCAAGTTATGAAACTGATGAAGATGTGCGGCTGAACTTGCGCAGGAGTATTATATCCGCCACATGGATGGTTGCATACTCGACACAGAAGGAGAGAAGGAGCGCGTCATCAAATGTCTCGAAGCAGCTATTCGAAGAAGAATATCCGAGGTGAGTGCAGACACAACATCAAATGTCTAATATGCGTGTGGTCTCCCAAGTGCTTCTAATCTATATTTGCTTCACCGTCACCTCAAGCTGTTGTTGTTCTGTCCCTGTCCCAGGGTGTGAGCCTGGAGCTGTGTGCTAAAGACAGAGTGGGGCTGTTATCGGAAGTCACGAGGGTGCTACGAGAGAACGGACTATCAGTGACACGAGCTGGGGTGTCGACGATAGGAGAGCAGGCTATGAATGTTTTCTATGTCAGAGATGCTTCCGGTAACCCGGTTGACACGAAGACGGTGGAAGCTCTGAGAAAGGAAATCGGGCACAGGATGCTGCTTAATGTGAAGAAAACTCCTGGTGCTGGCAGCGGCGGCGGTGGTGGTTCTGGTGGTGGTGCAAAGGATCAGCAAGCGAACAAAGGATGGGCTAAAACGAGCTTCTTCTTTGGTAACTTGTTTGACAAGTTCCTAGCTTGAGAATTGGGGAAATGTTAATAAGATCCGTGTAACCCAAGAAAAGAAGTGAAGGAGGAGAGATGGGTTAGGGGATGAAGTGTGTACAGGACAATAAACCTCTGTTCAAAATTGAGAGGGGACTGGCAGGGCTGTGGAATTGCAACTGTGTAAAAAAAACAAACTTGATTGGGCTTCCAAGAATGAATCAACTTTGTGGGCTTTGGACTTACGACTACATGGACTCGAATTATGGTAATGGGCCGTTGGGGGATGCTGAGTAGAAGAAACTAGCCCAACTCTGTCTTCATTACTTCCTTGACTTGATGAACTCGACAGTATGTTTATCGAAGAAGATGAAGTGAGATCAGAGTGGAATGTTGGTTCTTCTGTCGAAAGTCTTCTTGTCCCCAGTAATTAAAGGATGAGAGTGTGATTAGTAGTTGCTAACTCTAATTAGAGTTAGGTCCAGCAGGCAGCAGCTGCGTACTGCTAGAAAGATGCTGCTTGGGGCACGTGCGATTTTCCGTGACAAGATACGACAGAAGAGAATTAGGGATTGGGAGGATAGAGTTAGGGATTGAGAGAAGAACGAAATTGGGGATTTCGGATTTAGAAGAAGAAGTTGGCCATAAAAGGGGAATGAACCACCGCCATAGCCTTTTGGCATAAGAGATACGAGATTCAGATGATTGAGAGAATATGGTTTGTGAGATCAGACATAACTGTATTGTAAGCCTCACGAACATTTTCAATTTTTCTATTGAGTATGTTGTTATATTGTTTATAGTACTTTAAGGTGTAGAGTTTGATAAATATATGTTGTATCTCACAGAAACAAATATTGGCTAAAGGTCATTGTTATGTTTTTGCTACGCTTTACCAGACAACCTTTTTTTTTTGTTATGCCAGTTTTCTTTTCAACCATAGATAATTAATTGATTGCATAATTAAATAGACTGGTCATGAATGATTATTCACTATAATCATTAAAAATACAATATTAGATCATTGATTAAAAGTTATTATGATTTCAAATAGCAAAAAAAAAAAAAAAAAAATTGACATTACCTTAATGTCATACAAAATTAATTTTGGCTGCTCACTCCAAATGGCAAATGCAGAAAATCCAAAGGGCAGAAAACATTTACGTCCATGTCACTCCCAGCTGAGTAATTCATCGTCATGCTCAAAACACATGGATAAATACATATATCATGTTTGCACTCCCATGATGAGCTGGACTCAACCTTAATTAATTTCCCTGCCGGAATATAACAGATTTTCAGGTCTAGGAAGAAAAATTAAGATTACTTCCTTGTTAAACATGTGAAATTGTACATTTCAATAATAATAATAATGATAATAATAATAATAGATACCAAATTTGGTTACGATGCACACGTATCTAATACTTTGATGTTATCATGTGCGTATATTCCATAAAAATAAGGTCCATATACGAAACTAGATAGACTTTTGTAGGTCTGATTAAAAAATTGAACAAAGTAATGGACGGTGGTCAACTAAACGTTGAACCAATGATAAAAGAGTTTGTTTTTGTCATGATAAGGACAACTCTATCATACCTATGTAGAGCAAAGTGAAACAAAACACGCTGAAACGAAAAAAAACCCGCAATCATATGATTAATTTGGCCTTATGGTATGCTACCATACCTGTAGAATGCAAGCAAAAACACTATGCAAGAAAAAAGGGCCTAACGTACTCAGCCCAGCTAACGTCCCGGAAATGCATATATTATTATTTATTTAATATTAATTGTCAACTTTTCTCTTAAAAAATTAGATTAAATACTGGGTACTTAAGGTTGTCCTTTAATTTGTCATTCGCACGCAGAAGCAATCATGTACACTTAATTTTCTATGATTATCGTTGACGCCGACGGTTATTTGGATTGTGCAACTATAAAGAGAAGCAACTTGTTTGTAACATATTACCAAATAATTCCAAAAAAAAAAAAAAAAGGTTTCAGCACAGGAAGAAAATTCGATACTTCCATCTTCTTAATCCTTGCCAAATGGAAAATCTTGATTGTTTTTTTAGATTGATTTTTAGGATATTGTCTGGTCAATTTCATGCAATAAGTTTATCATATAAATGTTTATCATAATTGTATAATTCAAAGCATTAAGTATTTGATTGTCGCTAATAAGCATTAACCGAGTATTATTTTTTATAAATGAATGCATTTAGAACAGTTAGCTTTCATTCACAACCAAACGAGTCTCAGAGAGACCTTGACAGTCATAGAAAAGGACATACTGAAAAGCAAGAATCGAAAAAATGTTTAACTTTTGTTCATTGATACTAATAATCTATATCAGCATCATAAAAAATGTTTGGACATGAATGTGTGGGTTTAAGTGAATTGAACTTGAGTTTTGGGTAATAAGTGTAATAGGTAGAAGAGAGGAGTTCAAGGTCTTTAGTAAGAGTTCACGGTCGTGATGTTCAGTCCTGGATCTGGAGTTCATGCAAGAGTACTTCACAACTAGGGTTTTTATTCCCATGCCGTGAATCCTGGCAACGAGAGGAGCCGAAAGAAGCGGAAGCTCTCACGGTCAAACTCACTGCACTTGAAAGAGACCGCAACCTATGAGTCCATGATTGAGAGAGAGAGAGAGAACAATCGCGAACCCCATGTCGTGATCTCCTAAGAAGTTTATGGCAGAATAGTGTCACCTCAAAGAACACGAGACCTACACCAAGTTCGTGGCCGTGAACTTTAGCCAATCTCAACAGTGAACTAGTATGAGATCATCACCCTATAAATAGAGATTGCATTTCAAGGGCAAATCCAGACCACATTTTCAAACAAAAAACACATAGAGAGAGGAGTTCAGGGTTTCTATTTGAATAATAGGAGAGTCTGGAGTTTGGAGCTGATTTTTCAAGGATCAAGAGCTTCCAAATGTTGATTTATTTTCTAGTTTTATGTGTTCTCCTTACCCTATTCATGGGATGAGATCATAGGTATTTGGGGTAAGAAAACATAACCTAGCTAAGGGTTTGTATATGTAATTGATGATTTGGTTATGATTATAGTATACTAGATAATTGGCCCGCGCGTTGCGGCGGGATTCTATATAATATTTTTTTTCTTGATTTCTTGGATCATTTGTGATATATAATTTTTTAAATGAACCTTTACATTTGTGATTTGCCACATAAATAATTCAAACACTAAATCAGTTAGGAGAAAGATTATGAGATTAATTGGTTGGATGTATTATAGAGGCGAAATTTGGAAAATAAAATGTTGAATTATTCAATTAATCGCATAATTTTTTGTTAATAACTTTAATATGTTTGAGTATTGCAATCTCGAATACTTAGAGATAGGAAGTATACCAAAACTCGCTCTATAAAAGTAGGTTCCCAACTTCGAAGTGTCTTTTAAACCTTTCTTACATATTTTTAAGCCTGAATACATTAAACCAAATGATATCTTTGTAAAATATTAATACATCATCTTACAAATACATTGAACCAAAGCCAACAAAGTTGATTTTGTAAATCAATCTATTTTTTTAAAACCTAAATGGCAGGATTTGGGAGATAATTATTGTTATAATTTAGTTATTGAGGAAATTAACATGATAGAACATATTAAAAGCATGGCTCTTTAAATTGACTTAATTTTTTATTATAGAATTATATGTAGTTTTCTTTATCAGAAGTCACTTGTACATCATCACTCGGCTGGATCTGATCAACTAAAATTGACTCCACCTATCTTATAATGAAAACTGACCGACTTAGTATCAAGTTATGTGATTAGTAAATATGCACTATTGAAATTGACATATTGTCATTTTAAATAACTTCTTAAATTAATCTAAAAGTATAAAATAACTTTCATTTTTTTACAATTTTCATGTTAGCTATAAATATATTATAGAAATGTAATGATTTGATACTTTGTCTAACTTGATATTAGCATCCGTTGTGTGATAATAAAAAATTATGTATTACTTAAGATTTGGATCGAACCATTCTATCATTATGTGTTTAAAAATAAACCTCTGAATATTGTTATTTTCTTAATCCACAAATCTTCTTTCTAATCTCATAGGCTCCCTTCCCTTTCACTACACCAAGACCCATGACCTCTTACACGTGGAGGAGATGAATGACAGGTGGCAACAAATGTCAATCAGCCGAGCTCGATACATTCCTTCTCCTCTATCTTTGTGACTGTTCTCCTTGCTTTGATTTCTTTTATCTGACATCAATAATCCTAAACGAACTACAGAGAATCGACCAGTTGCATGCAATTGGGATCCAAATCCCCTTTTCTCAATGAGTGAGCAAAAGTGCTGGTTCCTTGCTTTTGATCCCTCTCTTATTCATCTTCATGTCGAAATTATCGGCTAATTGTGGTTGCTTCTTCCAATTACCCTCCGATCCTGATTGTGACCCTCTTATTTTGATTACCCAATACCATCGGTAACAAAAGAGAGAGCCCCAAGTTTGTTACTTCAGCACGACGGTTCTGGATTTTGGGATTGGGAAGCTTGTGAATCCGCTGGGGAATTATTATCCATAAACAGTAGTCAATTAATTGAACATGCAATACGGAGGCGTACAGACGACGATAGTGTGTCACGAAGGAATTCTCCAGGATGAGGTCGAGGAATCGATGACGCCGAAGCAGTCTTTGACTTCCCCTTCTCTCCCCTTCCTCTTCTATAGGATCTCCGACAATGCAAGGATCAACGCCAAGACGACTGTTATACTATCATCGACGATACTATCATCGACGATTTTCCTAGCCGGCGGCCGGCCCCCTGCATCCATCTTCCGAACACATTGGAGCTAGTCTGAAATAGGGAAAAACACGATCCATCACAAACCCCACTTTCGCCAGGACGAAGATCGGAGAAAAGCCGAGAGAGAGAGATCGGGAGAGGGAATAAGGCGATCCATCATTGACCCCAGCTTCGCCTGGAGGTAAAGAAGGGAAGAATCGATGGCGGCCACTTGCCTCGCCGCCAATCGGTCGACGGGGGGAATCATCGGAGTAGGTAAGAGTCGTAAAAAAAAACATGAGTTTGGAAAAAAGATTGCCTGGATCGACAGTCAATATTGAGTCCGCAGGAGGCTTATGGTGTACCTACCCGTAGCCCACTGGACCCCTTAAGTAAACTGGCCAATTAATTATACTAATTTTGTCTATTTGATGTGCTTATTGCTTTATCCACATCTTAATTGCAATGTGGATGATGATCTAGAGGTTTGACCTAATGTGGGTGACCATCCACTTAAGTGTTAGAATCAAATAGTGTAATTTAGGTTATTGTATGACCATTGGTTTGCCTAATTTTGTAATTATGGGTTCATCACAATTGATCAGGATTCCGCATATCCCTAGATATAGTTGTCAATTGCATGATCAATAAGGCTGCAACATCAGACTACCATCTTCTTTCGACACGCAATCCATATCTAAAACAAACAAACTTAAGACTTCTTTTCAGAGTCGCACGCAAATTACACCTTCGACAAGACATGGCACATAGAAGAATCCAAATTTCATGAAAGGCTTGAGCACAAAAATTCTCATCAATCAATCATGTGATATAGGGATGCTGAGGCATATATATACACACAAAGCTCATAATGCCTCACGTAACAACAGTACAAAGATGACGAGTCGTCGTCGAAGAGTGTATTCAATCAATCATGTAAAGTGGTTTCGTTGGTTTGTGAAGTGGATCACAAGTGCACCTAGACGATGCATTGTCCAAATTCACCACCATTGTTTTGCAGAAAAGGGAACAAGATCATCATGTTCCTCTTATATAAGATCCACGTTCATCCACGAGAGTATAAGCTAGCTAATGCACTATGAAAATCACACCGCAAAAGTTTGGCAATATATAATATAATTAGCAGCTTAGATCCAACTGTTCGTCGAGGAAAAGCTTGCATTGATTGAAATTTTATTTATAGCTTTCGAAACTATTCATCTCAATATTTACTCATAGTTTGCTATATGAGCAAAGTGCAATCGAGGACGACGTAGCTTTCAATTAGGTTATGAGTTCTCTCCAAGGTTTGCATTGCATTCTTCTTTCGTTCTTTAAGATACAAAATTGGATTATAGGGCATAATATGTCTCATTATTATGCATTTTTATCAAACATGTTATTCTGCTATATTTTACAAAAATTATCAAACATGCTCTTTGTTAAAATTTCCACCCAAAACCATCAACCACGATCGAAGTTTGGTTTGGGAGACATAAATGTCTGAAATATCCCCGATAAATTTCACTTTAACATTTTTTGTTTATTTTATATAGCCTATTATTCCCAAATAATTTCACTTTAACAAGACCTAGAGTAATAAATAGAGGAGCAAAACTGATATTCTCCATCTCATTTTATCGAGGTTAGATCATCCAGACTACGGTTCAACCACGATTGATTATTTTTGAATGAAAATAATAACAGAATGACATGTTTCTTAACTTTTTCCAAAACACATGAACATGTTTAAATTGATATAAAAAATAGGATATATTTGATAATAAAAAAATACATAGTAAAACTACATATTATTACCTATAACTCATAAGAATTCTACAGTAGTCAAAAGTGGCTATTTCAACATACAATATGTAAGTTCTTGTTCATCCAAAATTAAACATAAAAAAAATCCAGTGGATGCATGGGCACCAACCGGTTGGAACTTGGAAGGGATTGGAAAAGGGTGAAAAGACAAAAGAAGAGAATAAACAACAGGGAAAAAAAAAAAAAAAAAAAAAGAGAAATGGCCAAGGAGCAGAAAACAGTCGTATCCTACGTGTATGTGGGAGCGCATTATCTTGAGAGATTATGCGGTTTCGGTTTTCAACAAATGGAACTTTGTTTATAAATGCATTTTTGGCCTCATGATTTTCAAAAAGTAAAAATTATTATTTGTACTAAGTATAGATTAGTTAGCTAGGGTGAGATGCTGCAATTAATTATGTAGTTGGACTTGGTTCTCTTGAAATTCTGTGTTACCTTTTGTAATCCCAATTTCCTGTTTTTTTGTTTTTTTACCATTTATGGGAATTAGGAAGTAATCAAATTGAAACATGCAATGATGTATCACACTAATTAATAATTGTGTAATGGCATTGTTTCCTCAGATAATAATGTTTTAATTCGATTCATTCCCTTCCAATGTATAATTCCTTATTACCATTAATGTCAAAATTGAAATTGTGTGACGATACCTATAATAAATTGAAATCCACAGTCGTCTACGTGCTCAGATACTCATTATTTTGTACAATCTAGTTATATATGTTGAACAATTCGAAAGAAAGGTCGCAACTGAACTAGTGCGGTTTTATTACAATGGTCACATTATTTGTCACACAATATGTTTACTATTTTACTACAATATCTTAACTGATTATCTACCATAGATTCAATTTTAAGAATATAAAGTAACACTTGTCACATAATAACTCACTAAAAAAATTAAGAAGTACTAATAAACCAACCTGAAGTTTTAGATTCGAATTCCTCAAACAACACCTAATAATTAAAAAAAATTATATCACTCTTATAAGAAAATCAAAATAATAACAAAAATGATGTAATTATAATTTTAGTACAATCAACTATGGCCACCTGTCAACTTACCATTGTAAGCACACTAACAGCTATAAATCAAAGAAACCTAGCAGCACAGGGTTCTCATTTTCCCCACTATTTGTCTATTAACAAGCTGAGCCGAGGTAGGTGAAATTCGGCTTGGTTCGCTCATTAACAGCTCTACTCTGAAACTACTCATGGTTTCAGAGTTCAGTTCCAATACTTGTGATCCACCACCTTCTTTCAAAAAAGAACCTGAGTCTTTTTTTTCAATCGTGCACGCAAGTTAAACCTATAACGAGACGTGAAACGTAAAAGAATCCAAATTTCGTGGAAGGAATGAGCACAAACATTCCATCAATCATGTGATAGGGATGCCGAGGTCAAGACTCGAGAGTGTATTCAATCAATTATCAAAGTGGTTTCGTTGGTTTGTTGAAGTGGAACAAGTAAGTGCACCTAGACGAAGTAATGTCCAAATTCACCACCATTGTTTTGCAGAAAAAGGGAACTTGATCATGTTGCTTTTACAAATAAGCAGTTAGTTAGACAGCAGGAGAGTATTAGCAAGCTAGCCAATAAGATAAAAGATAACAATAATTATTATCCATCGAATACAATATTAATTGATGAGCACTTCTACTATGCTATATAGCATTGGTGCTTTAATGTACAACTTGAAGTTGTACCATAACATTAAATGTATAAGTTTAGGTTGTACCATAAAAGAATTTGGATCATCATATTATGGTACAACTTTACAACTTGAAGTTGTACCATCACATAAGATACAAGTTTAAGTTGTACCATAAAAAAATTTGTACAAAAAGTATAGGTACAATCTGAAGTTGTACCATAACGTTAAATGTACAATTTCAAGTTGTACCATAAATAGCACCAATACTATATATCATTGTAAAATTCCTCTAATTGATAATGTCATCGGTACATAAGAAGCAGGCAATCCATCAATTATCGCTTTATAGGTAAATGCAATTTGCATCACAAAACAAGAATGGATGTTTGTTTTTTATTACCTAGAAAAATCGTGGAATTGATAGCTAGGTGGAATGTGTATCGTGGAGATGATATAAATATATATATACTTCGGTGCACTCTTTGAATGCATCAAACTCTAAAAGTGGTTATAATATATCAAATTCAGAAATTTAATGGGTATCATTAATCTAATATGATGATATAACACAAAATCACAACTAATTGATCCATTGGCCAACCTATTAACCTTCAATTTTGAATCCCAACTCAAAATCCCAAATTGTAAACCCTAACCCTAAATTTCTAAACCCTAAATCATTCAAATTAAAGTGAATCTTGAATGATTTTTGTACAATTTCATGCGGTTCTTATTCATCATACCACAAGTGATGATTGACATCGATTTTACATCAATCGCCTGCTCAGAATGACGATTATGAGGCGGATCCATTAAATGCAAAAAAAATAGATGCACTAAATACACCACCATATATATGTCAAGAACCAACAATGCATCCATCAGGTCAAAAAAAAAAATGCACTATGAAACTCATATTGCAAAAGCTGGCAATACAATTAGATTAATCAGCACTTCAGCAGACTCCAACCCAACTGATATAATATAATTCTTCTTTTAGCTAGTAAAGTAAAAGGTGCACCTCAGCTGCGAAGGAGCGGAAAGAATATATGCGATTGAGCTCGATTCCACTCGACTGGCGCACACCAGCTCGTCGGTGATTTCAACGAGGGTTTTCTACGTGGGCTTTAGGGTTTCAATTTATGGATTTTAGAATTACAATTTCTGGGTTCTTGGGGTTCTGATTCGTGTTGTGGTTGTTGTTCTGATTTCTGGATTTCCTCTTTATGTTCCCATATTCCGATTCGTATTGTGCTCCGGTTGTAGGCGAGTGCTTCTAGGTGCGGTCTAAATCGTGATTTTACGTAAAAAGTATTTTTGTGATCTAAAACCGTAAAAATAAAGTTTTTAAACTTTTAAAGCATATATTTTGGCTACACTTGTAACCGAAAAGGGCATTCCTGTGTATAAGTGTTTTGGTGATCTAAAAGTGTAAAAGTATAAGTTTTTAAATTTTAAACCGTGATTTTAACAACTTTGCACAGAGCCGCCCAAAACGGATCCAAAACAGATCTGATATGAGAGGTCGCTGTGTTTTGCAAGGTAACTGGAATCTGTGGGGGAAGGGTCACCGGTTTTGTGTTTCATGTTGCCGGAGAAAGAAGGATCGAAGGAGGACGACGGAGCTAAGGCCTTAGCTTATGGATTTTAATGAAGGTTAAAATGCATTTTTAGAGGCATCTCTACCATATATATATATGACTTGTAAGATGCATAATTAATCGGTTAAAAGGAAGTCCAATATTTGATGTTGTTCATTAGTGTCAAAATTCAAATACAATAAGTGTGTAAGTTTAAAATGTTTTTTCCCATCAATTTTTATAAGTGTGTAAGTTTAAAATGTTTTAAAAATTAATTGTACCTAACTTTTTATGAGAGTCTCGAGTCTCGGTAGGGAGGAGGCAGATGAAAGAGATTGCTTGGCACTAATGTTGAAATGAGAATCTTTGCGTCACAAAACTCAAATAGGGATGGCAATCAAAACCGTGTTCGTGTATCTTTTCTCCCCCTACTTAGTTAATGCGGGAATCCAAAATGATTATGTATATTACAGGTATGGGTATAATCCGCAAAATGTTTGATGAAGCGAGTATGCTTTTAGATTCCTCCATCTCATACACATACTCATACCTATGCGCCAATAATATTTCTTCATATGGCAAAGGCTAGCGTACGCCAGACGTACGCTAAACGCCTGCGTTTACACCTATTTTTTGTACATGGATAATTCTAACGAATCAGAACCGTTGGTTTTCATTTTGAGATTAAACGAATATTATGGTTTGGAGAAGAGAATTGGGGGCTTGGGTTCACCCATTAGAGGTTAGGGTATAGTATCATACCCCAAAATCCGGTTAATTCATGGTCTAACTAACAAAACTCGATGGGCGTACGGTAAGGTAAGCGTACGCCTGACGTACGCTAGCCTGACCCTTCTTCATATACATAAAATTTAGGGTTGAAATGTAATTGAACGGCCACTCAAACCCAAACCCAAACCCAATTTATTACTCTCAAATCTCCCTTCACTCTTTCACTTCTTTCCCTTATTTACCAGATCATGTTACTTATTGCTTAATAGATGTGTTGGAGTCGGAGTCGGAGATGAATGATTTATAGATAGTATTGTACTTTTTCTTAGGGAATAAAGGATTTTCTAGGATTGAGTGCTTTTAATTCTTATAAATTTAGTTGTGCCTTTGATCATTTCATGATTTATTAGGTTTGTTTAGTGTTACGATTTAATAATCTATATTTTGAATTCTTTACACACATGAGTTTGAAATGGACATAAGTTTGAATATTTGAAAATGAATGTGGATGGTTTAGAAAAAATTGCTCTAACCCCGGCTCATTATCATCAAACATACAATTTGATTAATTTTTGTTCATCCAAAACAAAACATCAACCACATTAGTGGATGCATGATTAGTTGACCACAACTTGTGGACATAAAAAAAAAGGTGGGGATTGGGGAAGGGGAAAAGTGTGAAAAGACAAAAGAAGTGTAATGAAGAGAATAAACAACAGGAAAAAAGGAAAGAAAAAAAAGAGTCCAATGTGGGAAGCATTATCTTCAGGCGCGGTTTCGATTTTCAACAAATGGAACATTCTGGACGTGCAAGTTATTACCACTCTCTCTAATGCATTTTTGGCCTCACAAAGAGCTTTCTTAATCTCTCCTCTCTTTTTTTTTTTTTTCCTTCCAAAGAATCTCTCATTAACTTCATCATTTTCAATCTCTTCTATTGAATCTTCTATGGTTGGCTCTCATTAAAACAAGCGGAGAGTTCACCAAACTTGAATCGGTTATCTTGAAATGACGATTTTTTTTATCTTAGTATCATCATATCGTGTTTTGGTTCTCCATCGGTAGTGCGTGCTATTCTAAATCTATCAGTTTGTGTTGTACAGTTTGCGAGACTAGCAAATATATGTTGCCTAAAAATTGGAACCCATGTTTTTTCAAAGTAATTTGGTGTGCTCTCAAATATCAATACTTATAATTCAACGAAAAATATAATATCATTAAATGTTGTTAGTGGTATCTCGCAGGTAGAAGAACATGCTGCAGTATCGATATAGCAAAGTAAAATGAATAATTGACTTTCCCACGTATACTTGTAGGATTTTTTTTTTTCTTTGGAATTGTTTTTCTTGTTAATAAAAATTAATTCTAGTGATAGAACAATCAATTGACCTAGTGGTAATACTAATATCATTACTCATTAGTCTGAAACTTGGAGATTGTATGTTCAAATTCCTTCAGTAACATCTAACTTCCTTATAAAAAAATTAATTATAGTGACACTATTAAAGGCTAGTAATTAGCTCTATAGTCCATGTATCACTCTTTTGGTATCCATTACTTAACTTACTTAAAAAGTAAAAGCGAATTATTATGCAAATATTAAACTTTACGCGCCTCCTAGGGGGATTCATAGTCTAGTAACTAGGGGTGGCTATACGGTTCGGTCCGGTTAAATTGGACCAAATTGATCCGGTTTCAGTCCGGTCTTTTCGGGAATATATGGACCAAAGATTGGATTGGATACACTCCGGTCTTGACCCGGTCCGGTCCCAATTTATGTATTTGGACTTGGTTTTCTTGAAATTTCTTTGTTACCTTTTTATAATCCCAATTTTGTTTTTGGTACATTAACTGGACGTAATCAAATTGAAACATGCATGATGTTCAATTCATTCCCTTCCAATGTATAGTGCATTATAGCCAAATGAAAATTGTGTCAACGAATACCTTTGATTTTGATACAATGAACTCTCAAATCGCCTATTTGGCCAAATATTCGTGATTTTGTATATATTTTTAGTTATATCAGTTGAGTCAATGGGAAACGAGAACTATACTTATTTTCCCTCACTTTTATAAAACAATATCCTAAGAAAACTTAAAGATGACATCATCATTCTAACAAAAATTTAGCTTCATATTTTTGAAAATGTATATAATTTTTTTTTGTTAAATCAGTTTCCATTTTATTATAAAAAACGGGCAGAGATCAAGGCGACCACCTGCCAACTGATACAACGAGAGGAACTCCCTAACACGACCCTCACCCACAACTGGTGTTCTCCACTCCTCAACTACAGCTTATATTACCGCGTGCTAGTGTAATAACCCTAAACATTGACAATCACTACTTAACGTCAACGAAGAAGAAACAACAAACTTCATATAGTCTAGTGGTAATACCTTTAGGTTTGAATATGGAAGTCTCGTTTCAAATCTCCCATATAGTACCTAACTTTGTAACCACACACAAAAAAAAAAAAGTAAAAACCTATATCACCCTTATCAACAAATCAGAAGAGGATTTTAACAATAGAAAACAATTTTAATACAAAATATCCTGTTACTAACTTATCCGAAATAACCTCGGATTTCACAATCCTTACATTTTTCATCTTGGTGATTTCAAAATCCAAATTCATTGTCACTGCTATTCATATATATATATATATATATTTTTACACAGTTTTTTTTTTGACAAATTTTTTTTTTTTACACAGTTGGAAGGCCCCATGTGAAAGGGACACGTGGAGCCACACGCGTCGCCCTTTCTCTCCCCCGTACGTTTCTACCTTTCTTGTTTTTGGTCCTTCTTCCTTGTCGATGATAAACGTCCAAGTCACAACTTACAACACACACTCTGACACACAAATTCACAGCCAGCTCCTTTTGGCCTTCTCTTCTCTCTATAACCTTCGCCTTTTTACTTCTTCCCTCGGTTTCTTTCTTCCACCAGGGCCTCCTCATCCACCTCTTCAGGCTCCCTCACCGCCCACGCAATCAACCAACAACACAGGTTCGTCCTTCCTCCTTCCTCTCACTGATCTAATCACCATGTGCTTCGAATGCTTCACCAGTTGTACTCCTGTCTTTGCTGCCTTTTTCTTGATCATTCTCGAGGTGCAACAAAAAAAAAGGGTTCCGCTTTCGACGATGGGTCACTTGAGTTTTCTGGCCCTCTTAATCTCATTGCTTTTGCTGAAATGGGTTGTGCTCTATCTGGTCGAATTCCTTCAACGATTGGGAAATAGGCCCATCTCTGTTTTTCCTAAACATTTTTGTCCTCTGGCGTCGAAGTCTCTTTTGTTTGTGTTTATGTGATTTACAATAGAGCTCTCATCCTTGATTGTGGTTTAGATTGTCTCGTGTGTCGTCTATCTTGTCCGTTTCTTCTGAAATGGTCTATTGATTCCCCTTTTCTCTCTCTCTCTCTGTGTCAATTTGACAGAAACGAGGGGGTTTCTAACTATTGCTTCTGTTCTGTTGTTTGGGGCCAGTTTCAAGTTTTAAACCATGGTGAGAAGTGAAGAATTGAACCAGTGTTTCGAGAAGCTGATGATGGCAGGCGGTGGAATCGACATCAGTAAGAAGATGGGGGGAGTGGCCATCACTGAGTGGAAGGACATTCCAATGGAGCTTCTCTTGAGGATTGTGTCTCTTGTTGATGATCATCGCACGATCATAATGGCCTCCGAAGTTTGTAGCGGCTGGAGGGAGGCTATTTGTTTAGGCCTTACTCATTTATGTCTCTCTTGGTAAATTAATCCCTCTCCTGCCTTTGGATTGCTTGATTGGAAAATACCCTCCAATTCGTATTGGTAAAGTGGACTTTGGTTGACAATTCTTGTTCTATTTCAATTGCAGGTGTAAGAACAGTATGAACAACCTGGTTATATCTCTTGCTCCTAAGTTGAGGAATCTGCAGAGCTTAGTGCTACGCCAAGATAAGCCGCAGCTGGAAGATATTGCGGTAGAGACGATCGCTAGACACTGCCATGACTTGCAAGACTTGGACCTTAGCAAGAGCTTTAAGCTAACTGATCGCTCTCTGTATGCCCTGGCTCATGGTTGCCCCGACCTGGTCAAACTCAATATCAGCGGGTGTACATCGTTTAGCGACGATGGTATCGAGTACCTCACTGGATTCTGCCGTAAGCTGAAGACTCTGAATCTTTGTGGCTGTGTAGGAGCAGCAACTGATCTTGCCTTGCAGGTTTTTCAACCGATAGTTCTTGTTTCTGCACTCATTTTTGTCATAAGCTTCTTTGAGAGTACTAATTGAACCCCTTGCAGGCTATTGGACGCAATTGCAATCAACTGCAATCGTTGAATCTTGGGTGGTGTGAGAACGTGGGGGACATTGGGGTGATGAGTTTGGCATATGGATGTCCAGAACTCCGAACACTGAACTTGTGTGGCTGTGTGTCGATAACAGGTAGAGACCAGATATGCTTCCTTGTTCGACTTGTATTACCTCAATGGAAGCTAAATTTGATTTTCATTTCCTGTTGCATCTGATGAGTTCTTCTACTGACTAGACCTCCTTTATCTTTAGACGACAGTGTGATTGCACTGGCGTACAGGTGCCCGCACCTCACATCCCTCGGCCTGTACTACTGCCGAAACATCACCGATCGAGCAATGTACTCTCTGGTTCATAGCCGGGTGAAGAAGAACAAGCCGTCTACATCCATGTGGGAGAGCATAAAAGCCAGGAAAGGCGAAGAAGGGTTGAAGAGCCTGAACATCAGCCAATGCACGGCGCTGACACCTTCAGCTGTTCAAGCACTGTGTGATTGCTTCCCAGCTCTTCACACTTGCTCAGGGAGGCATTCTCTCGTCATGAGTGGTTGTCTGAACTTGACTTCAGTGCATTGTGCTTGTGCTGTGGAAGCCCACCGCACTCTGACGTATGTCCCTCATCACCATGCTCATTGAAGCTCAGACAAGTTCAGGGAAGTGTGCTTTCTCAGCACATGGAGAGCGAAGCCGTGGTGTAAGTTTATGTATTTGCTTGTGGGACAAACCAAGTCCGCGTAGCTGCAGATTTGCAAGGGTTTGTTGTTGTATAATGCTGTGATGTTAAGAATTTAAAGGACTTTGCTATCGACTATTTGATTCTGGTTTTTAAAGAACCCTTCTTTGTGAATGCCGATGGTTAATAAGAGTTGTGGGTTCATGGCTCGGTACTACATTTCCGAAACTCAAAAGAAACCTTACAATCACGCGAGGGAAATGGATGGCAATTTGAAGAGAGTGTTCAACTCGATGAAAATCAATATTTATTTGATGGGATATGCTATTGCAAAACATCACTCTTGAAATACACCCACCCAAAACAGCTTAATTGTGTATCTTACAGAACTTTGAATCAGCCAGGTGGTTTGCTATTGAGGGGAGAATAAACAAACGATTTGCAGTTTTGTATTTCTGGTTTCAAATGCAGAAGTTGATGATGTGTTCCAAGAAAACAAAAAGAGAGAAACTTTATGCAGTTCAGCAACTGGAGATCTTTGTGGCAGAATAAGAATCTGAAGGGTTTCATCACCATGTACACAGCTCCTTGTAAATTTGTTACGTCAGCATCTGCTTCTGTAGACAATCTCATCATCATCGTGCACATCAAAAGCTGGATTACACAAGCATCTGAACAGCCTACCAATTCCCTGCATATTGCAAATATAATCAATCAATTGTAATGTTTTCAGTATTGACAGAGGTTACTGAACTTCATGAGCTACTGATTTGTGAAGGACAAGACATGCCTGAGTGAGAAGAGGAGTTTTATAAGATAGTGATCTGGGGCCCTCATCTTCTTCACTGCTGCTATCGGAACTGCTTTCGTCATCATCATCCCCAGTTTCGTGACTACTCTTTGCCTTTGACGGTCCATCAATTCTTGCCTGTTTTCCTTCCTGCGATATATAATGTATAATTTTTATTTCACAACCGAGGCCAGGGGAAAAGCAACTAGGGAGAAAATGGAGGATGTTTATATATGTGTCGCACCTGAAAGATCTTGCCAAGGATTTTCAGAGCTGAGGCTCGAGTTTTGAGTTCTTCTCTCCTCACATTGTTCTCCTTCAAGACCATTTGGCAGACATGGATGAGGGTAACTTCGATGTCGACTACATTCAGTTTCCACATGGAGCTCATCAGAGTTTCCCTGTTCAGTCTCAAATGTGACTCCACGTCATTTTCTGGTGCAGTCCCATTGGCTTTGAACTGCCTGCGAATGTCGTCTTGAAGTTGGAGCAGCTGAAACGCACCTGCAGAGGTTAACTGTTAGTTCTCTTACAAACTGAAATTGGGAGAAAGACCCGAAAGAAAGCTTCACGAAGGAGAAAAGTTTCAACCTTTTGCTGCTGTAACCTGTGACTTCCAGAAATGGCCTTTGTGCCGAACCCATTCCGCCACGAATGGAACTCCAAGGTAAAGGGCCTTCTTCCCAAGCTCCTGAGCTGCTTGTCTTGAATATACGTACCCAATTGTGTGCAAGATATCAGCACCAAAATCTGTACAAATGTTTCCAGGATATCTTCAATTCCTGTTGCATATTGCTTGAGACACAAAGTATCATGTAATCGAGTGTGAGGAAGAGAACCTGAATCAGAAAGGCGCTTAGCTTCAGATTCAGCACGTCTAACGAACCCATCTTTGTCTCCTCGAACGTACTGATCGAGAAAAGCTCTGAGAAATCTAGCCAGCTTTTCCTCTCTTTCCTTCTGGACACCCTGTATTGAGTTCATTCAAGGGAAACAGTTTAAGATCACATACTGATCACCAGAATTCAGCAGCTGAAACTTGAATGCGAGAGCAATCAATGAAATGGTAGTACCTTCAACTTTTCATGGAGTTTATCAGGGTTCTCAGCTTCAGCAGCCAATTCAGAAGAAGCCATTGATGCCACTGATAGGTGACCAATGTAGTCCTCAAATAGTTCACTTCCAAACAGCAAAGCAAACACTGCAGTGGGATCCAGCATGGTCTCCCTGCCCACATAAAAAGGGGAATGAGCATACTAATTAAGATCAATTCAAGATGGTTGGAGAATCCAATAAGAATCAAAGTAAGACTTAGAGATCAGTGAATACTTTGATATAGAATGCTTCCCATTTCTGTCATATGCATCCCTCTGAGCAGGATCACTCAGAACTTGATATGCTTCACCCAATACCTATCATAGGATCAGATAACCAAATGCTTGCTTTATGAGGAAACAAACCCATTAATGAATTGAGAAGAACTCGAAATGGAGAGGGAGACTTACCTGAAACCTTTGAGCAGCAAGAGGGTCGTTGGGGTTCTTATCCGGATGGACCTGCCTGGCCTGCTAGTGAGACAATTAATCAAACAGTTGCCATGCATTTCCCTTACCCAACCCAGACAAACGTCAAAGGACACTAAAGCTTCAAACTTTTTCACAAAGGGATCATCAAAAACAAACACAAAACATCCACATCACACCTTGAGATAGTAAGACTTCCGAATTTCATCGTCCGGCGCAGAAGGGTCCAGACCTAGAACATCATAGTACTCAGTTTCCTTCACCATTGCCTGATTGAATGAACCCCTTTTGGCTAAGCAGCTTTTCCCAGGAAGCTAAAGTTGTGTCAAGAAGAGTGCTCTGAATGGTGAAGTGAAAAGCAGTGATGAAGAGAGAAAGTAAGTTGGAGTTGGAGTAGGGGAAAGTGTGTGCCTTTTGGAGGGTTTTCCCCACAGACCCATTAGTACACCCACACAAAGCCTGCTGGCCATGGATGGATGAATCTCTTTTTCTTCTTTTTTTTTTTCTTTGTTATGTATGCCTTTCCAGTTCTTCACTGAAATAAAGAAATGAAAAGATTAATAACTGACTTTGGGGATGGACAAGACAGTTCTTTTTGTTTAATGGTTTTCAGTTTTTCACTGTCCAATGCAGCAGTGGTGGTGGAGTTATTATTATTGTTATGATTTTTTATATGCTGCTGCCCATTGCCAGGTCCCATTAATCTTGTGTTTCCTTCAAAAAATATGTTACCTTTAATGGATTGGATGCACTTGGAGTTCTTGATTACTAGATCTGGGTGCACCAGCTGTTAGTGGTACGATGTGTGGTTCAAATTTGGGGAGAAGAGATGAGAAGGGAAGAGAACAAATCTTTGGGGAATAGCACTGCCTTACTGTTCATGCATCAACGTTGAACTCAGTTTTATGCATTCTCTCCAGGTAAAGGCGTGCTACTGAAAATCAAGGATTGTGAAGTTGTACTAGAGGTTATACTATAGTTTAACCGTGGCACAACTATCTCCTATAGTTAAAATACGATCGATTTGGTTTTGTATCCGATATTTTTTTGTTTCGACCGACCGATAGGATCGAGTTTCTCAAAGATTGCTTGAAAACGGCAAAAGATTGATGATTTCTATGTCTACGGTACATCTATTTATTCTCTGTGTGCAAAAAAAAAAAATGTTTCATACTTGTAGATAAGTAGTTGTGAATCATGAATTTTTAAGTAGTTATAGCAGCATAAGGAAACATATAAGGATTGTAATTTGTAAATGGGGTTATAAACTCATAATACCTGTTTTTTCTATGTTTTTTATTTCTTTTGTCGATTTCTCGAGACATACTACATACATCATCAGTTTGGTCTACTTGTCCGCGGTAAGGTGTGAGTTTTAGATGGATGTTACAGTACAGATAGATGATTTACATATCCTTATTCGTTTCCACCGGTTGTGCGATGAAGTCGTACTTCTCTTTCAATATCAAATTGGGAAAAGATTTGCATGAAAGAATGAGAATGAGATAGTGCAGGCAGCACAAGGAAGAGTTTTGCAAGGAGATGGTCTCATCATTGCAATGAGTGGCATATTGTTAAGTTGAATGAGATTTTGATTAGTTTAGGGTTTTGGATTATGATGGATCATTGATGGAAGCACGTGGATTTTGAATTGATCATAAAGTCGGTTCTTCAGAGAAGGCTGATAGGAAGAAAAGCAGGCGGGATGTGGAGGAGAGAAAAAAAAAACAAGGAAAAAAAGGTCCTACCGGGAGTCGAACCCAGGTCGCTGGATTCAAAGTCCAGAGTGCTAACCACTACACCATAGAACCGCAATGATTGACACAGTTGTCGCATAAATAGTATTTATTGACTAAATAGGGAAAATTGGGATTTTATCTTTTTTTAAGTCAACTTGCGCAAATTAGAATTTATGTTGACAAACTTAATAGTATCTTTTGTCGTTGATCTCACTTGTCCTTATTTTTCTATAATATTTTTTTAATTTCATTCAAATAGGTAAGCTTTTCTAGTTTTCTTTGATACGGATGATATAGGTTTAGTAACTACTAAAAGGGATTCGAACCTAAACTTCCATGTTTAATGCTAATAGTATTACTATTATCACCACACTAAACTAATTCCTTGTTCGCTTAAGATACGTGAGCTTACAAATCATTTTGTTTTCCGGCGAGGAAAAATTGGTGTTTGAATTAAATGATTTGCACCTTGACTTCTTGAACAACGATTAATAACACGGTTCACTCCTCTCCGAACAATGTTCGAACGAGGGTGTTTGATGATTTTGATGGCTGATAAAACTAAGTTAAATTACTTCTACTCCTATGGAGGTTCAGTGAGAGCTCCAAAAAATAAAAACTACAACTATGACTACATTACAGAGAAAAGATAAGTTTTTACATCTCAAATAATAACATTAAACGAGTCCGGGAATAGATATACGAAGAAACACTTCAAGCTTCAATTAAACTCTCCAAAAGTTAGGGTATTAATCTTCAAAGATTGATTTTCCAATGACAGTTCTGCTAATGTGCTTTTAGGACCACAAGGACCACGTTTAAAATATAGAGGAAGAAAGAGATAAATGGAGGATCAAAATAACTTACACACACCGCCTTCAAGCCACATTGTAGCATTATCTTACCATAGCACTGGAATCGAGTCCTCTGAAACATTGCATTAGAAAAGAAAATAGAGATATGGGGGCGCTTTTGCAGATTGCTGCCACTATTTCAAAGGGCATGCATTTGCACCAGGAAGAACATGCATGGATCCCCCCAAAAGACTCTGCCCCTAAATCTTCAAGGGTCTATTATCAACTTGAAATCCCTTCACCTCCTCCCTTTTCCTCTCTTTCCATCTTTCCCACCAAAGTTCTTTCCATTCTTCCCACCAAATTTCTTTCCTTTAGCTGACCCTTTGCTCTTCAGGTGAGAGATGTGGTCTGCCTTCTTCTGCCGCGCTTTGCTGACTTGATCAACATCCTTGATTTCCGAACGCAAATTAGCATTATGCACAGGCCGAGATCCGCTGTTCCGTCCTCTGAACTTCCCGTTCTTTCCAAATCGCCGATCGCTATTGCCTCCTGGAATTGCAAACAGATATTCGGTGAACGCGGATTCGTCACTTAAACCTCAGAATGCAAACCACAAAAAACACGTCCTTTGCATTCGAATTTGATCATATTATAATAAAGTTATGCAGGTGAAACCTTTTAAGATTAGTACGCTGGGTTGAAATAAGGTCCGAGGCATAGGGCCAGCAACATCTACCAATCGAAACATGACCTAGTAATATATATAGTTCACAGGGAAATACCTGATATGCTGGTGGAATCTTCAGCATTGCCATCACCATTTGATCCTCCTCTAAAGGAGACCTTTCTGTGCGACTTGTCTTTCCATTTCTTGTATATCCCCGTCTTCGTTGCAGTCACTTTAGCACCACTCTCTGTCTTTATCTGCTCTCCATAGAAAAGATGTTATTAGGTGAATACAAATGCTTTTTACCCCGCGTATTTTGTATTGTCGTGACAAAAATATACCCTCTGAGGGCGTGACCAGATGTGGAATCAAAAGAGTAAGCCGATAGGAAGACCGAAAAAAAGTTGGAGTTGAAAACATACCTTCCCACTTGCTGTAACACGATCTCCATTGTTCAACTTTATGTACTTTTTACCTTTCTGCCACCAAACAAGTGCATTGTTAATAACGAACCGTGTGTAAGGAGAACCAAGAAAAAAATTTCATTAACAATCATAGCACCTTATCCCAATGGTAGACGGATTTCTGCTTCTTTAAGCCATCCTTATCATCTGCTACCAGATCGAGAACAGCAGCTTCCAACCTAGAGGTGAACATAATCAACTTGTGACAAAAGGAAACCACCAAAGTAGGACAGTGTTCATCATTATAGTAGATTTTTTTATCATAATGGAAAAAACAAGGCTACCTATTTGATGAAAACCCTTCATTAGCTCTTACTGATAAGCCATCCTCTGTGTGCTGAGAGTAGTATCCAGATGAAGACAAGTAGTAAGTTAGATTTCAGTTCCACAAATATTCAGCCTGAAGACAGACCTAGAATGTCTTGCCAAATTCGCGAGGATAATCATTCACTATGCCTACACTAAGCTAGCAGATACAGAAGATTCAGTACCTTGTTTGTGGGTACTGAACTAATAAAGAATTCCTCATCCTTGAAAGTCTGAGCCTTTCTTTTAGATCCACGACCTCCTGCACTCAAATGAGAAACAAGATCAATTAATTTTTATGAGAGACTGTCATGGAAACCAACACTTCCATTTTATAGTATTGTGGTATCCACTATCAATTACCTTTTTTCAATTTTCCTTCAGAAGAATCAATTTCAACTTGATCTTCCTGCAACATTCCAAGCAAGAGAAGCAAAGGGAGTCAGCAAACAAGAAAAGGAACATAGGTCTGTAACAATTTTACAACAGACAAGATAAGAAGCATAGGTTTGTCTAAAAAGTTAAACAAACATGTTTCCTACTTAGCAACTGGAGATGGGTCAAGCCCAACAGCGAGTGCAATTGCCCAGTAGATCTATATATGCATGGTCCGAACTGTTTTGTAGATGTTATTCAGCAAAAAACTAGTAAAGCAAGCAGTGGTTACTTCAGAGAAGCATAATTGAGACGTTCCATTTCCATTCCGAATCTCCACAATTCCCATGCTAGGTTGGGCACAAATCATATAGGAAAATTTCGGGAATTTCAATCATCCCTTCCTTTGCCTATGTTGAAATGGAGAAAGAATAATTCAAGGAATACAACTCAGAGAATCAAGTATACAAATACTTCATTTTCATATAGCAGGCGATGATGGAGGACCATGATGTTAAAAGAGGGATGGTATATTCACATGGAAGTTGATATCTCCCGAGTTCCCATAGCTAGTCTGCTAGCACTAATGAGGGATGAGAATTCATTGTAGAAATCCTTACTACTTTGAAATGAGATATGCTGGCACAAAGACCTAGTATATTTCTCACTGACAGCAAAATGGCATATCTTGACAGTGAAATGTTTTTTTCCAACGCAAGGCATTTCCTCAGTTACCCTGGTCTAGAACCGAGTAGTACTTATATGACAACATACCCAATACGATATATTCTGAAACTTTCCACTAATCACAAGTTCAGGGAACAACTATATGAAGAGTGAAATCCACGTATATATAGATGCAACATGTATTACCTTTTCCACCTGTTTGGCAGATCGCTGCTTTTGCACCAACTTTATGACCCTCTCGTGAATTGCCCTTTTCTTCTTCATCACATCAACCTGACCAGAGGAGCCCTGCCACATTTTCATATAAAGAGAGTACTGACTCAGGACACAGATATAAAGATCAAGAAACATGACAGAAGAAACAAAAGCAAAGGAACGGATGGTAAAGAATATTCCTCAAGATCTTCGAGTACCAACAAGAACACATCATGAATATGCAAGGCAAACATTCAAAATATACAAGCAACATCTAGGTTTTAATGATTGTTGATAAGGATGCGCTACAGATGGTGTATTTGAAGAAAGTTGCTATTTGTCCTAGTTGCGTGCTCATTGTTTTGCATGATACTAATGTGATGTATTTATAAGCCTGCTGTTTGGTTCAGCACATATACACTGAAAGTCTGAAACTTGCGCCAAAAAGGTGAGAGAAAGAAATCATGTGGGGCCACTTCTCTAGAATGCATGTGAATATCAGTGCCACTAAAATACACCTAAGCTTTTCTTTCGCTGTTGCGCCTTTGGCACAGCCCTGGTTCATACTTCTCTAAGATTTTGGTTTCTTGTATAAAGGCCTAACTTTATCTATAAAGAAACCCAAACAACCCCTACAATATAATCTCCAACTCGGAAATGGTCCCAGAATATCAAATATAACTTAAGAATATTCAGTAACACACAGATGAATATAAGACATTATAGCTACCCGAACAGTCTTCATTTTGCCACCTTCACCTTCAGCCTCCAATATTGTCTGCTTCGGTCTGATAAAATCCAATCATTGCAGAGTCAAGTTTTGTAAGACAAAAATGAGGCTATCTAAAAGCTGTCAGAAAAAAAAAAATTCACGTGTTTTTCATTTTTCGGACTTACCTAAATTCCTTCAAGCGTTCAGAAAAGGCCATTGCCATCAATTCACCACCACCTAGTGCTTTTACGAAGATTGGATGTATCCCCTCTCGTGGTAGATCCTTTGCTCTTCTAATGGATTCCTTCGAAGGTACAGGTTTGGTCTTGCTATACAAGCGAAAAGCATTAGCACGTGCTCTCTGCAAGTCAGTTAGCTCTCTAGAAGCACCTATGATACCAAGAACCCTATCTGACACAAGTTCAAGCAGTGTCTCTGGGAAACGACCATAAACAGTCTCTTTATTTGCAAGTGCCTGATCAACCTCTCTCGTTACTTTGTCCATATCTTGCACAAGCTCCTCTTCCGGGGGTGCAGGCCTGATTGGTTTCGAGAGAAATAGATGCAGATCTAGAAGGTAAGGCATATCTTCAGAGGTAACAAAAGAAAATGCTGTCCCAGTACGACCTGCCCTAGCAGCTCGACCAACTCGATGCACAAACAATTTGGGCTTAGGAGGAAAGTCCCAATTGATTACGTTATCTAGCAATGGAATGTCAATGCCTCTTGCTGCAATATCCGTGACAATCAACAACATAGTCTTTCTTGATCTGAACCGGGATATATGAATCTTGCGAGCCTCATGGTCCATATCACCATAGCACACTGAAGGCTCTATGCCCTCTTCTCTGAACAGAGTATTCAAAAACTCCACATGATACTTTGTGGAAACAAAGATCAATGTCTGCTGATCTGCACTAATATGCTCCCTTATCAAATAAAGCAAGGCTGCATCTTTCTCCTCATGCCGTAAGGTGAAAAAGGACAGCTGCAGATCAGGACTAATCTTTGTGTCCACATCAAGACGAACAAGCTGAGGATCACGCAGACCAGCCTTCGCAAATTCAGCAAGTGCACTTGGCATTGTTGCACTGAACAGCAAGGTTTGCCGGTTCTCACTCAACTGAGTAAGGATCCTATGCAGCTGCTCAGCAAAGCCCATCCCAAAGAGACTGTCAGCCTCGTCAAAAACCACATATTCCACCGACTTCAGTGACATGTCTTCAACCTCAGACAAATGGTGCATGAGCCTACCCGGTGTTGCAATAATGATATCTGGGTTTTGAGCTAATTCTTCAAATTGGCTTTCCATTCTGTCACCACCAACCAACAAACTAGTGCGGAGATCTGAAAATAAGAAAAAAAGAGGAAGCTTCAGAATAATGAATCATCCCTTGCTAAAAAAGAGAGACATGTTTAATGGTGCAAGCATAGAGAAAAAAGAAAATACACATACCAAGCTAAAAATTAAGGCAAAGTCACTATTAGGATTTAGGGCAAGCTCATCCCAAAATCATAGTTGGAAAGACATTCAGATGCAGACATTCATTCCTTCAACTACTGGTTTCCCTCCGAAATTCATTGCTGAGCAAAAAACTCTTTCCTTTGTCAATGGAAAAGAGGATCCTATAATAATGTCTCTGGACAGCGAAAATGGTATTTCCTGGTCTATTAAAGTGATTATGAAAGTATTGTTGCACCATGTCATAACAGCAGCTTGCTACCTAGCCTAACAATTAAGGTATAGAGAGCAAAAAGGGTCATAAATTGCATAACAGTAATCAGGTCCTAAGCTCAACCTTCATCGGAGTACCACAGCTGGGCACTAATAAAGCAAACATATATAGCAGTAATTGATAACAATCTCCAACAAATTACAACACGTCAACACCCACTGATTCCATCATCTCCAAACATATATAGCAAAACCTCGCCATAAACCTATCACCAAGTAAACGAACTCGAAGCAGGAAAACTGACCAGTGAATCTTCCGAGCTCTTTGGTGAACTTCAAGGTCTGTAGAGCCAAATCCCTGGTGGGAGACAAAATGAGCGCCCTGACACCACCCTGAGGCAGGTGCTGCCTCAGCTTCTCGAGCATCGGCACCAGAAACGCGGCGGTCTTCCCTGAACCAGTACGAGCCATGGCGACGACGTCGGTACCGGTGAGGATGATGGGCATGGTCTTGCGTTGGATTGGGGTGGGGACGCGGTACCCCTTGCGCTTAATTCCTCGGTAGACATCGGAGCTGAGGTTCAGGGACTCGAACCCGCCGGATTTTGCCTTCTTCTTGATGTTTTGCTTGTGCTTGAGCTCCGCTTTGGAGCTCACCAGAGGATCTTTCGCCATTGGAGAACCCTTGGCGGCGGTTCCCGTATCGGCGGCGAGGTGAGGCGAGGAGTTCGGTTACAGGGAGGAGAAAATTTAGGATGAAAAGCCTAAAACCCTCAGCAGAACTTCGGCTTTGGGTTTTGTGTTTGAGTTTGGTCTTTGTTCGCGGGTCATTGGGGCGGAACTCGGGCCTGGGCCCAGATCCGACCCGATTCCTTAAGCAAAAAGGTCCGCTCAGTCGCGAAAACATTTGCCATCGGATGCTATTGGAATCCTAAGTTGAACATTTGAATATTAATGTTATATAAGTGTGTAAATTTTCACTATATGTTGAATCTAAGTACGAAATGTTATTTTGATGTAATGTTATATGTTCCATATTTCCAGGCTAAACCGAGGGACCCATTAACCCTTGATCCACTAGCTCAACCGGGTCCGGATCAACCCGCGGATTGACAACCTTGGTACCAACCCAATATCATGAGGCCAACCCATTCGCATGACGTAGAAATCTAGCTACCTTGGAGGACTGAACACAACATGTACAGTTATGCGTCTCCATAGACAAACCAAAGAAGAGAATCTTGGATAAAATATCAAACACCATCTGAGATTTGATGTACAAATCATCCACTGTAAAGTGACATGTGTGCGTCAGATACATGAAAACACATCAGGGTGATGAAGCAGAAAGCCTTGGGTAATTTCTAGACAAGAGGGATTGAAGAGAAAGAGCAAAAACGTCCATATCAGCAACAACCGCTAGCTGAAGCATCCTCCGCAGGCTTCTGCTGGAATATGTTCTTTCTCTTCACCCCACTGGCTCCTTCAGCTAACAGGCTTGGAGTTTCCAAGATCTGCAAAGCACCAATCACCAGTTCGTCCTCAGTGCATCATTTCATTTCTCAATCATCTCGGACCGGTCATGTATATGCATACATAACATACGAAATAATCATTCAAGTTTATTGGATCAAATGCTTCAACCACAGAAGAATAGGTGGTCGTATACTGTCAGTTACCTTCAAAACAAGCTCCTCAAAACACTGCTCTACATTCACGCGAGTTTTTGCACTACATTCGAGAAACAGGCACCCGTACTCCCTGGCAAAGTCGATGCCTTCCTTTTTCGTTACAACCCTTTCGCTTTCCTGCAAGATCACGAGTTGGATGAGTTATAACAAATGACAAACTTACAGATGTAAGATATATCCTAAATAAATCCATCAATCAACATAATTCCTAACAAGACACAACTCTTTCAGAACTGAGAATCTCCGAGAAGAATGGAGGGGCATAAGAAAACATACCTTGTCAACTTTGTTGCCGACAAGCATCTTAATGCAGTCCTGATTTGTAGAGTATAGATCGATTTCTTTGGCCCATATGTCAGACAAATTTGTGAAAGTTTCTCTTCGTGTCACGTCATACACTGCAGCAATGACCAAAATTGACAATCTTAATTTGGAGAAATGTGAAAACCATACATCACAACTTTGTGGACACAACTCAAGAGTTACAAATATAGAACCTAAGGACGTAAACCAACTTGCACCACCTCCCAGGAGTGAGAAGCAAAAGAAAATGCAAATAACATTTGCATTGAGCAAAAGACATATATCATACTATTTGAAACTACCTAGACCTCTATACTGTAAACACAAACGGCAAAAGGTAACAGAAGAATATGATTTTTTTCACAGCCACATACCCATGATAACCCCTTGAGCTCCTCTGTAATAAGAACTAGTGAGAGTCCGAAACCTCTCCTGTCCAGCTGCGAGAAGAAAAGGTAGAAACCATGTCACACATAGCAATTAAGTATAAGCGGACCAATCAGCAGATAATACTCCCTTCAACCAGACTAAATTTTCCCAAGGAGACAAATGAACTCAGCCTCTGAGAAAACAGAACTAAGTCCTATCTTGCCCCTAGATAAAAACCTGATCAATACTACAACCACATTGACACTTAATGAAGCTCTGTTCATGTAGCAACAAGCCAGAAAACTCTCTCTGAAAGATCATGCAGCCCTACACGCTTATAAGCCAATACCATTGCAAACCACCTGACAAATATCATAAACTGAAAGCATTTCATCAAGGTCATAAAAGTCTAACGTGCAGCTCGCTCTACTCATGCGACGCTAATTACATGTCGCTAGTTAACATTACAAAGCATCCTCATCCTGACATATAACCATTGCTAACTGGAAACCTGGACTATGATTCAACAAGTACAGAGAAGGATTGCTGGCTGCTAGGTAGTAGGTACCTACCTGTGTCCCATATGGCCAGCTTCAACTTCTTCCCACCAACAGTAACATGCTTTACCTTGAAATCAACACCTACGAAGTCAAGAATTAAGATCATACACCAAATTCAAACTTCAACATATCAAAAGACACACCCTCAGTTATCAGAGATAATGAACAAGAATACAAAACCAAAAAAAAAAAAATCAATTGTCACAGTAGCGCCAAAAATGTGCACTTTTCTCCTCAGTGAAGAAAATCTAATCTCCATATCAATGGAGGATCATCAGGAATCAAGCCATCAACAAACGAGTTTCTGGTTCAAAAAGTTTCAAATCCCTTACGAACAAATTAAAGAGCGAAATTAGACAAGGGGGGTGGAAACGCACCAATGGTTGGGGAGAGCTCCTCGAAAGAACTGGATGTGAAGCTCAAGAGAAGAGTGCTCTTCCCGACGCCGGAATCGCCGATCAGCAACAGCTTGAACAAGTAGTCGAACTCTTGCTGGGCGGACGACGACGAAGACGATTCCATTTCCCCTATACCAGAAAGAAAACAGATCACACGAGCAAGAGGCCGTCAATCAATTCCCGGGAGGTGAAATCAGATCAACGGAAATGCGTAAGACGAAAGAGTAAAGAGATTGGATGATACCGTAGGAAGAAGGCGAAAGCTTTGGATTGGTGGATGGAATGGAAACGTTGGAGTTTAGGGTTAGGGTTAGAGATCTGAAGAAGGATATGGAAGGAAGAGGCGGATCGAAGTTTTGAGAGAGAAGAGAGATCGGAGGGGAAAGGGGGAGATTGATTGCCGAAAGGCGAAGAATTCAGCTCGGACAGACTTTGCTTCTTCGCTACGTGTTCACAAATAATGCTTCTTTCTTTCTTTCTTTCTGTGGGAAAAGATTCGCTTTTGCGTTTTGCTTTTTCTTTTACAAGATGAAAGTTTGAGGTTGTCCAGTCCACCGACTCCACCGATCATCAATTTACTTTTTGATACTCGAAAGTTACAAAAGTACTATACACGTCCCCGAATCACACACGAGACACCAGTTCGTTCTTCGCGGCTGAAGCTTGGACCGGCGGGCGAACCTAAAAGCAAATGAAATTTCTTTGTATCACTTCAACACAAAGCTAAATGCAATTACCATTTAGGCATTTACCAAAGCCACAGCGTTCATTAGATGTATACAAATTCATGTTTCGATTTTGACATGTGTTCATAGTTGTTTTTACATGTTCATACACTATACATGGTGATGAACCTCAGACTAGACAAGGAAAGTCCTCTGGCGATTGGGGTTCAGTTCGTGGTTGTGGATGATCCTATGGTGGTCGAGTTGCTCGTACCGGGGAGGCTATTCTTTGGTGTTGGAGCATGGGGTTTTCGGAGATTCGCTTTGAAGGTGATGCTAAAGTGGTCGTTGACAAGATCAATCAATATAATATCCGGGATAGTAGGGTGGGCGCAATTCTTGAGCAGGTCGAGCATGACTTCGCTCTTCATAATGGGCTTAGTGTACGATTTGTAGGACGATGTAACAATAGGGTAACTCATGTGGTGGTTAAAAATGTCGTTTCATTGTACCCGAGTAGGGCTGGAAGTTTGGTACCAGTATTTGGTATATGCCGAATACCGTACCGAATTTGTCTATATTTCGTATTACCGAATACACGTAAAATTTCTTGGGATTCTGATTGGGATTAAATTTCAATTTTAATTCGGTATTAGGGATTACGGGATTGAGATCGGTATATACCGAAATATCGATTCAATACCGAAATATAAGCTAGTGTGTATTTTATCATTTCAACTAGACTCTCTCATTCACTACTACATAACCCTCAATCACCAAGAGTGTCATGTAATTATACATAGATCATTTCATCTTTGTTTCACAACTCAAAAGTCCCCATCCAACTCAATTTTGACTTTCCAATTTATGTCACTCTCATCTCTCATCTAATAACTTGTTATTTTCATAACACCAAAAAGCAAACACTAGTATTTGTCGACTCTCGGCTTTTAATTCGTCAAATAAGATTACCAATGACAAAAACTTGAGATGTCACCTCTCCTTCATTCTCCTTATCCATATCCTAGCTATAGGCAAACTCAAGACTCTTTGCTTAGTCTCTTTGCCCTAAATTAAACAATCAAATCTAATTTATATATTTAATTATTTATTTCAAATGTAATTAATTTCGTATTTGATAATACCGATTGGGATACCGAAGTACCGATTGGGATACCAGAATATTTTGAGATTGAGATTGGAATACCGAAATTATTTAGGGATTGGGATTGTGATTGACTTTCAGGTATAATTTTATATTCGGGATTTCGGTATTTGATATTGGGATACCGATACCGTACCGATTTCCACGCTATGCCCGACTACAAATCGATCTTTTGATGTTCTGCCCTGGTTGAACTCGAAGATGTAATTATCTTTCTTTTAATTAATATCTATGATTATCTTTTGTAAAATAAAAAAAAACATCAGACTCATTTTTGGGTACTCAACACTCGGCCTCGAGCCTTGCCCTATCTCTCCCCACCTAGACCTCGAGCCTTAGTTGGTGTTGATGCCAATAAAAAATCAAGTAGTTGAATTTAAGTAGCCGAATTCAAGTGGTTGACCTCATACATTGGTTTGCTAGAGGTTGACTCGACATGTTAGATCCTTGTTTTGTATTAAGGTTGAGTTTGGAGATGAGGTATAATTTGGATAAGAGTATGTTCAAAATGAATCATTTAGTTTGCGTTCGCGCATTATTGCGTTTTCTTATTGTGTGTGGAGAAACAAGATTATTTCTCTTCTGATTTTATATATGATGCTTAATTACACTTTGGTTTTATTGATTCTCTTAGTTTGATTGATTATCTTCTCTACTACACCTACATTCTAAAGTGGTCTAATTAATCATTCGGCTATTCTTCACCCTGGGTAGAGCCTAACTCTTGATTGGAAGAAAAAAGAGGAGAGGACGTCTTCAAAGAACTCAAATGGGTTGACGAAAAATCGACAAGTTGAGTAATATTTTATCTGACGTGGTATAAGATAATGTTTAAATTGGTAGATGAAAAATACACCAAGATTGCGTTCTCGCGAGATCTTTAATAAACCAATCACTCGGGTAAATTGGTAGATACAAATGTAAAAATTACATAAAAGGTAAAGGAGACCATCCACATTATGTTTTCCCTAGGTACGATGAAAAGCAAAATCAATTGAGTTCTATAATGTTCCGATCCTATATGGGTTTTTCATCTTATCATATGCATAGCGTTTATTATATTTAATGGGTTACTAAAAATCATACAGATTTCGACTATGCTAGGTAGTCATCTCTAATCTTACACACAAATAAATGACACCAAATACAAATAGCTAAATTGTTAGTGAATAGTAAAGTGTATCTAGGTTTGTATATATTCCAGTGGCGGAGCCACTTGGAGAGGAGGGGGTGCTTGCACCCTCTTGGGTTTGGAGAATTTTTTTTCGAGTAGAGGTATATACAAATTCGAACCAATGACCATTCAGTTGCATGAAGAATTTCTTATCATTTCGATCGAGTGAGTTTTGTTATGCAATGCACTTTCGTTTTTATTTATAGTAATAAATTGTTGTCTTTTGTTTAAACTCACTCATTTTTTTTTGTAGCTCTACAACAGAGAAATTTCTTGTCTTTTGTTTAAACAAAGTTGAAAGTGAAGAAGTACCAATTGAAGTTCACTTGTTTGTTTCACAAAATCAATTCCAAAGTACTTCTGAGTTCTAATTTGTAATATTTGATGAATGGAAGTCTTGATTTGTATGTACTGAACTTATTTGTTTGACGTTGTAACCGGTGTACGTGAAACTATTTTAATGTAATTGTATGAATTTAGAGTATTGCGTTGTTGACTTTTTGTTTAATTTAAAGTTGAATTTTCTATTGTATAGGTGATTTTTTATGATATGATAAAGACACCCCATTGGCCAATTTTCTGGCTCCGCCACTGATATATTCTGCCCAAGTGACTTTATATGATATTATTTCCAATCCACATCAACATGTAGTCATTGATGAGAGAAAGTATCTGCCAACATTAACAGTTAATGTTAATTATCATGTTAAATCTATTCATTATTTTGCAAATTCACAAATATATATATGTCGTGATTAAAATTTTGCACCAATATTACTTTTTAATATCATAAATTTCAATCCAAATAAGGGGAGCGATATGGTGATACCCTAAAACCCCACAACAAAGATCCTAATCATCCATCTCCAATCAATCTCAATCATTCAATAACTTGGATAAGGAAATAGAGAAGCGGGCTGGTAATTTCACGCTTATTATCTTGTAAATCAGTACGAAACAATTTTTTTTTAATTAAAACAAATGAAATATGGTCTATTGAAGACTTGTAGAAGCCTAGGAAAAAAAAATGAACGAATCTTTGGAAATCACCACCAACCCAAAAAACACGCCATCTGCCCTCCAAAATCGATGATTTTTCTCCTTACCCCTTATAACGTGGACTGTGGGATGTAGTTCTTCCTTAATCAATAGTTAGAGATAAGATTATAAAAGTTTACATAACCTTTAGATTGGGTGCTAACAGTTTTAATAATAGCAGTTTGGTAACTATCCCATTACCCCTCTTCTTCCTGACCTAATTAGCGAGCAGTCGCAGCCTCCCTCTTGCTTGACAAATCCATCGCCTCTCCAATCAGAATCAGCAGATAAGACAAGCTCTCCCGGCTCCTCCATGCTTCTGTTCCTCACTTCTACAAGCTATGTGACACTTCTCTTCCAACCAACAAGCTTATGAACCGCCGCATCCATCGCATCTTCCGAAGCCGTTATAACCAGAGGTTGTGGTATGCTTTTATAAACTTGCGCTATAGTGAGGTTGTGGTTCTCATTTCTAATGTATGTTGTTTTTTTTTTTGTGGTGTGGTTTCTTATGTTTATGGTATAGATTTTGTGGTTACACCAATTAATGCACCACTCCTTCGTGTAATGCATAAGACACGCTCATGCCCTCCCCCTGCCTCAATTTTTCATAATACCAAATGTCCCTCTCTGCCCTTCCCCGTCATTAATTGTGTATTCAACTCATTTAAATTATAGAAAAATGTTAATACGCTAGCTCTTCCCTTAGGTTGGAACCCAAACCGAAATAAATATTAATCTTTCACCTTTCATATTCGCCGTTAATAAAATTCAAAGATAAAAGTAGTAGCATACAATTAGACTTAGGTACCAATAAAAAATTTATTCTTTATGTCAATCTACAAAAAAATATATGGTAGTAGTAACTGCGAAAGTGAATATATGATGATCATTGATCAACATGATAAAGGAAAAAGGATGAAAAATATGACTATGGGCCGAGGACCGCTAGCGGATCCATTGGACCTGGCACGGAATCCAGTCGCGCAGTCAAATTACTTTTCAAATCTCTAACGAAACTTCAATGGACCATATCTCATTAGTTTTTCATAAGGATTTGAAAAAATTGGGTAAAAAAAAACGGATTTTTTGTTGTCCATAATATGATATCCGTTTTGACATTTTTTTGAAAGAAATTTTTTACATCATCTCACCACTCTCATATCATGATGTTACCATAGTGGCAACACCATAGTGTAGTCAGTCTAACCATAGTGGAAAGACAATGATAAGATTACAATAAGCATGTATTTTTTAAGAACAAATTTTTTTTCTCTCAAAATATTTAAGTTCGAATTCGGTTTGAGCTATGGAGTAATTCTGGGACCCAGTATGCTCCGATCCATTTCGGTTCGGTTGAAACCGAACCAAACCGATGTCCCCCTAGTCAGTAGAATCTTAACAAAGAATCATTGAAATGATTATTTCTAAAATCGAAACGGACGATCAAAACGATCATTAACCAGTTCGAGGATTCTTCCAGAAAAATTCTCTTAGTCCAGCGCAGTTGTTTGAACAAGATAGAAAATTCAATGACAAAATCCATAGTAAACCATTAAAATAATAAGAACCCACAACCATGGAACACAGAAGTTTAATGGATTAGAAACATCCCTCCAACAATTCCACCACCACCACCATTTCCCACCAATTGTTCTTTTTTTCCCCATCCTCTTCTCCCTCCCCTGTTTCCCCCTATATACATTACCACCAAACCCCAATTAATTAATCAAACCACATAGCAATAATCGCCATTAGTTAACATCGATCGTCGACGTTGACCCATCATCAATCTCTCTCTCCATCTCTAGACTTCCCATCCCACAAAGCACCATCGTCACCAACAACAACAACAACCCTCTGTTTTTCTTCCACCAAAAATCCTCTGTTTTTCCTCTGTCTTTCTGCCGTCGCCATGGACAGGGAGCAAGAAGAGATGCAGTTCCTGGGGATGTTCGGAGTGTACAAGGAATCCTACAAGATCATCATCGCGTGGCGCAGAATCTTCTCCCAGATCACCCTCTCTTTGATCCTTCCCCTGGCTCTCGTCTTCTTGGCCGAGAAAGAATTCTCCAACCTCCTCCTCTCCAACATAATCCGGTCGGAAATCCAGCTGGACATGACCCCGGCCGGCGCCAACTCGCGGCGGTCGAAGATCGACGGCGTGCTCACCTCCGAGTGGACCTACTTCTGGTTGCTGAAGGCGGCTTACTTCACTTTTCTTCTCGTCTTCTCGCTGCTCTCCACCGCCGCCGTCGTCTTCACCGTCGCCTCGCTGTACACCTCCCGCCGCGACCTCTCCTTCCGAAAGGTATGTATATGTGCAATTATGTTTTCTTGCTTCGAAGAAAAGCATATATTTTGATGCGTTTAGTGGTGATCAATGTTTACTTTCGACTTAATTTCCATTCTACTATTGGTTACTGTAACACTAAACCTTTCCTTTTTGTTGTGTGTGGCCTTAATTGCGTTACAAAACTGAAGGTGATAACCGTGGTGGTCCCAAAAGTGTGGAAGCGCCTGATCCTAACCTTCCTCTGCTACTTCCTCTTCATCTTCGCCTACAACTTCGTCGCCTTCCTCCTCTTCGTCGTCACCGTCGTCACCCTCGCCACCGCTCCCGTCGGCGACTACGTCTTCCCGATCCTCCTCGTCCTCTACTTCGCCGGCTTCCTCTACGCCACCGTCGTCTGGCAGCTCGCCAGCGTGATCTCCGTCCTCGAAGAGGACGCCCGCGGCTTCCGCGCCATGTCGAAAAGCCGCGCCCTCATGAAGGGCAAGACGTGGCTCGCCGTCCTCATCTTCTTCAAGCTCAACTTCACGTTCGGCGCGATTCAGGTCATGTTCGACCGGTTCGTGGTCCACCATCGGTCGAACCTCGGTCCGACCGGTCGGGCCGCGGTGGGTGTTGTTTCGCTGTTGTTGCTGTTGAAGGTGTTCTTGTTCGGGTTGGTGGTTCAGACCGTTTTGTACTTCGTGTGCAAGTCGTATCACCACGAGAATATTGACAAGTCGGTGCTTTCGGAGCATTTGGAAGGGTATCTCGGGGATTACGTGCCGTTGAAGTCGAAAGATGTTCAGATGGAACAGTATCTTGAGGAGGACGTGGATGTTGATGGGCATGGGCATGTTTGACTGGGCTGACCGAGTTTAGGGTTTGGTTTGGTTTGCTTGATTAATAATTTGATTACACAATGAGATTAATTTAATTATCTATATTTACACACACAGCTAAATATGTTCGTATATATATCAGTGAAAAGGGTTAACAACATTGATAAAATAATCATATGAACCTTCCAAAAATGAATTTGTTGCTTTAAATTACAAGTTTGTGGTGGTAAATTACAAGTTATGGATGGATTTGTTCATTTGTGTGTGACCGATGGATCTCTTGAGGGATTGGACGAAGATTAGATGATGAATTAGGTCGTTTTCATTGTGTTGTGTTGGAAATAACGTGTTGGCGAAGTCGCCTGGGAATTAATTAATCTAGCAGTTTATCATAATTTAAATAGAAAATTACAGAATATACCTTTATTTAAATATACTTATTTTTATTATGAATTCTATTGTTTGTGAAAAGAGGGACCATTGTTGTCCTTTATCTTTTACCAAGTCCACTAATACGGTTGGTTGACCTCTTCTTTCATTTGCTATGCAGTTTGTGGGTTGTTGGAACAAAGTCAACAAACAAGAATTTCATTGCAATTTTGTGGAATTTTACTAGAATGATCGGAGGCAGACAATTAGCTAGGGAAGATGGCAAAAATATTTGTAACAACAGATATCCATCCGAATCCGATCTAATTTGGGTAGGGTAAAATCCAAATCCGAAGTATTTTTCGTGGGTACGGGTAAAATCCAAACCCGAGAGCATGGTTTTCTCACTATCCAACCCAAACCCGTCCGATTATACACATGCATATGTATTTTGTCTAGAAATAATCATTATTTTTCTCTAGAATATTTTATAGTTAGCATATAAATATAATATTTCCATGAAATTATGTTGTTTAATTAATTTTCGTCATTCTGGTGAATTATTGTCGTACTTTTCCTCTTAGGTAATGTGAGTATACGTGTGAATGTTAACATATTGGTTGGAATTATAAGGAGAAATTATTACCCATGGATAACCGTGGATACCCGAAACCCGAACGGGTATGGGCATGGTTTTGATTTTCTACCTGTTTCCCGTGTGGGTACGGGTATGGGTAAAACCCGAACTACATTGGGTAGGGTAATTTGGTAGGATTTCACAGTGGTAAGAATATTGTGTGTTTAGTGTAGCAGAGTGATTAAGAGTAATTTGGTAGGATTTCACAGTGGTAGGAATATTGACAAAAGTTTTTATCTGTGGGTGTTTCAAAGCATATGTTGGTTGCATGGTTCTTTTCTTTGTATCTGAGATTTATACAGCAAATTGAATGCTTTGTATTTCTTCTCTTTTTCTATCATTTTAATTAACGAAACTATTTATCAGGAAAAATTGGTCGGCGCATTTCATCGAGTTAATTTGGAATTTATAGGTTGTAGGTTCGAGTCTCAGTGATGATGATCATATATCTCCTTATTATTTTTAGGTTAGTGGAACATAAATGTTTATAGAAAAAACTAAAATGATAAAGGTAAAATGGAAAATTATGGAGCTTTCTGAATCTTACGTGGTAAAATATTGCTCTCAAAATCTTGACAATTAATACGTCTTAATCTCACTTAAAACCAGTACTAAGAGCTCACTCAATGTGCTTACAGAACCAGAGACCAGTACTGCTCAGTCTACTCATAAATACATAGATCTCTTATCTTTGGAAGAAGGCACATCGAGCTGCAACCGCTCCATACAGAATTCCCCCACACAAAGACAACACATGAAAAAACAAAGTTCATTGCACCACAAATTATTACTGCAACAGACCCTTAAAACTAATTAAGAGGCATTGACTGCAATCTTCATTCCAGACTCGCAGTGTCCAGGGAAGTTGCAGATGAAGTAATTGAATCCCTTCTTCAGCTGAATCAGATCTTTCCCTGTCTTGTACACTCTGGCACCAGCCGGTGTCCTGCAGCTTCCATACCCTCCCTTGTCCACCGCCACCACGTTATGGACCGTCGGATCGTACTTGAACACTGCAGTACCTCAGCATTATTATCAAGCAGCCATGAGAAGATCAGAAAAATGGTAACGTTCATAGAAGTTGAAGTGAGTATTTGGAGTGAAACAAAAACTTACAGAGGGTATCCCCAGCTTTGAAGGTCTTCCCTTTAGGCCAGGAGTCCAGATTGAAAGTCCAGCCGCCAGACCCACCAACCAAGTAAGTTGTCGCGTAGGCTTGCTTGCTGGGATGAGTCAACTGCAGCAGAAGTAGCACAGCCATGGTGGCCATGGCTGCACTGCTTCTTCCCTGAGCCATCATCTTAGCAGAAGGAAACTCAGAGGTGAAAAGTGATGGAATGCAAGAATGGCAAGTGAATTCAAGCTTCAGCTTTGGTTTGAACTTGGAACTTGGAAGTAGCCTCGTTTTATAAAGCTAGAGTGGTTGATGGTGGGACCATGACCAGAATGATAGTGGAAGACAGGCATCTTTTCCCAGTATGAAAAAGGAGCAAAGCAAATTGACTATTTCAAGCAATGGAGAAATTATGACACAGAGAAAGGAAGGGTCACGAGGGGGTGTTTTTCCGTCCGTGAAGCTTACCAGACAGATAGGCCCCATGCATTTGCACTTCTCCTCTGCACAACCTGATGAACTGGGGGTGTGATTTGGTGACCAATAATTGGAGATTTGCAGCACCAATATATGATGTAAATCTGTAAGATGAGATGATATTATGGCTGGGATATTTGTTTCGATTGTTCAAACTGAACTGATAAAGACCGCATCGGTTTCGAGTTTTTGGTCTCAAATCGATTTGGATCTTATCGATTACAGTTTAAACCAGAAAACCGATAAGAAAACTGAAATCGAAAACAGTAGGTAAGAGGTGCAGGAGTTACGGTTTTCGTTCGAATAGTTGACAAATGACCTTTCCTCTAGTGTCGCATCATGTTCAACGTTGCTAAGGGGGATTCAGAACTACTTAATACTTCATTCAAAATAAACGAAAGCTAATTTATTTGTTTTGTAAGTTCAAAGTACAGAACTTTGAAGACAAGTCCTCCTAGGACGGCTGGAGAAGAGTTTTATTACTCCTAACCTGCTGGTCATGTTCTAACTGCTGTAGTAACATTCTTCATACTAGCGTATTTCGACTCCAGATCGAACCAGGACTCCAATTCAACCAATTCATTGAATTCCTTAAAAGTAGCCATCTTGTCGAGTTCGTCTCTTGTGGTGCCTTTCTCCTTCAGGGTCTTCAACACATCAATCAACGCACGAGCTGATGCGTAGAGCGAGGTTAGTGGGTGCACAATCAAATGGAACCCCATTGCCTTGAGCTCTTCAGGAGTGTGCAAGGGAGTGACCCCTCCTTCAAGCATGTTGCATACCCTGTACCCGTTCGTTCTTCGTGCAATCTCCTTGAGTTCCTCGTCGTTCCTTGGCGCCTCCACAAAAGATGCATCAGCTCCTGCCTGCGATTTTTACCAAATTCTTGGATGAGTTAATTACATGTAATTACCCGTACATGGGTTTGTGATCATCCCAGTCCGCAAAGAGCATAAAGATAAGTGAGCAATAAACCATAGTTTTTATGGTCATCCAACTAGATAACAAGAATTACTAGATGATCACTGAAATTTGTATGTCACCAATTCAGTAAGAAGAAGAATAAACCTGTCTGGTCCATGGCAGTGAGTTAGTAGCAAACAAACCATTTCCGTCAATTTGTTCCTACAGAGCTTTGTTATCCAAGTTCCATCAGCATAACCATTGTCTCTTTCAACTGCTTTCAAGGAAGTCGTTTAAGTTTGTCTGGTTGAGTTTACTAGTGTAGTCAACATGAGTGTTATGTGCAGCCTAATCTCCACAGGCATGACTTGTCTTAGAATCTTAATGGCTCAGTGGGAAGAGACCTTTCTGGGGACCTTACCAAAAGAGAGTTTAATAAAGACATCAAGCCTTCATCGAATCATACCTCCATATACAGATTGGCCCTTGCAATGGCATCCGAAAGACCTGTTTTCGCTGATGTTGCACGGGCATCCGTCCTGGCCACAAGGAAGAAATCTGCATCCCCTATAGCATCCCTAGCAGAGGCAATTTTAGCAGCATGCTCTTCTGCTGGTATAACCTAACAATATGGAAAGAAGACACACAAACAACGACCAACGGCATCAATAACAAAACTGCACAATGGAAAACAGTGATGATGTCAAGCACAGAACGTATGATATAGGTTGCCGTAGTTACCTGTTTGCCACGCATATGCCCTGCAATAATATCCAGAAGATGCAATGCATGGGAACATTGTTAGAGTCGAATCAAACAAGCTCCTACACGAATACATTACGCGAAGTGCAAGGTCGCTTACCACACCTCTTCGGCCATGCTTGATCCTGTGAAGTTGTTAAAGTTTGCATCAATTGTGAAGTGATCATTGTTACACATTTGTAGAAAGTAGACAAATGGAATTATAGAAGAGAGAGGGGTAGTAGCACCTCCAGAAAGCATCCAGCAGCACCAGCTGCAATCAAGTCTTTGATTGTTCTCTGAACATTGAGAGCATTTCCCCCACCAGTATCTATACGCACCCAATTAAATCAACATTCAAAACCAAATCAATTAGGAATGAAATCCTGGAAAACCTAGCCAATCACCATGCATGCCTCATTTTATTTTTAGCACAGATCATTGAGCCCTTTCCCCTAATTCAAGCGCTGAAAGTTCAAAATTGCGACAGCGAAATCAGAAGATCAGGAAACAACAGCATTACCAGCATCGGCGATGATCGGTATGAGCGAGGCCGCAGAACAAACCGTTCTAGCAGCAGCAGCCATTTCCGGCGGCCTGAAACAGCAAAAGTAGAAACAATTCAAGTGCCCAAACAATTCATTAACGAAATTCGCCACCACCAGAAGAAAGAAAGGAAGGAAGAGAGAGAGAGGAAAAGAAGCGGACGTGAGCAGGCCGAAGTCCGGTTTGCCGAGGAGAGAAGCGGAGAGAGCGTAGCCGGAGATGAAACCAGCACTGAATCCGGTTTTCTGGACAATGGCGGCGGAGAGAGCGTCGTAGCAGCCCGGCATCAGCACGGTCCCCTGCTCCTGGATCAGAGTGTGGAATCGCGTCTGCTGCATTCTCACCGCCGGGTGCCTGAATTTGGTCCGACGGCGGGAGGTGGCGGTGGAGCTCGGCGATCCGAAGGAAGGACCACCGGAGAGAGTGGGCCTGGCGGTCATTAGCGTCGACATTGGCGGGGACGGAGGCAGGGAGTTGAGTGGCTTCTGAGTTCTGAGTGCTCCGAGTCGAGCGAGTGAGAGTGAGGCTTTTGTGTTGTTCGCTGAAAGAAGGTGAATTTTGGTTTCTGTTCTATGAAACGCGCGAACCAAATGGCACGTGCGCAGGTGGAGAGAGAGTGGTAGATGGCAACGGCAATTTTTGGTTCGTTTTGTGCTGGACCCCGAGATAAATGTTTTTTTCAGGAGATTGGTGGGCCGTCGTGTCTGCAGATCGTGGCCCCTTGTCGTTGATTGGACTTACGGCCCAATACCCTTGCATCTATCTATTATTAAAGTCTCAATTAGGGTTGCAAATGAGCTAAAGAAACTTGCGAGCAACTCGGCGTTTGAATCGAAGAAAACACGTTCTATAACAAGGTGATTCGTGAGCCGAACCATTACTAAACGAACCAAGCTTGAGCTGGACCGTGCTCAGGCTGATAAGCTTGTGAGCTAGTTTGACTCAGTGGCTTGTTGATATAATATAGATTTTGGAAGCTGGCTTGTTTGGAGCTTGTGGAAGGATTTATCTCTTTTGAACACGAACATTATCTTGTTTAATACAGATGTGTATGGAAGTTAGCTGTTGTTTTTTAGTTTCCATTATTTTTTCATTCAAATTCTTATGTTTATACATTTTTTTAGCAAAGATGATTTCAAATAATCGAGCTCATCTTAACCCGAGCTTGTACTCAGTTTGACAAGCTGTAGTTGTGTTAATGAACATTTAACGCATCTATTGAGCTCTACCGGGTCGAGTTCGTACTAGATTATTTTTATTCAAGCCGAATATGAGCTCGAGCTGGATTATCAGAATTTGAGTTCGAGCCAAGCCCCCATATAAAAAATTTGTAAAAAAATCGAACTCAAGATAAGCAAAAACTCGACTCGTTTGCGGCTCTAGTCCCAATATGTTAACAAAACTGGAAAACCAGTGGACCAGTTAAACCGTGCTGGTTCATTTGATTTTATTTTGAACCGTGAAAAACCGTTTGGTCCATCAATAACCGTTCAAACAATGAACCGAACCACTATCATAACTGATTTGACGATTCTACTGCCCAACCGTTGATCCGGTTCGGTTCTTATAACAATGCTTACTTGTGGGTTGCCGCAGGATGTGAGCAGCTTAGCCATTACATAATTAAGAAACCTTATATATATATAGTAGTTTTCCTATCTATGTCGTTTGGAAAAAAAATGACACAGATTTGAGAAAGCGAAACTCAAACTAAGTTTAGTGTTAGTGGTCGATCAAGCAAGCCTGTATATATATGACCATATGTCATCTCATTTGTATAAAAAAAAAGGCTTTTTCGTAGTTTGGTTTCTGAATAAGTTGCCTATCTCTCTCTAACCTACGGAATGCCTTGCAATCCAAGTAAATGTCCATATCATACGTAGGTATATAACATACATACATACATTGTATGACTACTACTACTTCCTATATATCAACAGACAGCTGAACTACTTCATTATATTCTCTCTTTTTTTTTTCTTTCTCCTTCTTCTTTCTCGTTCGTTCAAGCCATCACCAAAAATTCATTTCTCATTGCAATTTGCAAACAATACATTACACACGTTTCTTTAGTCTACCATAATCACATAAAACCAACTAAATCAGTAGGTATTCAATGTCTACAGACATTTAATTTTGTAGAAGTGATCGAAGAAGTATATAGTATAGTAGCACATAATTACTATATATAGTTACAAAGAACAAACACAAATTAGAGGAGTGTCTTTTGAATCAAAAACAAGAAAGGTTATATTATGCAAGCTAAAGATTAATTATTAGTATATAGAGGGTGATCAAGAAGAAGATATACCCACACCAAGAAAATCGATGAAGCTAGGAACATCTTCTTCTCCATCGTGGTTGTGGTCGTCGTCTTCTTCTTCCTGCACTGTCTTCGTCATCACCTGATTACGAAATCTATCATTACTCGACGATAATTCTTCTCGATGATCAACAACATCCCCTGCTCCCTTCTTCCTCATCTTGCTTCCACCACCATTATTCGACACATCGCCGCCGATGTCTTCGTTATCGTCACGATCGCTAACCTTCAAGTACCCGAAGGGGCTCGGAACCACTCTGCAGGCCGTCCGGTTATTACACGACCCGACCCAACTCCACAAGCTCCCACGGCCATTGATATTGTTGTTGTAATTGTTGCTGCTCGGACTATTACTATTTATAATAATACTACTACTGGTAGTATGATCTCCACCATAAATAGCATCCCCAATTTCGGATCGCGAACTAGGGTAAAAAAATCTAGACACATTATCAGTCGTAGTCGCAGTTGTAGTCGTAGTCGTCGTAGCACCAGGACCACCGTTGGAGCAAAAACTGGAGTAGTAATCTCTCGATGGCTTCTGCTGCCCCCAACAATTGGAGAAGCGGCAGCTTGTTGACGAGGAGGAGTTAACGGTAGACGGGGAGAGCGAGAATATCACTCTACTATTGTTAATAACGTTGACGCCGTGTTTGGAGTGTTGTTGTTCCCGTTGTTTGCGAGCCATGACGACGTGCCAGTGGTTCTTGACGGCGTTATCGGTCCGGCCGGGGAAGAGGCGGGCGATGAGGGCCCACTTGTTGCCGTGGATGCGGTGGGCCGTCAGGAGCCTGTCCTCTTCTTGCTCCGTGAAGGGCCGCCGGTTGATCCTCGGGTCCAGTTGGTTGAACCACCTCAATCTGCAGCTCTTCCCTGCAATATATAAAACGCGACAAATATCGTACTAATTGAGCTACCAGGTTTCGGATAGATTGACTATTTTTCAATACCCTAGCTAATAGCTACAGGAAGAAGAAAGATAAAGTACGTACCTGATCTGCCTTGGAGCTTGTCGGCGATGGAGTTCCAGTTCTGGGGACCGTACTGCTCGACCAGCTGCCGAAGCTTCTCGTCTTCGGCGGGTCTCCAGTGGCCTCTTGGACAGGAAGAAGATGACGAAGAGAAAGAAGAGGTAGTTGGTGGCCTTCCTGCTGATGAAGCTGGTAATTCATCGCCAGAGTTGGCTGCTGCAGATAATTCTTCCATATATATATATAAATAAAAATGACTGATTCGATTATCAGTTTATGATAATTGGATGGATCAATCGGAAATGGGGTCTAGTTAGAAAGAGGAAGCATATAAATGGCGGCAGCTGGGAGAGGAAGAAGATGAAGATATATAGTTAAGAGAGAGAGAGAGAATGATGATAACAATGGTAATTTAGCTTATATATATATATATATATATATATAGTATTTTATTAATTTAGTTTATTACTAATTGGTTTGTTTGGGTGATGTGGTTGGTTTATTAGCTAGGGTTGTGTGTGGATGGATGGATGGATGGGAAGTCACTTTTGTTGGTTTTACACGACACTTTTAGTTAGCACACCTTCACCTTTGCTTATCTATTCCATACCATATAATTAATTAATTGTTACCAATTATATATATATATGGAGTAATTAAGATGTAGCATCAAAAGTTTGGCAAACTTTTTATCCATAACTACTTACTTATATATATGTAATATGGATAGTACAAAATGATACTAAACTGTCTTTTAAACGAATAGGCTAGATAAATTCTTCGTAAAAGATATTGTGATATAAAAAAAAAGTAACCATGCACATTATACACATTAATTCCGGTAGTTGACCGGGTTTAATTCCGATTATTTTGTTTCCTATGCAAAGATCTCCAGAGAATTCCCGCTCTGATAGAGACCCTGATGAAAAGAGAAGTAAGGCTGGAATGCCAACAGATCTCTCTATGAATTGATAAGTCGCCAATTCCTAAACGAACTGCTGAACGAGTGAATAACTCGCTTTCGGTCGATTTTTCAGACAGAAGGTATGTATCTTCAAATGTGCTCTGACACGAGGTGCGTATAGCTCGCTCCATGCTAGTTTTGCACCAAAGACCTCCACAGATGAAACCAAGGTAACCAAATATCGTCCAAATTACACCAAAGTTCTTGATTTCAGTAATTAGTAACATCATCTCAATTTCTTGGTTCAGTCCTGGTGATGAGACAGACATGGTACTACGTTAAAATCAAAACAACAAACCCATCACCTCCCAGCTATATGTACATGTTTGCAACAGTTAACAGTTAACAACGACAGCGCTCCCTGTTTGCGCAAAGACCACTTTCCTTTGATTAGCAACTTAATCACCCACACCAAATTTTAACGGTGAAGCCATCGTCCCCTTAATTCCTACTTACTTCATTCCATTTTTCTGATAAGGACTGCTTATTTAATTAGTTCATTAATTACCCTACGGCGGCCTATTTGGCCCGGACTATTTGGTTTTACCCGAAACCGGACCGTATAACCCGGACTGGGACCGGATAACAAATAATCCAATCTCATATTTGGGCTTAGATTTGAGGTAAAAACCCTAATAAATACCGGATAAGAGACCCCCAACACCTAAAATCAAGATCAAATTAGAACCGGATCGGGTTAAGACCGGACCGAATCGAGACTGGATTGTATCCAATCCAATCTTTGGTCCTTATATTCCCGAAAAGACCGGACTGGAACCGGATCAATTTGGTCCAATTTAACCGGACTGGGACCGTAGAGCCACCCCTAAATTACCCATCCAAGCTTCACTACTGTTAACTAATTATTCATGCCAAATACTTAAAAAGGAATGTTAAAACTCTATAGGCAATACATATATAGCTAGAGCGAATAAGAACTTCCTCGTCTAGCAATTTTATCACTGGTCTTTAACCTAGAGACTTCAGATTCAAACCTTCTTTAGAAACATCTAACAATAAATAAACCTATATGTACTATTCATAAAAAAAATACTTATATAGCCAGAATTAATATACATCATTTATTTATAATCCATTTTCTGTCGACACCGTTTTGGGGAGATGGATCAATATCAGAGAAGAAGCAGTCTTTGCTGCAGTTGTGGTAGATGAATATCTAGGTGAGCTAAAATGTAAGTTAGCCTCCAAACCTTCATTTTTTTTTTCATTCATAAGGAAGAAGAAAAAAACAATATTCAGAATTGTGCTTACCTCGCGATATTTAGGATAGAAGATTAGAATACGCGAGCAAAGATTGAAAAGTAACGAGATGATAAACCATTAATTAACTTCCTTTCTCCTACGGTGCACACTCGCTCGCTCGTCTTCTTAAGATCCGTCTGGATTCAATCATAAAAAGTTATTGTAATTTTTGCATCTAGCTAATTTTCTACGGGGTCTTGGGATAATATTCTACTCGATTACAACTGAAGTTTCCTGAAGTGTGCAAATGTTGATGTTTCTTTGAGGCAAGGTCATCCAAGAACCAGATGAGACCGTTGAAATATAAAACAGAAGCAAGTAATTGACAAATTGTATGAGTAGAATTCATGAAAACGTGTAGAGAATAAGTTAGTTGGAGAAAATAGACATGTATGTGTGACAGTTGAGCTTGCTCATTTTTAACATTTTATACTTTAAATATAATAAAAAAAACAAAATATAATATAATATAGAAAAAAAATAGGGTTCAAAACTCAGAACGGTAAACCTTATAAAATTTTGTATTTTACCATCTTTGATATGAATCACACTACTCTTATACGATCATATTAGGATATGGTATGATTCATATAAGGACTGGACCGTATCAAAGTGGTATGATTCGTATCAGAGATGATAAGATACAGATTTTAATTTGTCAGTTTTGTAACTGTAATTGTAAGGAAGTGGTTAAGTATCATACATGGACTTTTCCCAATAACCCGAGTTATTGAGACCAGTTGGTTTATCATCATGGTATAATACGCACCCGAGCAAACATTGACAAGTAACGATCGAGATGATAGACTATTAACTTCCGTTCACCTACCGTGCACACTCGCTCGTCTACTTAAGATCCGCGTCTAGATTCGATCATACATGATACCAGAGCTGGTTGTCGTTGAGGTCACGTGTTCAAGTCCTCACGACCTCCAATAAAAACAGCTGCCTTTTAGCACATGGTGTAGCGGGTCTGTGCAAATTTCAAACACATGAGTTGCCGTTAGTTTAAAAAAGCGTTTAAGGAACAATTCAAGTTATTGGAAAGAGTTGGTTTATCATAACAGTAACTTTGTTTTTTTGGGCACGATGTAACTTCTTGATTTAGTATCATAACGCAAATCATATAATATGCATATAAGGGTGAATAATGAAATGCCGTGCAAGTACAGCATCAACAAAACAAAAGTATATATGGGTAAACCGTCTGTCTATCCCATATCCATACATTCTTCCCCTAATTTTCTTATCAGAGTTATTGACTAATAGCTCTACGACATTGAAACTAGATGACATTGTTTAGCTTATACAAATATAGGTTACAAGTTTACATACAAATAAAAAAAAAAAAATCATATATGAGCACATTTTGGAGTATCACATATTCTTAGTAAGAAAGCTTTATTTAAATCTTTAATTACCGGATTTTGAGGTATGATATTATATATTAACGCTTAATGAGTGAACCCTACGTCCTAAGTCTGCAAACCTCACACTGTATACTCTAAGACGGTGCATCTAGTATGTTGGTTGTAATTGAACGAATCAGAACCGTTGATTACTGTTTCTAATTAAATTGATCTTAGGGGTATACAATTTTAGAAAATTAGGACATAGGTTTTACTCGCATTACTCATTAGGACTTAGGCAGCGTATAGTATCATGCCTCAAACTCCGATACTTCAAAGTCTGAAAGTTGGGTATTAATTGAACATATGGTACGACAAGTATGTGTATATTCCAACCTTGCAAATCGGCTGAGAGGCATGAAGAAGAATGCTACAAATAATTAAGATCGATTTTCTAGATATCTCTCAACAACTTGAATATATATTTTTTAGATCAAATGGTGAAGGTATAAAGATGGAATTATTATTTTATTGAAGTTCAAATATGTTTGAGGAATTATGTAATTACACAAATTATAATAATCCCATGCGATTAAGATGGCAAGTCAAAATATAAAGGATGGAATGCTCTTGTTTTGTGTGGGCTAATCATTTTAATAATTGTTACTTAACTGATTGAGATTTCATACCCCACGAAATCAAACACCAACTCTCCATCTCCTCTGATTAAGCTAATATAAATTAAAACTACGGGTTTCATTAAAAACAATAAATATAAAGATCATCAAGTAAGCTCTCTCCCTCTTAACCAAGAATATGTATATATTGGTAGGTATAAAATCAGTATCTAATGTGGAATTGGTGGATATGTGTCAGTCTATCAAAGTCCAACCTATCATAACTTCCTTCAATTGTCCTCCATTGGAATCTTCCTTTGGGTTTATCAATTTCTTTATTCTAAGGCTTAACAGAATTTAGTTGATGAGAAAAGTACAGGTGATGTTTTCCTATGAGTTTGGCTCTAAAGAAATATTTAGCTAATGGAAGTTAGGTTTGATTTTTTTTTTTTTTTGCTTTTCTCATAAAATTAAGTTGTACTAATATCTATAAGGATGTATGAAAATATATATATGGTGGCTACTTCGGTGCACTCACTTTTTTGGGTGCGTTCAATGCACCCAACCTAAACGTGACTATAATACATCAAATTTTGATTTTAATTGGTAGTATTAGTCTAATATGATGATATAACATAAAATCACAATTAATTAATCCATTACCCTTACCCTTTAACCTTCAATTTTGAATCCCAAACCAAAATCCCAAATTGTAAACCTAAACCATAACCCTAAATCCCTAAATCCTAAATCCTTCAAATTAAAGTAAATATGGAATGAGTTTTTTCAAATTCATGTGTTTCTTGTTCATAATATCATAAGCGACAATTGATTTTTTTTTTGAGATCAATCGCATGCTTGGAATGACGAACTTTATTTGTATCAAATAAGTAGGAACTGGTAATGGAATGCCATTATTGTTTCTTGTCTTATGTCGCTTGCAAGATGTAGCATCTTAACATTTGATGGGAACTTGGACAAAAAATTTAGCATTTTGACATTGATGTTGTAATACTATATTTCATTATATTATAAAATAATTAGTGATGGACTTTCCTCTTGCTAGAGCTTGACACTTGACCCACCACCACTTACCTCAATGTTCAATAACATCCTAGCCGCCATTGCTATTCTTTGCTTAACTCGAAAGCCTCTTATTATACCTCTTTTGTTTACTCTATGTAGTTTCTCAAGGAAATTATTAAATTTGGCTCCATAACACAAGGAAAACGCAATGAGTCATGTAGTAATTGATTTCAGTAAAATGATCGGTAACATTCCTTATATAATCGTTTCGATTCGGAATAACTGTCGGTAACAGACCATTCGATGAGCTCGTATTGGAGTACAGGGCAACTATACCTTAAACTTAGCCTAAAGACTAGGCTTGCACTCGTAGGAAATCAAAATTGATCATCAATGAGCACATGAAATGTAGGAACTCAACACTATCTCGTTCCTATCCAGGGAGAAAGATAATCCCACTAAGGATCAGATTTTCCAGGGCGGAAAGATTCCAAGCAATAGCTCCAAAAGGACATCAAACTGCAGTAGGAAACATTACAAGTATATGTGAATCAATACTAGCTGTCAAAAATGCGTCAACTGAAAAACAAAGGGGGATCTCAGACTATCCATGAGAATCAACGAACAATGAATATGCATTTACCTCTGTCCTGCAAGAACAAAGAGGCAGATAGCTTGAACGGTTTCCAATTTACATATCAGCTACAGACCACAAGTAAGCTTCACGCTCCGTTGCTTGCTTATCATTTGTTCTTTTGAACAATTCTTTCTCATAACCTACAAAAAGAGAGAGCAAACACTTCAGTTCACAATTTTTACTTCCTTATCCATTTGTCCAAGGACAGTTCAGGTTTTCAGCAACTCTGTGTCTCACTTATGAAAACACGCTAGTCTCTTAAAATCAACACTTCAATTAACAATTTTTACTTCATCATGCATTTGTCCAAGGACAGTTAAGGTTTTCAGCAACTCTGCCTCTAAAATCAATTGAGGAACATCCTGACATGGGCTTAACTAAAACATAACAAGAATGATACTCCGCCCTGAGGCCCAATATAAGAGAGAAACAGTTAAAAAAGAAAGGATGCATACCGCTACTACGATCAACACCATCCCAATGTCTTCCAGGTTTTATGCCATATCTATTTGGAGCAGCAGGTAAACCTCTCTTTAACCAACTATGATTAGGGATTCCCTGTGGGATAATAAATCCAGATGCCTTCATTTTATCATCATCTCCCAGGTCGGAAACATCTGGTTCATATTGCTTGTTCTGCAAGATACGATAAGAACATGATGAGGCTTAGTGTAGGAGAAGAGATATCGCAGCTATAAATGTAAAATCCAGATGCCTGAGTAGCTGTTATCCAAACGAAATCCCAAACTGAGTTTTATCAATCTGAAAAAGAAGCAGAAGATGCGAAGTTTCACCTTGACCAAATGCGCCATTGGATCACCCCATCTCGGCCGCTCCTTAAGCATCTTATCAAGTTGAGGATCATCTCTGCAAGCAAGATATGAAGTTAGAACTGAAAAGTGATGGCAAATCAGAGATAGAGAGGTTTCCCAAATACAGAAATGCATTGGTCAACAAGAGTCAATCATCTAACGATACAAACTAAATCTCTCAATAAATTGCACACTCCTCTAATTGGTCGTATGATACAATGTCAGCGCAGGTTCTAGAGATCTACAATGATATTGATTTACAAAGATATTAAATAATAAATAATTAGAATGCAAGTAATCATTACCTTGTCCTGGCAAATGGCTTCTCCTTCTCAAGTTCCAATTCCACCAGCTTGGCTTCAGCTTCACGCTTTTGAGCCAATCCCTTACCCCACTCTATGTGTATCTCCTGATAACACAAGAAAATATGATAAAACATTATGGAAAGAAGTAACCATGTAAATAAGTTGCTCTCCACAAAAAAAAAAAAAAAAAACCATTGTCAAATCTATGGTTTTGAACAAACATTGTTCAAGAATTGATGGACTACGTACACGAATGCTAAGGGTCAAGTGACCAATGGTCTGAAGAAACCTATGCATAAGCATTAGACAAATTTACATAATAGAAGCATTAGTGAAATGGAAACAAATTTACCAGCCAGGATAAATAATTGAGTATCTAAATCCTTTAATATGCTTGGAATTTTACATCAACTTCCTTCATAAGATCTTCAAACATCCAAGATTTCCAGAGCATCCAACACGACTTTCCTAAACAATCCCATCAATCACAATATAACTTCTCACGAGCTTCAACAAACTGAGTCCTCCCGAACAAAGAAAAGAACAGCAGAAATTCTCTCATCACGTCGAAGTTGCAGACTATGGCATAAGCTAGTATTGCAAATCTTACTGTGAACATTGCTAAATTAGCAGCTTTGAATATCTTGACAATTTTCAAGATAAGTTTCATTTGTAGATTGACTTGTTTCCTCATAGAAGAAATAATGGGGGAGAAATGCAGTTCCCGCCTACCCGGATGCACGTAGGCACAGCTTGCAAATAAAAAAACCATACAGAAGAAGGCAACTCACACCAAAACAAAGCTACAACACTAGATCAGGAGCACATATATAAATAAAAAGATTATCGGGAAAAAAAAGCAAGACAGCTGCTTCACAGACAACAGATACTATCACCCAAGAATGAGATTTATGGAGGCGAAGAAGAGAATACCTTCGGCTTTTCAACTTTCTTTTCTTTTGATTTCAAGTACTCATCCTTTGATATGCGCTCTCCTGAAAAACATCAGCCACCCCAGAATTAATGTTAGAATTGAAGAGCCCAACATATAACATAGAATAGAAACAAATTATGCATCTTATTCGCCAAAAACGAAACAATAGACTCCACATCTCAAATGCCTCCATGCCTCCTTGGTAACAATGAAACTTTATCAATTTTCCTTCTGGTTGCTTAACTGACCTTTTTTGCCACGATAAACAGGCTCTGCTCCTTTCCCACTCATATCAGCATTCATTTCTTGAAACCTTATACAAAACATAAACCAAACATGTCACGCACTTCGTTATCATAATGCCGGAAGAAAAGAAAAAAAAAAACTAAAGGCAAAGGCAATGCAATGATGCACGCACTTCGACACCTAGCTCTAAGTTAATCATACCCTCCTACTTTGCCAAAGCCATCACCATCCGAACAAATCCAGAGTCAGCAGTTGCCATCAACCACTACTTCACACAAAAGACTGGTGTTCTCCAATTTCTAACAGAGAGAAAACATGTTGTTGCTTGGAAAGCAAAATGGTATTGAATTTGGCACCAATGAAAATGAAACTGATTCAACGAAGAAAAAGAAAAAATGAAACTGACGAACTGACAATTTGATGGCACCTGCTAGCTCATGTTATAACTAACCAAGGCAAACGTGATGAACTAAACAGGTGATCCTAGCAAAGCATGCATAAAAGTTCCAGGCAATTAAGTAATACACGATGATTCCAAAAACAACAGCAAGTCAAATATTTACCTTAGCATGTCATCCTTCTTCTTTCTAGAAATCTCTTCGCTGATATCACGGCCACTGACCAGACCAGTTCTCGGCTGTTCCTTTGAAGCAGCTGGACCAGATGGGTTGGCCTTTTTCTTCCTCGGTGGAGAAAGATCTTCATTCAATGAATTTCCATCAGCGGTTGCACGTGTTGGATCCCTAGAACCTGAAGGAATAACATCATTCCTTTTCCTCCTTGGGGGTGAAAGATCGACATTGTTGCGAGAAGCCCTTGATTCATCAGGTTCTGGGGAAGGCGTGTCATATCGAGCTCGAGCTCTTGGCCTACGAGGCGGAGAAAAATCTTCATCTTCCACATCACTCCTTGCTCTCTGCTTACGAGGCGGTGACATATCAGAATCCAAAGAAGCATTGTCACGATTCACTTGCCGCCGTGGAGGGGACATATCTTCACTTTCTCTGCTTCTAGGTTCAGGTTCAGGTTCAGGAGAAGGTGTGTCATTCCTACGACGTGAAGACGGCTTATCAAACGATACCCAACCGCTTCCATCCTCAGCTATGGAATTAAACGGACGCCTAGCTCTAACTTGCTCAAGCCTCTTTAGTCGTTTGACTTCTATGTCTTCATCAACTTGAGGTTTCTCATCTAGAAGAAACAGCATCACGATAATGAATATACACCCATTAACTAAACACTGCATTGACAATTTTTAGGAAATTGTGACAGGAGAAGCAATGATTGCGTTATGTACTCTTGCATTCTTACCAGGAGAATCATCGTCTTCTTCCTCCTCGAGTTTTACAGGTTTTGCCCACACAGGATCTTCGTCCACAACGGAAACGCCTGTCGCTGCTTCTGGCTTAGTGTTCTTTTTCTTCTTCTTCTTGTTCTTCTTCTTCTCTTGTTCATTGTTGCTTTCGTAGCGCTTTAGATATTCCTTCAAAGACTCCGACATCGTTGAAGCTGAGCTCACTAATCGAAAGATGCAGATGCCCGGTGGCGCGCAGAGACCGCCGATACGAAAGAGGACAGAACGACGGAGCGGAGCGGCTGCTAGTACCCGTCAGTCTGAAGGAGGCGGCGATACGACTGGACGACGGGAAGGAGGCGATCTGATTTTCGGGGCTAGAGGGAAGAAATAGAAGGCAGGATTGGGGGTTTTGCGATTTCTGGAGTGGAAAGGAAAGCCAACAAATTTGAGTTAAATGCGTAAATGGTCACTAAACTTTAAGGTTACAGATAATCGGTCCCTAAATTCATTACTTTTAACAGAAGTCTCTCTGGGCAACTGGGCCCGAAAATTTGTGGACAAGATGCGTCTGGAGCAGAAAAGGAAGAAGAAGAAGAAGAAGAAAATCTCCCGCGCCACGATTAACTGATATAACAGTTTCTTTTCCGCAAGGTTAGCATCAGACTCAGAGATTCCAATTCCAGAAATGACCATCGCCATGTTCACGAAATCAGCAGCCGCGGCGGCCGGGACCCAACGGCTGCTGGGCAAAGACGACATCTACGTCGCGGCGGTGCCTCTTAGAGCCGCCAAAGGACCGCCGCAGCTGCTGATGTCGGCGGCTTACTCACTCAACCTCAGCTGGGACTTGCAGCATTTCATGGTCATCATCAAACCCACTTCGCCACCGCGGCAGGCTGCTGTTGTGTTCGATTTTCAGCCCAGAGATCCTGAAGATGTGCTTACGGCTCTTGCGGTGATGTCTGGCAGATCAGTACCTGGTAAGAATTTGTGCCGATCAGTCAAGTCCATTGTGTATGCCAAGTGGTTGACGAAATGACCCTATGAAAACATTTTTTTCGGTCCAGGGGCAGTGTTCCGCAGAACCTTGAAAGGGCTGCCGAGAAGACGATGTTGGTATGTTGGATCGGCTGGAGATGGTGAGCAAGTTGCTGCCGAGTTCAGTGACAAGTGGAGCACTTACCTGAAAGTTGGGAGTCATGACTGTCGACATTTCACGAACGGTGAGGGCAAGATTTCATTATCTGCATCTTCATTTCAGTTGATCAAACAGTAATATGCTGGTGTTTGATTGAACTTTGTGCTAACTGAGTGAAACAAATTGTTTTCGCTGGAAAAGGGTTGGTGGAAATTCTCACTGGTGAAGAGCTAGTTCTGGAGAAGCTAAGAACGAACTTGTCGATGGAGAGCAATACCACCTAAAATACAGACGATTAGTTTTGGGTTGGGAAAGCGTTGTTTGGATTATTAAGTATCAGTTAAAATACAGACGGTTAATCCATGTGTATCACAATTCACAAGCAGCTGCTCTCTAATATATATCTACATACAATATGGTACACCGATAGGCTACAGATTGACGCCTTCGTCGTCGTCGTCACCACCTAACTCTGTTCTTTATATGGCGTCCAGATGAGCTTGCTTGCATCAACATCAAGACCTCCACGACCAGCCGCCTTTAGGTGCCGATCCAAAACCTTGGGGTCAGCACATATCACATGTTGTCCCTTCCTGTATTGGATCAATTCCAGGCTCTGCAGCGTCGTCAGAATATCTTCGACTTTGATTGCCGTCATGTCACTTAGTTCCTGCAGATTATTCCACGGGAGCAGAGTTTCAAACTCTAAGTTCCAAGTTACCCAACACAAAACAGGCAACTGTATTAGTAAATAAAATAAGTAAAGCCCCGTACTACCTTGATAGAAATGTTGCCTTTGTGCTTCTTCAAGATGTCGAGCAGAACACGGGTCCAGTATCCTCTGTAGCTAACCAGGCCTAGGTCAGAAAGTGGTCTTTCAGGTGTTCCAACCTTGCCTTCCTTCTTCGAGAGTTCGTATGCTGTTCCATGTTGTGCAAGATACAGTTAAGATAGATGCAATGACACATTTTGTCATGAAGAGAATAGACAAAGCAAAATTACACAGGCAAGTCCTTACAGAAAGCAATTAGGAATTTTCCGTAGCCTTTCCTTTGGTAAGGAGGAAGAGTGAGGATACAAGCCAGATTGTAGGATTCCTCTGAATGTTTTTCCTGCATTATAGTAAAATATATTACAATTAAATTGTGGATTGGAAGCTTATCAATAGAATTATAGCATGCTCCTCGAACACAAGAATGACAATATGAGCAGCCATTCTTCCAGATACTGAAGCAAAGAGCTTATACAATACTCCATGAATGGGAAAATCCGAAAAGGCGAGAGAGTACACAAGGATTTGCAAGATAGGAAACAGCAACTGAGTATTAGTTTTACCTTAGAAAAATATCCAACCATGTGACATCCACGATCGTCACATTCACACAGCACATAAAACAAGAAGAGGTCAACATCATAGTAGAGGGTCTTGTGATCGAGAAATAACTTCGCCAAATAGCAGAGGTTTTGACCATAGACCTTGTTCCTTTTACCATCGACCTGCATTTGTAAACAAGTCGGGGAGACAACAAAATTAACTAACTTTTCAGATCCCACAACTCAAGTGGACAAAGGGATGAATTTATTTGTAGTTACATGTAAAAATTTCTTGAAGAGGATGGAGAACAATTTTATTCTAAGAAGCATCATATTAACAAAATGATTCTTAAAGAGACATAACAACCATAAAAGTCAGCTGCATGACAATTCCATGTAATATGTGGCCTACATAATAAGTTTACATTCACAGGGGAATCAGTAAACAAGAGGCATGCTTACCTCAAACATTGACAATGTACCGCTTCTGTAAATCTCATCACCAGGGGGGTGTTTCAGATCACACTTCCTCTGAGAAACAAATAGTAACATATTAATGCCAAGCGAGCTGAACATATTATATTCACGGCCTTAGCAATGAGAGAAAATAACATCCAGAACTGAAATATTGAACATAGACACAGACATAGAAGCAAAGGAGAGTTTGTGACCCGACTCACCATGTGCCTTTGAAGCTGCTCCTTACGCTTCATGAAATTCAGGCAGAACTCACAAAAGTAGAGCTTCAAACAATCATTGTATTCTGGTGGAAATGGTGAGAAGTACCATGTTTCAATCTCATACTTCCCAAGTTCCATAGTTGCTATATTTTTCACTTTTGTGAATTCTTCATGCTCCCTCAAGCTGGCAGCATCAAGTTCCTCGTGTCCCTGTTATTCCATGAAGCGATTCCAGATTAAGAATTTTGCTTGCTTTCTCGTTACAATGTATATGATCCATATGAATCCCTTTAAGTAGATGAGCACAATCATTTCAATCCTGTAGCTTTTGAGCGCCACAGTAACCATTATTGTAAACTCTCATACCTAAAGAAACGTTCTGGCAGATAAGAAAGCAGTTATCTAACATTCCGCCATGTCTAAAGCAATCTCACTTATTATATTCAAGTACTCCACCACAAAGAAGAAGCCCAAATATCCATAGACATAACACATTCTAATTTTGGATGACAGCAAATCAGCAGAACCACAAATCAAAGCAGTGCTTATAAGTTCAACCGACAATTCCAATTAGGAATCCAGGAAACTAATTGCTTTCAATTAACTAGGAAGATTAAGAGCATAAACATACCTCAACATGGGTCTCATCAATCTTCCTTTTCTGATGGCGTGTCATTTTTAAGCTGGTTACCTTATCCTCCACCTTCTCGTCAACTACAGCCTCAACGGAGTCCAGATCAAGCTGATCAAGTTTCACCCATTCATCAAGCCTTCTGTTAACTGCCAACCAAACACAAAACGAAACAAATTGGACTTAAGACAAACCCTAACCCTAATTTCAGTGAAAATTGAGGGGAAAACCAAATTCCACTCGAATTCGATGCTTACACTCGGTGTAATGAACATAATACTCATAATCGCTAACTCCAGAGTAGGAAACCTTCCTCCTTTCAATAACCTTCACGGGGTGGTACTTGCTATCTCTCCAGCGGCACATGACCCGAGTTCCAACCTCCAGCGGGAGCGTACTACCTCTCCTTTCTTTCAAACCGTTCGTTTCCATAGGAACCGCGTCTCCGGGCAAGGAAGGCATCGCGTCGATGGCGGATTGACTCCCTTGTTCGACGTTAGAGTTGGCGTCGGCGGAGGTCGGCGCCGATGTTCCGTTTTCCGTCGGTGGAGGCGTTTCGATCGAACCCATTCTTTCGTGGAAGCCGGAGTAGACAGACAGACGGCCAGCAGTGAGAAGGAATCGAGGATTGCCAACGTGGGCTTTTTTATTTAGCCCGCTTCAGTTCGGTGGGCCGTCTACTGGACTTTTCAACCAAGCCTGATCTTGCTTAAGCCGTAATAAGAGCCTTCATCTATCCCAAAACGACACCGTACTGCTAAAGCCGGGACACGAGTTAAAGGAAGCCGGGTCTCCGACCACTGGTTTTCTGCAACTCGCTCTGTTCTTCATTCCTGCAATTCAATATGCAAAACAGCAGAATGCTCCTTTTCATTGAATTCCATTCCAAATCTAGCACTCTGCTTCACGCAAAACCAAAATGACGATGAAAAATGCTATCCATGAACATCACATTCTTTCAAGTTCCTTGCGGATGAGAAGAAAACCTCCATCAAGGGGAGAAGTAACTTGTTGCTCAAGCTAACAAAGTAGAACTAAGACAGCAATCAAAACAGAATCCAGGGTCGTAATTTTATGTTTTTAAATAAAATTAGTATTGTCAGCCTAACAGAATCCCAGGTCGCAATAACAAATGCTCCCATTTTCTCAATACTATCTTCGAAAGTATCACGGCCATCCTAGAGCAGTTCATCATCTGCCTCGCATCGTTACGAGGAGTCCTTCGTCCTAGCTTTTAGCATCTTGTTTCGGACAAAAAAAACTCTCACCAACATATGCTTCCTCGCTAGCCCTCTTGGGCTGTGATTTTGATCCGTTTGCTCTTCCTTAGTTGACCAGATTCTTCAACTTCCTCACTCCATTGCCACTCTTCTTCTGATACAGCAGTTCAACAAGCCAACAACATAAATGGGATTACACAGCAGTCGTAAAATCTGCCAGACTCTGCAAACAGAGAATTGGGAAATGAAGAGAGGGGGAGGGGCGTAAGAGAGATTCGCAAAGAAAAACCAATTACCGTATACTGGAGGAGGAGTTGCATCGCTGCCATTCTGAAGCAAACAGGCGTAGCTACCGTTATATCTACAACGCAATTCCTCATACCTCGGAATTGGAGTAGGCCAGCCAAAGAACCTAGGCTGGAACACCTTCCAAAAACATGAATTGGGATCACAACGGAAGTCTGTCTCCTCTGCCTCTCCCTTCTTCAAATTGCATGAGAAAATGAAATAACTAATGGTAGTACCACAGATTTTGTGAAATTGTAAGAAGACAATTTCCGGCTTCTCCGGATGCAGACCAACCACACCATCCACAACCAACCTGTCAAGCTCATAGTTGGGCATTAATGTCTCCAATGCCACTTTATACCGTTTCCTCCAATAGTAACGTGTACCGTCTTCTTCCAGGGTCAAGAGACGCAATACCGTTGGCATAAAAGTTATTAGAACCATATGCAGAGCACCTTGCGAGGTTGAAAAGGTGGTGATTTTATCAGTTCTTTGGTAGATTGGCAAAACACTAATGAAAGTTGGAGGTGTAATATCTAGACGGAAAGGATTACACACAACAATTTTCCAAGAGTTAGTCACCCAATACAAGTTCCCATTCGTCGAAAATGCATCATGATTCCGTTTTGATTCGTCTAGAAGAACAAGAGCATCTGTTTTCCATTTCCCAGTCTCTGAACAAAACACGTCTAGCTTAGTATTCCGTATGTATCCTGCAGTCCACGTTTCAAATAGCCGCACCACGCAGAACCGATACTCGGAATAACTAAGCCCTTGTGGGCAACCGCCGCCATCATCAGCAAGATTCAAATCACACGAATAAACGGGTTCACAAACTAACCTGGCAACCACTTTCTCATATTCCACGTACCTTTTAGGCACCAAAGGCAGGGCGATCCATTGCTTTGAGAACGGATTACAGACAATGTACGAACGAACCGAGTCCACAAACCCGCACAAAAGCAAGTCCTTGAAGGAATCCATGACTACGAATCGATCTTTCAGCTCATGCGGTACAGGGATAAAGCTCAGGGTCGATTCCGGATCGTTGAATGGCAGTAGAGGTGGTTCCCCGTAGCAGCTTGCCATGCTCTTGTGGTGAGAACTGAATCGGCGACTGAAGTAGGGATCGGAGATCAGGGAGTTCCACCGTTTGCACACCGATTTGCATCGGAAGGCAGACCTAAGCTCCGGTACACGAATCAGAATTTGCAGGAGGAGATCGTCTCCTAGGTGCCTCATGGGAGAAGAGACAGGATGCTCACCGGCGGCGCTTCGTAGCAGATTTCCACCCGAGTTGCTGCTGCAGCTTTTGGTCGGCATGTCAAGGAAAGACCAGCTATCAAGCGATGGAGCGATAAAGAAGCAAGCTTGACAAAACCCCAAACCTCCATCTGATAAACCCTAACCCTATTTATGCCGTCGAGATTTTTGGCCTTCTCTCTAAGGTGGATACGGATTGGACTTTGACACTGAAACCCTAACTTGCCTTATAAGTTTCTGATCATCAGTCTCCGCCGGGCATGGAAGGCATCCCATCGACGGCAGATTGAGTCCTCTCCCAACGTTCGATGTCAGAGCTGCCGGTACCGGAAGTCGGTGCGGTGTTCCGTTCTCTGTAAATGTGGAGGCGTTTCGATCAAACCCAGTTTTGGTGATTGCCAACGCGGGCTTTTGATTGAGCCTGTTAAACCACATAAGATTTATTTGTACCGCCCCTCTTCGGTGGTCTAATTTGTCCCTTTTCTGTAATAATGTGTGGTTTATGTTTCGGTTGGTTTTCCCTAATTCGCATAGAATTGTTTTTGCAAGTTAATCCGCAACACAATACACCCACTCAGTCACCCACCTGATCTTGGATGATAGCTCACAATTACGTCAAGTCAAATCGTGGATTCATTTTAAGCTCATCCAACAAGTTAAATCGGATTGACAACTATCATTTTGTACAAGAAAAGTAGCCTTGAGAGTTCAAACACCCCAACTCAAAGTCAATGAACTAGCCTTTGGAAGCATTTATCCTGTGATGAAACATCAGCAGAGCAAGAAAATAAAGAAAATGGACAATTTGATTTACGGTGGATTGCGTTCTTCTTGTTTCAGAGGCCTAACAAAATTGGCTTGGCCTTCTGTGTCCAAGTTTGATAATTTGAACTTACTCGGCTATACAGTATATGATTTGATGGATTACATAATATAACTAAAAAGATCAAAACGTTACAAGGAGCTATACCTTATGTTCTATTTACAGAATAAAGGTAGAACTGTTGGTTTGATTCCCCTCCGGTTCCTTTTCTTGCTCCATAAGTAAGCCCGAGTTTCCCTACATCTGAAGAAGCTTTGCCACTGCAGTAGCTTTAACCCAGTGAGTCACTTGACAAAGGCTTGACAATAAGAGATCATTTACTAAGCTCGGCAGTAGATATATGCAGACTGCTATCAGAAACTGTCATCAAGAGAAGCCGACGAAGAGCGGTTTAGGAGCAATGTCTTCTTGGTTGCACGTACATTCTTGAGTGTCATCATCAGCTTCTGCCTTTCCCCTTCAACCTCAGCAAATTGTAGGCTCAGCTGAGAGTAACGGTTGTGCATTTCTCGTAGTTCGTTCTCCAGGGCTGTGTATCTTCCCTTTGTTTCCAGCATGTCTTGGATAAGATGATTGATGTCTCTAAAGCTTTTGAACACCGCTTCCTCATCACTGTGTTGTTTCAGGAAGGAACTGAGGCAAATAAAAAAGGTTAGGTATCCAAAACCAGGTGAGATAACAGAGAAAGAGTGTTTGATGCCACACTAGGAGTATACTGATTGATCAATGAAACCCATCCTACACAGCATCATCATCAGCAACAATCTCTATTTTCATCAAAATTTACAGTAGCTATGTTCTGCGGCATACCTCTGAAAGTGGATTTCAGATTGATTTTTCACCTGCAATGCTTCTGCAAGTTCCATTTCCAATGCAAGAACCCGGTCAATAGAATTCCCGCTTCCAGAAAATTCCTTAAACGACGGGAATCTCCTTCCTAGTTCTTCATTGGCCTGAAAGGAAACCTAAATTTTAAGTTTAGGCTGAAAAAGGGACAAATCACAAGAGTGAATGACCATGAATTTTACCTGCTGCAACCGCTGGAGTTCACTTTGCAAATCTGGAAACTTTTGCTCGATAAAAGAGTCATCTTGCAGAAATGAATTCTCATTTTTCATCCTCTCCAGCTACAAGCAAAAGAGAATAAACATTAAGCTGACAGCACAGATTAAAGATATGCCCCACATTTACATCTAAAGTGAACAAACCTCATTAGTCAAGTGGTCCATGCTAGACCTCAAGCTTTCAGCTCTAAAGTGATCGTTAATGAGAGTTAAATGCTTCATATCATCATTCATCAGCCTATCTTGTCTTTCAATCCCAGGACTCTGATTTCCATTTACATCGGAATGTATGAAACCATCCTGTAAACGATTAAACACAACTCAATGAGATCAACCTTCCAAAGTCTGCAACAGTTTGGCTAAGCTTTATGGAATTTCTTCCAATGACAAAGATTGAATTCATATCAAAAGTCAGGGGTTGACTTTCTTAACACCAATAAGCCAGAACCCAGAAACGGGAGAAATGTGGACATTGCTAGACATTATAGACTAGTTCAAGATGTGAGCCTTGTAAGAGAACATGTCAGACATTCACATTTCCTTTTCGCACATTGTTGTGTAATATAATCTAGTGCACGTTGCAGGCAACACTTTGCTTGACAGTTTAACAAGCTTTCATGTGAAACACTAGCTTTCAACCAGCCGGTCTTGGGGCATGGTTCTAGATATTTATACCACTAGGTATGCGCAAATGAAGTCATTCCTAAATATGACAGCGACCAAAACGAAGAGATTGAAAGTTGGACAACGTTTCCAAAGGAAAAAGAGTAAAAGACAAGTGCATAGTCTAAACGAGGAGATATTGGTACCTGAAATTATAAAGGTAAGGACTATTTAGGAAACAGCTCGTCCCAAGTAATTTTGATGCAACCGATGTATGGTATTTATGTTACCAGTTTAGAAGAAGAGAAAATACCACTAATGACAAATCATTGTGTATAAAGTTTTGTACGGCAGAGGAAAATATGGCACCAGATTTAAAACAGAACTGGCAAAGAAAACCGAAAAAAGAAGCTTTACATAACGTTTCTAGAAATTGTTTCACATCACCTTCTCAGATGCCACATTGATCAGAGTCCTTGAATGATTGAATTCATCAACCGTAGCTGTGGATGCTTGTTCTGGCCCATCATGATTCCTTGCAATAGTTTGTTCCAAATGCACAGGTATGTCCACATTGACCGCAGCAGGATCCCTAACTTGACCATTTCTTCTAGATACAACGTCAGAAGATATGCAGTCCACTGTAGAAAGCTCTTCACTTTCTTCCTCTTGAATATGAGTGGTTAATTTGGGTTTCTCCAGCAATCCTTTAACCAACATAAGTTCACCAGCAATCCTAGATTTTTCCTCATTACAGTGTTCCAAAATAGCTTCAAGTTTCTGTTTTTCTTCCTTACAGCAATCAAGGCTTATTAATGAGCACTCCAATTCCGCCTTCATCCGATCATAAGTATTCACTTTCTCACGCTTCTCAGAGAGTAAAGCTTGCAGTTCACTCTCCAATTCCAAGATCTTCATTCCCAGTTCCTCATTTTTCTTCAAGTAATGATATTCAGACTTTTTCCTACTCTCAATGTCATCGATTGCATCTTGTAATTTCCACAGCATTTCATCGCTATGTTTTTTGGAGATTGACAGCTGTTGTTTCAGTTCTTGCAGCTTGATTTCATACTGTTCTTTGATAAAAGCAATTCTCAAGGACTCTTGCATTCGTGCAGGTGAGCCTTCAAGCCCTCTGGTTTCACGTGCTTGTGAGTTCACATTTTCAGCATCAGCCTTGTCTTTAAGCTCCCTCAAATGGACAGACAAATTTCTGAATTCTTCCGTCTTGAAAATCTGTTCGGATAGTTTCTGCTTAAGTTCATCGCACTGCTTCTGAAGCACTGCAAATTCATCACTGTATCCTTCCTGGGAATTGATCCAGGTGTCCTGTTCATCCAATTTACCCTTGAGTACCACGACCTTAACTTCCAGCTCCTCCTTGGAAAGCATCAGCTTGTCTACCTCTCCCTCGTACCAAACCAGCAAGCCCTTTAGCCTTTCTATCCCAAGGTGATGATGACCTTTTTCTTCATATCCACCAGTCCCTGCCTTAGGAGCCATACAGATGCCCTCCTTGTTCTCCTCCATTAATGCTATTTGAGCTTCTTTAAGTAAACTATTTTCATTCATACAAGCTTCTAACTCTGACCTACTTGAGTTAAGGCTTGTCAACAACATTGCACTCTCTGTAGCATACCGGATTTCACTAGCAAGGCTCTGATCAAGGATAGTTTCTAAATCAGCACACCTCATCTGAGATTTAGTATAATGCTTCTTCAAGAAGTTTAGTTCCTGCAAAAGTTCTTCTACCCTTTCTTCATACTGGGTCTTCATGAAAATGAACCCAATATGTGAAGCTATTGAGTATTCATGCATTTCGGACAACTGAGTTTCTAGACAAGAAACAGATGATGCGGATTCTTCTCGAGCATAATTGAGACACTCTTCATAATGCAACAACTTCTTACACATTATTGACTTCTCTGTTTCAAGGCCAGACATGAATTGCTTGAGATGAACCAAGTCAGACTCATATTGATGAAGCTGGGATAACTGGTGTTCCTTGTCACCTAAGAGGGAAGTCAGATCTGTAATTTTACTCTCCAAACCAGCCTTCAATATTTTCTCCTCATACAATTCATTCTGCATAGTCTGCAAAGCATTCTTCAACATGTCTATTTCAGATGTAAGCCTCAGTATGTCCCCACTTTTATCCTGTAAGGACATCATCATAGTTTGGTTTTCATCATTCAAAGATTGCAGGGTTCCTCTTAAGTTATTCAATTCTGACGCAAATTTGCTAGATTCCTCAGATTTTTCTTGGAAAGATGCCTTCAAAACTCGGTTTTCATCCAAAAGGGATGCCACACTCTCCTTCGAAGTGTTTAGCTGTACCAAGAGGTCAGCTGCTTCGTCGCCTTTCTCCCTTGAACATGCCAATAAAGATTCTTTTTCAGAATGCATCAGCTGCATGCTTTCTTTCAAACTGTCCAGCTCTGCACTTTTATCCTGTAAGGACATCATCATAGTATGGTTTTCATCATGCAAAGATTGCAGGGATCCTCTTAAGTTATTCAATTCTGACAAAAACTTGCTAGATTCCTCAGATTTTTCTAGGAAAGATGCCTTCAAAATTCGGTTTTCATCCAAAACGGATGCCACACACTCCTTCGAAGTGTTCAGCTGTACCAAGAGTTCAGCTGCTTCGTCACCTTTCTCCCTTGAACATGCCAATAGAGATTCTTTTTCAGAATGCATCAGTTGCAAGCTTTCTTTCAAACTGTCCAGCTCTGCACGAAGCTCGGAAAACTCCTCCACTTTCTCCTGCGAACAAACCGCTAAAGCTTTATTTTCATCCTGCAGGGTCTGTAAACTTTCTTGCAAACTTTTCATTTCCAGCAAAGATATGGCAAATTCATCTGTTTTTTCTTGTAAAGATCTTATCAGAGCTTGGTTTTCATC